TATGCGATATTACTTGCAACATCCCATCTCTTTAACGCCATTCGCTTTTTGCGGGGGTACTTGAATGATAGATAAACTTGAGAAATGATGTACCATAAATTTTGATATCAATCTTAGTGCTACACCAGAATTATCTCAGTCCTTTTAATATCACGAGAATGCCCAGGCCTGACAGATGTTGTGGATTACCAGATCTGGTCCAATCACAGCACAGGGAAATCGTAAGCCCCTTACTGAGCATCAGACTTCACATTCTTCACAATCCAGCATCAGACCAGACCGTACTTAGGCAGATACTTGGATTAAAGGCTTGTATTACGACTAAAACATGGATGAAATAATGATGTCCATCCCGTCGCTTGCTTCCATAGCCATCCCCAGCGTTCTCACCTTGATCTCGTTCCTCGCATATTCCTCCCAGTATTTGTTCTCCCATATCGACCCGCGACCCTTGAGCGGCCCGGAGTTCCTTCGATTCAACGCACTACTTCTTTGTCTTCTGATCTGTTATTATCGAGCATGTTCAACGAATCCGGGCGTGATTCCGGCAAACTGGGCGGAGAAAAAAGAGGATGAGACAACCGCCAAAGGCTCGAGGGTCCGGTGGTGCAGAAAATGCGAGGCGCCAAAGGCCCCGAGATCACATCATTGCAAGATATGCAAAAGGTAGGTGAATCGGTCGAGTCGGATCTGCCAAAAGCTGACTACATGGTATATAGGTGCATACCAAAGATGGACCATCATTGTCCTTGGACATCAAACTGCGTGTCACATACCACGTTCCCTCACTTTCTCCGATTTTTGCTTTACGCTGCCCTTGCTATGACCTACTTGGAGTATTTCTTGTATCAAAGAGGTGCCGTCCTCTGGAATAACCGACGTATGCCAAGTGTATGCTCTCTCCCTAGCCCCGACTGGAATTCAGGCTGACCGGGACACAGTATCTCGGACCAAGCGTGGTCCAAATGATCCATCTTCTGATCCTGTTTTGCATTAATTCCATTACTTTGTTCGCATTAACCATCCTCTTCGTGAAGTCTGTGTGGAGCCTGGCGGTAAACACCACGACGATCGAAGGGTGGGAGATTGAGCGGCACGAGACTCTACTTCGTCGTGCTCGTGTTCTGGGTGGCTTCCTCCGTGCGCCGGATGGATCGCAGGTGCGGCTTGCTCGTCAGGAGTTCCCTTATGATATCGGAATCTGGGGGAATCTGAAGCAAGGCATGGGCACGTGGAATGTTCGTTCCCATTTCGGGGTCATATGCGCATTTCTAAAGACGAATAGGTCCTTATGTGGTTCTGGCCTTTCGCGTCGACACCATCTATTGAAAGTGGCATTTCGTGTCCCAGCAATGGATTTGAAGGTAGTGTCCGTCCAAATTTGGGGTGTATAACAGCTCACTCAGAGGACAGATCCGTCCATGTCCTGGCCTCCCCCGGACCCCGATCGCATGCCTCGCAACTGGAAAGCGCCCATCGTCGACGAATCATTCGCACAAGAATCCGATGCCGATCGACTTGCGAAGTTCAAGGAACGGCAGACACAAGATATGAACCGATTCGAACTCGCCGGCGGGATTCGACGCAGGCATCCGTTCCATGAGAGATATGCCAACGCGGAAGATCCAGACTGGCAGTATGACATGGAGGGCGACGACTATCCCACTGACGACGAGAGCGGCGAGGAGGGCTGGAGAAACGGTGAAGGAGAACGATTGGACGACTTCGGGGTGGACGAAGGCGTTGAGTTCTATGATGAGGATAATATTCCTTTGGCCGAACTTATCAGGCAGAAGAAGCTCGTTGCTTCTGGCGATGTTTTGAGTTGATGTGGTCGACAGTCCTGGGTGTGCTGCACTCCACTCTATCGGCGTTGCTGGTATGAGAGAAACCGATGCGTAGCATACGAATTAGTGGCCACCACAACAACTGCCGCTATCGAATGCTCGTTCTACATCTTATCCGGTTTAAATCGTTTACGCCCGTGTTTTGTCATAATTTGAACATTAACAGGAGGAGGATCGATGCTCCGATATCGGAATTAGGAGCTGTGTCTCACTCAGCTATCTTGACCCCGAGTTGCATCATTCACAATCCATACTTAACAAACTTTGGTTTAGTATTTAAGAAAGCGGATATTCACGATGGGTTCTTCGGAAGAATCAAGGGATTTCTGGACGTCCAAGGTGTGTCATCTTTCATTTATTTATCGTATTCACAGCCTGGCAACATTGATTACCCAAAGTGGTACAACGTTGCTATATAAATTAGCCTATCAAACACCAGTTGTTCATTTGTCCTATCCGCTCTCTACCAATTGTGACTATGTTTCAGTTCAACCTCAAAATGGTTCGCTGATTACTTACAGCAATATGCGACTTCCGCCGCCTTTGTACCGCAACTTACGCAAAAAGTGGTGCAATACCTCGCGGTCGAAGAGAATGACCGAATCCTCGATCTGGGCTGCGGCGATGGCATATTGACGGCTCAGATCGCCTCTGCACTGAAGTCGGGGTACATACTAGGTCTCGATGCTTCTCCTTCGATGATACAGAGTGCGCAACACGCATATCCTACTTTAACTCACCCGCGCTGCGAATTTCGCGTCAAAGACTGTACCCAACTCATCGAAGGTCCGTCCCGTGATGGTGCTATCGACGGCACGTGGGACAAGGTCTTCTCAAACGCAGCACTACACTGGATCCTACGGAGCCCTTCAACTCGCCTTTCCGTTCTGGAGGCCGCCTACCGCGCCCTCAAACCTGGCGGGACATTCGTATTCGAGATGGGCGGCGCTGGGAATGTCTCCGAGATCCACGCCGCGCTCACCGCTGGACTGCTCCATTTCGGCTGCCCATTAGAAACCGCCCGCGCCGCGTCGCCGTGGTTCTTCCCCAGTGATGCGTGGATGAAGAATGCACTGGAGGGCGTGGGGTTTACGGTGGACAAGGTCGAGCTGGAATATCGGCCGACGAAGCTTACGGAGGCGCAGAATGGGGGGCTGGAGGGGTGGGTTAAGCTCTTTGGGGCGAGTGTACTTGATCACGTTGAAGAGTCGAAGAGGGATGAATGTGTCGGATGGGTTTCTGCGCTCTTGCAGACGATTGTGACGAGGGAGGAAGATGGGAGTCAATGGTTGGGGTATGTGAGACTGCGAGGGGTTGCTACCAAGGGGGCATAGCAAATACCCATCCGACTTCCGATGCTTTCCCTCCATTGGAGAGATAGATAATTATTCCATATTCGGGTTCCCTCTGAGAAACACTAAACGTCACTATCGATTTCAAGTTTTGCCCAGAAACCTGAAGCCACTTACAAACGTGGGATACTCGTATTCTAAAAATAGGGAATTTAATCGTTGCAGATGCAGCAGATCTCGTATAAAATCGTGATGCGCTCATGCATGATGCAAGTGGTGCTGAGGCCTGAGGGTGACATTGCGGCGTTCTCTTCAAGCCACAACTGAGAGAATGATTGGAACACACCGCGAATAGGTTAACAGGATGACCCGCGAAAGCTGTGGAATGCAGTGACCGACTCCCGCGGACATCTTCTTCCGGACGTTGAGTACAAGCAGACATGAGACATCCAGCCAACTTGCAGCAATACGAGATGTCGATAAATAGGAAGAGCTGGATGGGGCTTGGCTTGATGCCACTAAACAACGAGGCGATGGAAGTGTATATGTACAGAGTGCAGGACATAAAGCAAGCAGTTCTCCCGGAACACTGGCGATCAAAGGACTCAGGATTCCCAAGCAACAGCCCCAAGCCAGCCCTTCATCACACACCACAATTCCTGCACTCGCCAACATGCACTTCTCCCTCCTCACCACTCTAACCGCCCTCGTGGCATCCACCACCGCCCTTCAAACCATTTATATCGGCAACAAGAACGAGAACTGCGGCTCCGGCTCCGTCAAAGGCGGCCGCTACGACATCTGGTTCTCCGACTCCGACGTCTGCCAGGATGGTCTCATCTACGGATATCCTCGCTTCAACACATGGCTGTGCGAGGGCAACTACACCCTGCTGGGTCACGAGGGTATCTCCTTCACCGGCTGCGAGCCCCCGGATTATATTGGGGATTACAGCTTCCCGACGGGGGTGAGCGATGACGGGGTGCCGGCGTTGACGTGTGTACCGCTTGGGGATGATGAGGAGTTGATTTATTGTCCGAATACGTGTGGGATTCCGGACTCGCCGTATAGCGTCAAGCCATGGGTCTACTGTTCGTGATAAGCGGAGTTGGTGATGGGCTGATGCCATGCCGTTTCCAAGAAGGGGAGCCATGATGAATTTGAAGATTGGATGCTTGAGGAATGTGCATCTGCAGCCAGACGGTGATATAAATTTAAGGACATACATTGCCGAACCTCTCTATTGAAAGAATATTGCTTTAGGACTGTGCTCTTGATATGTATTATCTTATGCGTAGTGACATGACGAACATGTAACAGCCGACAGAGAGCAATATATTGTCACCGGGATCACCTCGTCGAGGTGCTCGTTCCCGAGGGGAGGTTCTCCTCAGGAAGTTTGATTCCGGTGATATCCTCCATGATGTCGATGAAGCGGTCCTGAAGCTTAGTGTCTAGTGCAGGCTCTATGGGATTCGCTTCCTTTGAATCGCAGAAGTACTTGCCCGTCGTATGGACGTCACCAACAGCCAGCAGCTCGTACGTTTTCACCGTGTCGTTGATGTCCCCGGTGGCATTGGACCCGCCCATCTTCGTTGGAACCCAGCCGGGATCCAGGGCGTTGCTGAGGACGTGCGGCCACCTCCGAGCTACCGCGTTCGCCAGCAGCACGGTATGAAATTTGGTGTCGTGGTAGCCTTGATTGTCATTCCATTGCTCCTCTCCACGGTTCTTCCAGGTGATGTCATTCAAGCTCGGATCGCACGATTGATGAAAAATGCTTGTGAGGTAGATAAGCCGCTTCGGTCGCTTGATCAAACACGTCAAAATGAAGGGCGCCACCGTGTTCACGGCGAACTGACTCGGGTATCCATCTTCGGTTCGTTGGAACGGGCCACGATACAGGCCAGCGTTGTGGATGACCACATCAAAGTCACCCAGCTTGTTCACCTCTTCTGCCATTCGCTTCATCTCGGCGATATTCGAGAGGTCGGCCACGACGACGGTTTCGGCGCCAGGACACAGGTTCGTCGCATCCTTGGCGCGCTGTTCGCTCCGGGCATGCAGGACGACCTTGTGTCCGTCCTTCACGAACACGCGGGCGCAGAGAGATCCAATTCCATCGGAGGAACCGGTGATGAGGATTCGTGCCATTGCACCTGAGTTGCTCGCAATCGAAGGGTCAGACAGTGCAGTCTATCTAAGGACTATTTTGAAAGGTAGAATATGAACAGACCGAGGAGGGGAATGAGCAGGTCGTGTCTCTTAATTGACAGAGTTTCCAGACCACATAGATCTTGGAAGGATTGAGTACTAAGTACCTACTACTGCACTTACCATGCCGTATACAAGAATCGTGCATTATTACGGCGGCATTGTATCATTGGCCTTTCACCATTATCCGTCACATACATATTGATATATCATATCAGATACCCAATGACAAGGAGTTCCAGAAACTTCAGGATTCAGGATTAAGAATTCAGGAGTCAGGACGAGTTCAAACTTCGGATCGGCGGCGTCCTCGTGGTGATTTGATTCCACTATGGTACGGTCGTACGGAAGACCGGCAGCAAGTCCATCGATCATCGATGATCTGTGATCAATGATCATCGACAGGGGGATCTGGTCCTTGCTGAGAGAGGCGACTGCGGGTCGCGCCGGAGTTTCAAATTTCAAGCTTTCGTAATATTTCATTCCTATCCATTCCTTATTGTCATTCCATGAATGCGTTTCGTGTGCTGAATTGATCCTCTCAAAACCAATTGTTCAGAACCAATTGTGATTAGATTCAAGAGTGCCAAATCTCAAATCTTATTGCCGTATTGGCAACTCGCTAGAGAGCTCAGCAACAGAGATCTATCGATCAATCCCATCGAAACCGCATCATAATCGCCAGCATACCAACTCCGCGTCGCATCGACTTTCTTGGTCGACCGAACCCATATCAAACTCTGCAAGAGAACTCAAGCCTCACCAAATGGCTTCCAGAGGTCCAAACCCTGCCGAGATGGCACAGAGACTTCTCGAAGACCTAACCCGACTGGCAAGTCTTTTAACGACCTGGGCTCAGAACTTCAAGACCAACACTGCCTCATCATTTTCTCGACTACGAGCGAAAGACTACATCCGATTGATCATGGTAATAGGCGGCTACATGTTGATCGTCCGCCCCCTCTTGCAGAAGCTGGGTGAAAAGAAGCAGGCCAGCGAGCACGAGCGCGTGGACAAGGAAACGAAAGAGGAAGCCGCCTTGATGACAGCGAACGACCTCCGTCGTGGATCAAGCCGGCCGATACCTATACCCGGTGTGGATAGCGATACGGATGAAGAGGTAGACAACACGGCCGACTGGGGGAAGAAAGCCAGGGTACGACAACGGAAGATTATCAGGCAGAAGCTGGAAGAGCACGAGCAGGCCTTGAAGGAACATGACAGCGACAAGGAGATCGATCAATTTCTCGTGGACTAAGAACCGAGGGATGGTGGTTAAACAGCCGCTTTTTCTGGAAGTTCCATGGAGGCCAGACGTATTATACGCATGCCTCGGACGCGACACTACTCCACGTTATAGGGAGTATAATGCTGCCCTCCCTGCATCACCAATCTCGACAACGCACTTCAGAGTACCAAATCAAAGCGGACCGGTCTAGCTTCTACAATTCTTGATCATCACTTTGGCTTCTTCTCTGCTCCCCTCCATGACAATCATGCGTCCATATACTCGAAGGTTCCAGACGCGTCGGCGGGTCCCATTCCGATGGAGCGTAGCGCATTCCTCCTCCACTCCCCTCCCCTCCTGCCACAGCGGACCATGAGCAGTCGAGCGGTGACTCAGGTTTTTGAGAATCGGGAACCTCTATCTACCGTCTCACATGCCCCTCGCTCCGCATTCTTTATGCGTGTAATGGACCGATAGCCAACATGGACAGGGAAGGGGGCAGGTCAAGCTTCTTCCTTCACCTTTTAAGTGCGAAGACCGTACTTCTGAGAAGGTCCGTTTGGTTCTTCACGGTATCTTACACACCATGGCATTGACACGGACAGCTTTATCCGCGTATACAATATGGACATTATTGCCCTTGTGGGCTTTAGCAGCCCCGCATATACAAATGAAATACCCGCTTCTCTTTTGAAGTCCGTTATCCCCGCAACGCAATGGACCCATCGATTATGATATGACTTCGCCATTGAACTGGGATGGCTCGGACTTCCCTGCAAATGGTACCAGAACGACAAGGTCAATCAATTGGCCGCAACGTTTGACATTGGAGCGACCTATAATATGTCTTTGGCTGGGTCAGTCACTCATGGCGGCGACTCCTGCCAACTCTCCTTCTCATATGATGAGGGGAGGACATTCAAAGTCATCAAGTCAATGATAGGAGGGTATCTGGCAGACGTCTCATACTACTTCACGATCCCGACGTATGCCCTAAGCGGAAACGCTATATTCGCGTGGACATGGCTAAACTTCATCGGCAATCGAGAGTTTTACATGGACTGCGCTGCCGTGGGCGTCAATGGCGGATCAAGCGGTTCCGAATCGGCCTTCAACGGCCTTCCCAACCTGTGAGTTGCGAATTTCGACAGCGTCAACGACTGTGTCACGGTGGAGAATTAGAATGTGACCTCCCACATCCCGGACCCGACGTCCAGTACGGTGGCGGCCTGAGTCCAAAGTCCAAACCCACCTAGAACCCCTGGAAACTGCGACGGCACGCCCGGTAGTTCGTCCGGATATCTGCCCTCTGGAGATCGACTGATTGGCCTGCCAAACCCAATACCGGGACCAGAAATCTCTGCGGCTATTTCCGCTGCCCCCGATCCTGCCACCCGATACCATGTTATGGGCGGCACGACGATGCTCGGTGACATGAACACACCAACGCCAGCGGCCTTCGCCAACCGCCCATACCTTTCAAGCCCGTACACCTCAATGCCAGCCTTCGGAGGCGGAGGCGGAGGCTGCCACCACCACTATTCGTCCTCTTCGGAGAGTTCGGACTACTCCACCGACGAGCTCGACGTCACCATGACCATGACCATCACCTTCGGGCCATCCCCCACCTGCGTGCGAATCGAAGACTGCGACTGTCCTCCCGCCTACTGGTGAGATATCATCGACCGCAAGTGCGCCTGCGTGGGCCCTACCGTCACCGTAACGCCTACACTCCCCCCAACGGCGCCCAGCTCTTCATCTTGGGACTTGCCTCCGCCTATCTCAACCTGGTCTCCATCCCCATCCCCTTCCCCCATAGACAACGCCACCCCTCCCTACGTCACCGGCGACTCTTCTGCCTGGCTGCCCTGCATCCCTGGCTCCTTCCTCTGCGTCCCCAACCCAATTGATCACCTGAGGCCAAGTGGACAGCTCCGGCTGGTCGTACGGCTTCCTCCACACCGTGGCGACCGGCATGATGTGCTTACCACAGCTGTCGCCACTGCCGCCGGGAACTACCAGAACGACCATTGCGTGCGCGATCGGCCGTTCAGGGGGTGTTCCGTGGATGGAGCGATGTGGTGTGCGGAGGTGGGGGTGGGCTGGGAAGTGGGTTCTTGGTTTGCGATCATGGAGGGTGGGTGGATATGGGGCCTGTTGCGCCGGGGACATGGTGCGTGGATGGGGATATTGTTGCGGCATAGGCGCTACGGTGGAAGCGAGCCAGGACGGCGGAAGTTGAAAAGTTTATGGATAATGGGTGTCATGGCGTTTGGGGTGTTGACTGGCGAAATATGTGGAGTATTTACAGGCTCGTTGGATACTGGACTGGGAAGAGATTCTAATATTGTTTACTAGCAGTGAACAAGCTTGGTAGCAACTTCAGAACCGTTCTCTACCCTCTTCTTCCTCCTTCGTATCAGGCTTTTCGTCAATACGGATGATTATCTAAGGTTGAAAACTTTACTCTACCGCTAATGCTGCCAATCGGACTGATAATGGTATTACATGCAACGATGCGAAACAGTGATCTTACAGGCACGCCATGGATATCTTGTCCTCGGGCCCTTCCGAACCATTCCCGTCCATGATCTCGACCGCTTTTCTAACCACGTCTCGATCCCCTTGGAAGGTCAAAGTTTCGATAGCTTTGTCGATATCAAGCATAAAGACCTCATACTTGTATTCACTCCCCGTCTCATACATTTTCCCATCCCGATCGACCGTAAAGCTTCCCCAGCGATGGTCTTTGACAATGCAGGTATACCACCAGATGAGCTTAAGCCCCATCCCGTTGGGCCCCCTGACGCACAACCAAAACGGCTCTTTGCACTGCTCAACCCTTCTCGGGATGTTCGGCACATCTGCCACCGTTCTGGGGTCGTGGTCGTCCACCAGCTGGTTGTTAGCCTTGAACATGGCGAGACTTGGGGTCGCACGTGTTTCCATGCAGGTCGGAAGGATCTCGGCCTGGAGTCCCGTCTCTTCATACACCTCTCGCATCGCCGCCGCCGCGCGACTCTCGTGAATGTCTCGTCGACCCTTCGGCAGAACGAACTCGGACTGTTCAATGGCGTACAGGATGATGATCTTGGTACGGGTAGGATCAAAGACGACTCCACCAGCCGATTCAAGGAAGGTCGGGTTGGGATAGTCTCGAAAGATGTGCCGTGAGGCCGCCATATTGACTTCGATGTACAGGAAAGAATGAATCCAAGTTGTACGGGTGAGGTCGGTCTAATAGAATAGGAGAACGGCAGCAGAACGAGATGTGAGACATTCGGGCGGCGGCTGTACGAACGACGACCAAGTACAACCCCTCAGGCCCTGACGAAGGGAGCGGGGCAAAAGAAATAGGGATAGAGCTTCGAGGTTTAGGTGAGTCAAGGAAATGAGTCAAGGAAATGGTAGCACTGCATGTGGTCATTCGATCCTTCTCCACACGACGGAGTTAACTTACCAGATGGTTGGGGGCTAATTATGTGAGTTCCAAACACAGATGATGATAGCACGGGCAATACGTTACTACTCTGTACATATGTACCTACTTATGTGACAACATGGCAACCCAGAGTTGTGTAGTAAACCCGCCGAGAAGGGCACGATGTAATGGATGCATGGAACCGATGGACCGGTCCTTCGTGGGGCTCCCGCTGCCCTCTGCTCTTCCTAATATCGCGTGGAATCAGGAGAGACCTGAAACCATCCCACCAAAACCTCCAAATGCTGGGCCTATCGCAACTCGCACCTCGCAGCCGATGAGCACGGCTGTACAGTATTACTTCCTTCATGCACTCAGCCTCATTCATAGGCTATTCTGCTTTGGGCGATGCATGCATTGGTTCTGGACCTGCAAGACCCCGGCAAGTCTGGCAGAGGTCGGAAGAGTGAGGGGACGGAAAGGAGGATTGCGAGTTTCAGCCATGTGCCTTCGTCTCCAAGATCAACCTTTTGCCTCCTTTTGACATTGTGATTTGTTCCGAATTGGCGATGCGATCGCGTGTCCCGTTCCATACGGATATTCTATCATAAGTCTCAATTATTTACGTCTTTCCATCGTTTCCTGAAGTCCGAACTTGTTCCAATGATGTGCATGCTGCCCCAATCGGATTCACGAAGCGAATACGATCGCAATGGATCATGGATCTTTTAGTGACGCAATCGCTGCGAGCGGGCCGCTCATAACTAATGTCACGAAAGCCATCAATGGTCTTCGACGGTTGCGTGGGAAATACGCCGCTGCCGACGGGACAGCACATGCAGTGGTGGACGAACTTCAACTCGTGAAGGCGTCGTTGAGCAACCTTCGGAGATGGGCGCAGAACAACAAGCAGGCGGCCGAATCATGCGATGAGGATTTCCAGAATCAATTCGAAATCGCAAGAGACAATGTTGAAGAAGTACTTCGTGATTTACAAACGGAGGTGGACAGGCTGCTCGAAGTAGATACGGACGGTGGAGAGGACGAGGGTTGGGATGAGGAGAGTATGAAAAGTCACAAGAGCGTTCTCCATGATTCAATGGCATTATTACACACCTTGGTTCAAGCTTCTCAGTGGTATGGACGATTTGACGCACTTAAGATGATGAGAAAATGTTGATCATCGTAGTTCGAGTCGCATTGAACGGCAGTCGATCCTACACCAACCACGGAACCAAGAGATAGTACGCAGCGTTGCGGACGACACATCCACGATTAGAGGCCGTTCCACGAGGCCTGCACGATCGAACACAACTTCAAGCATAGCCAGCAGGCGAACGTCGGTGATTTCGAGCACAATCTTTTCGCTTGACAGCGAGATGCGGACCTCTGCGATCTACCGTCGCAGCACACGACCAGATGAGCGAGCCATACCGAAATTGACGACCGAGAATGTGGCGGCGTTAAACGAGGTGAGAGAGCATAAGCTCAACAATTCTCTCCCGCGAAACAAAGCTGTAGAACGAGACCGTAACGATTCGGGCATGGGATCGGTACGGAGCCCAACGGATACAGAGTCGACGATGGGTCGCGATCTACTCTCACCGTTAGGTTCATCGGCATTGAGGCAGAGGCCAAAGCCACGACCATACCAGCATTCAATGAGCTCTGAGCCCATTCATCATTCGAGGACTTGGAACCGCCCCATCATTCACGTTTCATCCGCTTCCGACTCCGCTGTTCCACGGGTATCTCAAGGCAGCCCGAGAGCGGTGACCCCGGACACTGCGTCTAAATGGTCGTCCATCAACCCCTTTAAGAGAAGTAAGAACAAACTCAGCGAGTCCGAAGACCTTCTCAGTCCCAAAGAAACGAGCCGACGCGGTCGTCGGCGGGCGGGTTCTGAGACTGATCTGAGAACAAGCGTTGACTTCAGCGGGCCGGATGGGCTGAATGCCCCCTTAATCGTCCGAGCCGCCCAGAGCGGATCGGTTCGTGAGATCGAAGAGTTGCTCGAGCATGGTGCGAATATCGAAGAACGGCACTATGCGTCGGGTCGGACGGCCCTTGCTGTTGCCGCTCATTGCGGTAATGATGATGTCGTTCGCTACCTCATTCAAGCACGCCAGCCAGCTCGAACGGATATTCGTGACGTGGATGATATGACACCTCTTCATTTAGCGTCCATGAGAGGACACTACCGTGTCGTAGAGTTGCTACTAATGGAAGAAGTTGAAATCGACGCCCAGGGTCCTGAGAAACGTACATCCCTCCGGCTCGCATGCGATTACGGCCATCTGGCTGTTATCAAGCTACTACTACAGCATCGTGCGGGCATCAATGCCCGAGATGCGAACCATATGACGGCCCTCCATTCGGCTGCTCAGAACGGGGAAGACGAAATCGTTCGACTGTTACTCAGTTGCGGTGCGGATTATGAGGGAAGAGACGCGAATCTAATGGCTCCGATACACTACGCTTGTACCGGAACCCATGAGAGACATGAGGCTGTGGTGGAGGCTCTTCTATCTAAAAGAGCCGACAGCCATCTTGAAAGCCCTGGGCATGATTCAATGTCACCACTGTCTTGCGCCTGTGCTAATGGATCTGACCGAATCGTCAAGCTACTCTTGCGGAAGAAGGCAAGTCTGAAGCATCGTAGCCATGCGGACATGACGCCCCTACACTGGGCCGCGTTTAACGGGCACTACGAAGTGGTGAGGTTGCTACTGGCGAAAAAGGCCTCGATAGATGCGCGAACATCTGACAATCGGACGGCTTTACATCTAGCAGTAATCAGTCCTTCTGATGGCAAGTTTGCCACGGTTGACCTCTTGCTGCTTAACGGTGCTGGGATCGAGGCCCAGTGTTCCGCTGGACTACGACCGCTGCATTATGCGTGTCAGGACCCGGACGAGAATGTCGTTAGCCGGATATTAGGGGCTGGCGCCAATGTTGAAGTGGAGACCACCACTAAGAAAAGGCCATTGCATATCGCCTCACAGAACGGCGCTATCAATATCATCAACCTTCTGCTCCAACGAGGAGCCGATACTGAGGTGCGTGATGGAGGGGGCGATCGAGCTCTTGGCCACGCTGCGGCACACGGGCACGTCGACCTAGTGCGATACTACTTAAATATGGGTATCCCAATGCGGGCCCGTTTCAGCGGCCGTGGAAGAAGTCACGAAGACTCGCCTCTCTGTTTAGCTTCGAAATACGGTCATCTGGAAGTTGTCCAGGAATTGATCGTGCGAGGGGCGTCAGCCCTACAACGGGACGAACAGGACTGGCAGCCGTTACGATACGCCGCTCATTACGGCCACGCAGAGATCGTACAGGATCTCCTTGATAGCGGCGCCAGTATATCAGGCCTCCTACCAAGTGGAGGTTGGGGCTTCAACATGACCGCAACCCGCATCGGGTTTGCGCCGGACATCGATGAGGAGAAGAAGGGCGAGGTTCTACGGTTACTCCTCGCCGCGGAAGCGAAAGAGAACGCAAGGTCGGAGCAATCGTATCCAACCGTGGCTCCGGCCCAGTTGGCCGGGGTCTTCGAGAAAGACGACGATGGCAGTACCGACCCTGCCGTCGCAGCGTCCGAGAAAGACAACGATCGGGAAACCCCTCCTCCCATGTCGCCCACCCGTCCTCCCCCGCCGCTACCGAATCCCATATTTCTGCGTCCTCCGGTGACCGATCCGCCGCCTGTGGGTCTCTCTCGTGGAATGAGTACGCTAGTTTCACGTTTCCGATTTGCGCATAACAAAAACAAGAGCACATCTGGCCTCAACGGTTTGGCTGTCCCTACACAGCAAAACGAACCCGCGGAAAGATTGGGATCTCACGTCAGTTCCCTGTCGACTGTCACGGATATGCCAGGGCCCGCCTCGCGTAACGCCAGTAGCGTGGAATCAGGTCGGCGACCGATTTCGACGTACATACCGTCCCCGTACGATCAGGCCAGCACCGACCCTTCCCCGAATTTCCAGCCATTCCCGTACGAGTCCGCACGCCATCCACCACCGACCGGTTACGAACCGTTGACCAGTCTCCTACCTCCTACCACCTCCGACCCTTACGGAGATGCTCCGTACGATTCACCACCAGGCTCCGAGCTCCCTGTGCCGCCGGCAGCGATGCCGCCACGAGAGGAAACGGCGGGACAAATCGCGGCGCTGCGGGAGATGGATTTTGCGACGGGGGATATCGTGGCATGTGCGGAGTGTGCGAAGAAGGGATACACGAGGCCGGACCTTACGTGCGAACCGTGCAGGCGGGTGTTATATGAATACAGGTATATAATGGGACAGATTTCAGGGGCGGATACGAGAGGAAGTCAGCTTTATGAAATGGGATGATGGACGGGTGATGGGGTTGTGGGGTTTGGGGTTTGGGATGGTTTGCTATTGCAAATAAATGATTGATACCAATGGCGTTTTTGCCTTTTGGAGGGGATAGGGCGTCGAAGCTAGTGTTTCTATGTGGATCATTGCTGTACATTGACTTCAGGATATTGATATACAGTTATCCAGCTCAGATTGCCATGAAACGTTGGAAGTGCCCAACCACTATCTTATATCTAACTAAGTTATAGGCTCGGATGATTGTTCCGGACGCGATATGAGAACCTACTTGCGGGTTGATACATGATACATAGCAGCACTCATTGGAGGCCTTTTGGTGCAGACTGCAGCTAGCCCCTGTACTGTGTAGCCCCAGTCCAGGTCACAGGTCCTTTAACGTTTCGCTCCCCAGAGTTCTAGATTATTCCCTTAGGTGGAGAATCTACGCTCGTCTACGGAATATCCTCCACAGTTCACTGCAACTAAAGATCGCGATTTAGGCTAATTATTGCGCTCCCCACCACCCCTTTGCCATGTCCATCGACTCTAGAAATATCCCGGTGGCGCATTTCGCAGATCGTCATGCCGAACCCTGAGACTCCCCACTCAAAACTTATGGACAGAAAGTCGCACGAATGAAGATATTGAAATCCGTCTCGGTTCGCGTCCTTTTAAATCCACGTTGCTCCCTAGGATTTCCGCCTTGAAAGTACTCTGCTCCTTGGTGTTCTGCTGTTTCTTCTGGAATAGAGTGTGACAATTGCGATTTCCTCGAATAGATACCCGACAGTTGCCTTGTACGTCCTTGTTTCGCCGTCTAGTTGTATATCAGTCTCTCAGTGCCCCGCGTTTCCCCCGACTTCGACACCACCACCCCCACCACTAACAGATCACGCACCGCAACCCTATTTGCACAATGAAGCCAAATATCGGGGTCTTCACCGATCCGGAACATAGGCTATGGATCGACAGTGCCGAACCCAGCGTTGAGAGTCTGCAGCAAGGCGATTCATTGAAACCTGGTGAAGTAACAATCGCAGTGAAGAGCACTGGAATATGCGGGTAAGGAGTGCAGACGTTGGCACAGTCTCCGTTGCAACGTCCAGAGGTAACTAACCAAGTACCATAAAACAGGTCCGATATCCACTTCTGGCATGCCGGCTGCATTGGACCCATGATCGTCACCGACAAACACATCCTTGGGCACGAATCCGCCGGCGAGATCCTCGCCGTGCACCCTTCCGTCACGAACCTGAAACCCGGCGATCGAGTTGCAATCGAGCCCAACATTCCCTGCTTCAACTGTGAGCCCTGCTTGACCGGACGGTATAACGGGTGCGAGAACGTGGAGTTCCTCTCAACACCGCCGGTTCCGGGCCTGCTGCGGCGGTACGTCAATCACCCGGCACAATGGTGTCACAAGCTGCCGGAGAGTCTGGACTGGGAGGACGGCGCACTGTTGGAGCCGCTGAGCGTTGCGGTAGCGGGAGTGAAGCGGGCTGGAGTTGCTTTGGGCGATGTGGTCCTGGTTTGCGGAGCTGGGCCGATTGGGTTGGTCACGGCGGCATGCGTCAAGGCAGCAGGAGCAGCGCCGGTGCTGATCACCGATATCGATGAGAGCCGACTAGAGTTTGCACAAAAGGCGGTTCCGGGAGTGCGCACGTTGCTGGTTAAGAGGGGAGAGACACCCGAGGACTTCGCTGGTCGAGTGAAGCAGTTGGCGGGCGGCCAGGAAATCGCGCTGGCCATGGAGTGTACCGGCGTCGAGAGCTCGGTCGCGGGCGCCATCCAGGCGGTCAAATTCGGAGGTAAAGTCTTCGTCATCGGGGTCGGCAAAAGCGAGATGACGATGCCCTTCATGCGGTGCAGCACGCGGGAGGTGGACTTACAATTTCAATATCGCTATGCCAACACATGGCCGACGGCAATCCGGTTGCTGGAGAACGGCGTCATTGACCTAAAGATGCTGGTAACGCATCGATTCAAGCTGGAAGAGGCCGAGAAGGCATTTCATACGGCGAGTGACGTGAAGAGTGGTGCGATCAAGGTCATGATACAGAACTTGGATTAAAGGAGTGCAATGTGTATTGGACACACTTAGCTGGGATTGGACGAGCGGTTGTATCAACTCGGACCTGAAGGATGAAGATAGACTCAAAGATACTGGTATGAACCGGACTGGATTCAGGCCATTCGAGCAGGCGCATGAACACCTGCATGTAATATAATACAATAGGTATCAGTACAGTAGGTACCGGTACTGTGAACTCCCCACATGGGCCTCGCAGAGAGGCCTGACGGGCGTATGAATCTCTCTCACCGGTATTGTGAACACATTTGCTGATGAAGCAACTGTCTGTATACAACTCAGTCATCAGACAATCAAGTGTTAGATACATACATGCAAAAGATATTTGCGCAGGGCGGGCAAGAGGATATATTTTTGTCCGTACAGTTTTAAAGCTAAGTTAAGTTAGCTATATTTTCCCTGCTTACATACACTCGCGACAGCGTAGAGAAGGCGACTTTTGGTGAGAATCTGCACGGCGGACGGAGCGAACCACGAATGAAGGATCCAACTTTCAACATCAACATCACCAGCCGTGCCAGCTCACCTCAGGACGCAACATATGACAATTCCAATGCCATACACCTCCAGAACGGCCGGAGAAAATGACGAGCATCGACGAGCTATTCAAAGGCGCTGGTATCGGTAGCAAGCGTAAGATCGAGCTCAATCACGATCCCTCACACTTCTACAAGTCCGCGAAGCTCTCCGCAAATGGGGACGCAAAAGGGAAAACGCACGCCAGCGTCGAAGAGGCCGACGAGAACAATTACGATGACGACGCGGAAGCCGGTCCCGAGATGCCCCCCGACGATGGTGAGGATCCGGATGAGGAAGGACGATTCTTCGGCGGTGGCATGGACAAGGCGACAGCGGCAGCCATGGATTACCTCGACATCGCGGACGGTCAGGAGGAATATGTGCAGGAGAAATACGACAGCGCATGGATACGGCGACTGGCGTTGAATTTTGAGAAGAAGATATCGAAGAACGCGGAACTGCGAGCGAAGTATGAAGAGGACCCGACGAAGTTCCTACAGTCTGAGGCAGATCTGGACGATGAGGTCCGGAACCTGTCGATCCTGGCTGAACATACCGACCTCTACCCGGAATTTGCAAAGCTGGGCTGTGTAGCATCTTTGGTGTCCTTGCTCGCGCACGAAAACACGGACATTGCCATTCGAGCCATCCAGACCATTGGTGAACTCCTCGATGAGGACGTCGAAGCTGAGCCGGAGCAGTGGGACGCTCTGGTTGATGCCGCCCTCGAAGCCGATATAATCTCCCTCCTAACCGCCAACTTCAGTCGTTTCGACGAATCTGCGACCGAAGAGGACCGCAATGGCGTCTACCATTCCCTCTCCGCAGTCGAGATCCTCTCCTCGCGTTCGTCCGTCGCTGCGGAGTTATCGTCCACCGGACCCACCTCGCTCCTCCCGTGGCTCCTGAGTCGCCTCCAGCGGACTGAGAAGGCAGTCTCCCAAAACAAGCAATACGCCGCGGAAATCCTCTCCATCCTCCTCTCGTCGTCGCCCTCCACACGGTCCTCGCTCGCCTCTGTCTCCCCGAACGGCATCGACACCCTCCTGAACTGCCTCGCCATGTACCGCAAATCCGACCCGTCCCCCGGCAGCACCGCGTCCGAATATTTCGAGGATCTGTTCGACGCGCTCGTCCTCGCCCTCCTCACACCCGCCAATAAAGCCGCCTTCCAGGCCGCCGAGGGCATCGAGCTGCTCCTTATCATGCTCCGGTCGTCCAGTCTCAGCAAACCACGTGCACTGCGGACGCTGGATCACGGCCTTGCGGGGTCCTCTCCCGAGTCTGGCGCACTGGCCGAGCACTTCGTCGAGGCGCAGGGACTGGGCATCTTGTTCAAGCTGTTCATGAAGAAGCAAGACGCGTCAACCACGGAGCATCTGCTCGGAATCCTATCCGCGTTGCTGCGATTGCTCCCCGCGGACAGCGCCGGCCGCATACGCACGCTGGCGAAGTTCGTGGAGAGGGACTATGAGAAGATTGGGAGGTTGGGTGTCGTTCGGAGGGAGCTGGAGGCACGGCTCAGAGGTGTCGATGCGGCTATCACGGAAGAGAAGACGAATCTGAAGCGGCGGGGAGATGAGGGTGAGATTGAAGTGCGGGAGGAGGAGTGGTTGGCGAGACGGCTGGAGAGCGGGCTACATTCTCTGAGGTTGGTGGATGCCATTCTAGCTTGGCTCGTGGCTGAGGATGCTGGTGCGAAGAGAAAGATCATGTCTGTGTTGGACGAGACGGACCAGGCGCTGTCGAATGCCAAAGCGGTTTTACAGGAACAGTTAAAAGAGATAGGGACGCCTGACGAGGCAGAAGAGGTTGCTACGGCGGAAATGCTTAGTGCTTTGGTCTCGTTCTTGAATTGAACGAGTTACATGTCATCTAGGAAGGAATATCTCTTGGCAATCAACGCTTTAGAGGAGCTGGAGCACATCCTCGTGGATTTCTTGTATTGATGGTAGGAATTCGGATGAGACATGGTATCTTAAACACGCCTCTTTGCCTTCACGCTAATAACGCTAAACCTCCTCTCTGTGTCCATAATGATAGACCCGTAAAATGACCACACATAAAACGCCGTCGCTATGCATCGCTAAAGACGAAGACAGGAAAGCACATGTTCCACCGCTAAACATAGCCACGCAGCACTGCAACATCAGAGCTACTAGGCCGCATGGCTTGAGGAGAATCGAAACGCTTGAAAGTCAACCACGCGGACCTTCGCATGTCGGCTTGGCGACGCCGCACACAAACCCTCCGTATCGCTTGACATGCCGCACTCGCTCTGGCTGTCGTGAACCAGCAGGGAGTCCTCGCTGCCCTGGTTAACTCGCGGGGGGCTGGATTTCATAACGGCGTTCTTCGCGGAGAGACCGATTGGCCGGTATTCAACGTGTTGGATATTGTCGTCGCTTCGCAGCACCACGACACGCGGCCCGACCTCATCCCAAGTTGCACCGTTGATTTCCGATCCGGCTCGACAATGTTTCCTGGACGTTGTTGGGGATTTGATCGCAGAGCTCGTGCCGGAGTTCATTCCTCGACTGAAGACCTTGGAGGATCCGGAGGCTTTCGGTGTATTATGTATGGGTGAGAACCCGATACCAGAATCTCGAACCGAGCGTCGGACACCGTAGAGGTTGGATTTAGGTTTTGCTTGTGGGGTAAATGCAATTGTCTTCTTTTCCGCGTTGATAGAACCGCTGCGCCCACGCTTCATCGCACCATCATCGGCCGGGGTCTGACCGGACTTCATAGCCATCGTACCGCCCTCAGCAACAGGATGGTATTTGAGATCATCAAGGTAAATCTTCATGGAGGACTTTCTGCTTTTAGCAGCAGAGAACTTCTTGCTGCGGATGCCCAGGTTTTCTCCCTCGATATTTTCAGTAAATGAGACCGAGACATTAGCACTTTGATTGTTGGGAGCTGCGCATTCGTCCTGGGTCGTATGATCTTCCCCGATCTTCGATGTGATCTGGGGATCGTCGTATTTCGGAGCAAAGAACTTGCTGCGTCCTTCATTTTTAGTCCCTGTGGAGGTTCTGGGACTCGGGCCAGCTGCGCCATCAATGCTGTTCGAGCATAATCGCTGTCGCTTGGAAGCAGGCCCACTAATTGTAGAACGGGCGGTCGTATGGGCAGCATTTGGGTCCCGATCGCTTTTTGCCGCAGAATTACTGATCTCGGCAAGAGGTTGACCAGCACGCAGTCCTCGACTATTTCTAGCAATGCTTAGCGGTGCTGATGCCGTCCTACGGCTTGAAACATTCGGGTCGATGTTCTCTTGCGAAGGATGGACCACTATCGGAGCCGAACGTGTTCGAAGAGAGTTGCTCGATATCACAGGTGCTTCGTAGCCATTCCACTCGGAATTTCGGGCTCTGGCAAGTAGTGCTTCCTGTTCTGGCGTTGGAGCGAACGTGTTAGGGTCGAGCTCCGCGAGTGGAATGCGCTTCTTCGCAAAGAAGTCCGTGATGGGTGGGTCTCCACCAGGCGGACCGGAGTCAGTGCGGAGTTTAGGGGTGTTAAATCGCTGCAGAGGCTTCACAGGTGCTGGTGCTGGCTTCAATTCGCCTTTGTTATGAGGATGCAGTTCCCCAAGAGCAATGCCGGCAGCTGTTTCATTGTCGATCTTGGGTCCGATGTATAGGAGCCCCTCCATTTCATCAGCAAAGTCTGGGGTAGGGTCATTCAAAGTCACAAGTTGCTTCGTTTTCGGATCGAACACCCGCTGATAAAGAAAGGTTTTCTCCGCTTGGTCAAACAACTTGAGGTAACCAGGAGGGACCTTAAACTTCCCATCGAACTGGATCGCACGGATGATTCGATCGATGCTCTTGTGCTTTCGGACCATTGCATGGGCATTCTTGAGACCCATGTTCTTCATGTTGGCCAAGTAATCGCATCCAGAGAGAATGCACATCCGACGAAACTCATTGTCGGTCCATCCTGCGAAGCTCAGTCTGCGACATGCGGTGAATTTCTCACGGCGAATCATAATGGTGCCCCCAAACTTGTCGAGTTTGGTGAGGAGAACCTTAGCACCAAAGACGAGCATGTCGGAATCCTCGGAGAGAATAGCGGATATGAGGCCTTTCTTCTCGAGATACACCAATTGCGAATCAGCTTCATATGGAGCCACGACATAGCTGACACCACATCGCCGGAGCTCGTCAATGACAAGACGGGCCATTTCAGGAGTCACCTCTACGGCCTTTTGAAGGGTCTGAAATGCTTGTGCAGAGCGACCGACTTTTAGCAGCTCAAGGCCGATTTTCTTTGAACTCTCACGGGAACTTGAACGTTGAAGCTCAGTCCCTGCTTTACTGGGAAGATAATCTCCATCGAGGACAATGTACGGCTTGATACCGAAATGCTCAAGCATCCGGACGCGACCCATAAAGAAGTCAACATATCTGGATCAATTTTAGCGTGTCTGGTTGAATTAAAAGGTCGATAAGTAGACTGCATCCAGGAATCTAACAGCAGATCGATTGAGAGCGGTGAAAAACATACCTGTTGGTAGGCTTGCCTTGCGCTAGCTCAATTGCACAGGAAACTGCGCCGCGATGAAGCCAGCCATATCCATCAACACCGATTGTTTGACCAGCAAAGTTCTTGAGCGACACTGGCTTTGAAATATCTTCCAGATACGAAAGCAACCCTGAGATCCGTAAGTAAGAGGCACTGGCCCATCTGAAATGACTTCTCTCACCTTGAACGCCCATGATGAGACAGGATGAAGTCTCGCATAACACCGCCAAACAGGGTGTGTGCAGAGGCTAAAGTAACGACGATATTGAAGGGAAGAAGGGAGGTCTAAGGGAAATCCATTGGATTCTTAAGGTGAGTGATGTTACCATGAGATAGACAGATCAGATGGTTACGATGGTTGTAAGACGCGTCCTGTACATCTGAAGACGCGAATCTTGAAGTGAAAGTGGCGGCTCCACAGACTGCAGCTTTGGTTTCTAATGTCCGCCGTACAACATTATGCACCTACTCATACCAAACAGTGAATCTGATTTGTTTACTCTGCTCCAATTTTGTTTACGAAGGCAACTGGACGTCAAAAACTTTGTCATTCACAATCACAACGATAATTTTTATAATTGTTGCGTCGAATATGGCTGATTCATGATCCAAATAATCGAAAATAGCGACATTTACCATCATACTCCTCGAAGGACCGACGGCTTTACCGTGCAGTGGCTGCTATGGCCTTCATATAGGTACACGGGATTTCGGGGATATCATCGACGTAGTTTCACAGGAGATACCGTGGATATAGATGAGAAGGCGACAGAAGCGTTGATTAGGAACATTCGCAGGCTATTCAAATACTTAAAAGAGCTTTGCTCCTGTGAAGACTAAGCACTCAGTTTGCATAAGGTCGGCGTTCCTAGAGGGCGAAGTCCCGGCGGCTGAGGTTATTCGCACCCTAGGTTTTGTAGCCACCAAACTGGCAAAACGGGAAAGGACAGCGAAAGATAATCGATGAAACCATCTCGTCCAAGTTTCAGGAATGCAAAAAACCAAGAAGGTGAATTACCTAGGAATACCGTCTGACGAGGGTCAAAATTACATCGATACCGGAGCGGACGATCGGACATCAGTCTCGCCCGAAGGAGTACATATCGGCATGCGGATCACCGTTGTAGTTCCTCATACCCAATGAAAGCCGGACTTGTAGCTTGACTTCGAAATCCTATCACCGAGTTGCTCCATTCGGCGGGAACTTATTTAGGGCCCGCATCAGCCGCCCCAGACACGAGGCGATGATTATCTAACGCGACCGAAAATTCGCGCACCCATTTTGCGCATCTCCGGCCTCCGGGATATGCCCGAGCAGGAAGTTATACGAGCCAAGACACCAGTGACTCGATGGTGCAGCAATCAGCATGAACGGCTTGAACCTTTATCTTGGCCAAGAGGGGAACTTGCAAATCAAGCATCAATAAGGTACTGATGTGACGATGAACAATGGAATCGACGATTTTGAGCTCCACGCTCGGCATGCCGGCATCCATTCCGAGCTCCCGACAGATATGCTACCAGAAAATTATTGTTCTCCGCTAAAATCATATGCAAATAGCAATTATGCACAGTTGTGAAAGTCGAAGAGCCTTGATCCTGATATCTTCGGCAACTGGATATGACGTAGTGTTCTGTATTCCTGTCCACTGATAGACTTGATACCTATCACTAATATGCATTGAACGAAATCCATTCAAGAAGCGTATGGACTGCTTATGTGACAACGTGACTCTGCGCCCTGCGGCTCCAGTGCGACAATTCTGCATGCATGACTGAGCTTGCAGTAGTGGCATCATTACCCCGGACCCGAGGTTACTAATAATTAACACAGCTACTAACTAGTTAATTTGGACTTGCAGTAACGTAACAGGGAGCGTATTTCTCATCTCGGATAATGATTCCCTTCCATGATCATCTCAAGATAGGTTTCCGGAGAGATACACGTTTAGACGATTCCTTCACTCGCGCCATCCCTTGTACACGATCTTGCTCCCATATTGTTGTCCGCGCTTCAAGATCACCATCCCTTTCCATTCGTCAACATTGATCGAATTGACGTATCGACTGGGCTCCACGCAAAATCCACTCCGCGAGCCACGGGCGGGCTGTGTTCCTGCTGCAGGGACGTCGATATACCTGCCGGTATAGAACTGGAAGGCCGGCTCGGTGCTGTGGACTTCCAGGTTGATTCGCGATTCCGGATTCCGAGCATGGATGAGGCGCTGTAGGGGGAGCTTCCGCGTATCGATCGGGACCGAGGAGGGGTCCTCGTTCAGAATGAAGCAATGATCGATGTCAGGATCGGTTGGCCCGAGTTTGAAAGGCTTGTTGGCGGATATCCCAGGATAGGACTCAATCGGCCCGGTAGGGATGCTTGTATCGTCGACAACCATGTGTTGCGATGTCGCGAGAGTGACATCGGTATCGGCGATGGAAGAGTTCGGTAAGTTCAAGTTGAAGTAGCTTTACTTTGTTAGCGAGGCCAAAGTACAGACGATGGTGGGTCAAATACCTGTGGTTTGTGATCCCAACCACAGTCTCTGTGATGTCTTTCTCTTCCGCTTCATTTCCCACCATTTCAACTTCATATTCAATCTCCAAAACACTGGTTTCCTTGCCGTTGCTCTTCTCAGTGCTTGCAGTGTAATAGACCCGAAGCTCCACGGCTCCAGGGAAGCCTTCTTCGCCGTCTGCGCTTCGATAACGGAAGACCGTTCGCCCTTTGTCGTCGACTTCGGGGCCAGTAAAGACCCTCTTTCCCCAGCCCGTAGGGCCACCATGGAGACTATTCGGTCCATTATTTGCAGCCAATTCGTATGACTGGCTGTTCAGACTGTTGATCTTTGCGCCAGAGATTCGATTCGCAACCCGGCCGATGGTCTCTCCGAAATGCGGCACATTGTATTGCCTGTACTCATCCGTCTTCTCGAAGTTCTGAACAATGTTTTGGCCATCAACCAAAAACGTTCGAATGATTGCGCCGAGTGGCAGGAACTCTGCCACTGCCTTATCTTGCGATGCCATTTCCGAGATTGTTGACTGCAGGTTGAAGGAGCTATATGAGATCAGGATATCCGTACAATTTCTTCACCCGCGAGACTTCGCAAGTTATTGCACAGTTTAAGGAGATGTTCGAGGGGACAGCGATCAGAAATGGGAATTAAAAGGGTCTTAACATGTAGAATTGAGGTTACCGTGTCGACTTTCTGACAGGCGGTTGAAGTGCCGTGGTTTTGGACTCCGGCTAAATTGACGATCTTGAACAGAAGACTGGAGCTGCTCTCTTACCTGAACAGTACAAATAGTGACGCGACCGCGATGATAGCAAACAGCACACGCCGCGAAAAGTTGCTCATCCTATCATCTTCAGCACCGACCTAGACACTACAGTGACTTCCAAATAACAAATACGCGACCGCCCAATACTAGGCATCGAGGTGTCAAACACAGGATCTCCTAGGAGTCTGGGGACAAGACAAGCTCCCATCGGCTATCGCTTTGTGTTTACTATTGGGGGACTCAAACACGTGGTTGCACTTCTTTAACCGTCGTCACATGACGATCGGAGCTGTTTCAATTCAAATCAGAGCTCTAACTCGGCAGCTCACCAGTTTTCCAGAAGTTGACACCTACACACGGGGTTCGAAGATAGAGTACAACAGTACACTCGTAAATGACAAGTAGAATCTGGGGGTTACAGAGTACCTATACGGCCCATACAAGCAATCGACCTGTGTTCGAGAATCTGTCTACGGCTAAGTATGATGCAATATGAGAAATCATCACTCATCCAAAAGTTCAAGTACATGAAATTGTTTCGTGAGATTGACGTCGCACAGAGCCCTAGTCAACATTGAAAATGTCACGCCCGTCAGGAGATTGCCGTTCCTCAAAGTTCGCAGCATCACCGACAACATCTATCGGAAATCCGTGAGTCTTGGACAAGTCCATGGAGGCAGCGTGCGAGAGTAAACGATCCCTGGATTCACGATCCGTTGGATCTCTTCCCGAACCTTGATGGCCAACATGTCAAACCAACCATGAATCCCTGCGCATCGAACGACTGCAGCTCTGGGGAAGCCGATCGAGGATTCGGAGATGAAGCGCGACTGTCCGTCGAACATTAACACGGGCATCAGAGTTCTATGACTGGCCCATGAAATCAGTGGAGGAACCTGGCTCGCTCGCGAGAAATGGCCGAATCGCTTAGTCGACATCTCCGCTTGCTTAGGGAGGCATTGTGCCGTAACATGCGGAAGGAGAGAGTATTAATCGCGCAATACAAAAGGGACTAGGAAAGTGAAAATCAAACATTATAGCCTCACATTAGGAGAGTACAGTCGTCACTGCGGAGGTGGTGAATTGGAGGTGGTTTTTCCGATTCACTTACCTAATCGCAGCAAGGCAACAATTGCACAACTTCGTCGCCCGGGGATATCCAAATTCCAGAACTAACTAGCGCGATTAGACTCTCTTAGATTCGCCAAGAATGGAAAATTCTAATGTTCGCTCAAAGTAATTCCGGCTTGGCTGCGGTACAATCCCGCGGTACCCACCCCTTGGATCCTAATATCCAGCCCAATACCGGTAGGTTGGGCCTTGCTATGTTCAGCCTGTGAGGCTGCTTGCCGGTCCCTGAGCTGATCTCAGTGCTGACCCGTTCAGGCCTTCACGGATGCAGCATGTAGGCTGCCGAATGCTTATCCCATGATGATGAAGAGTCCTTAAGGGATAAGGAAACAATCTGCTCATATGGTCTAGAATTTAGGATGGGCCGTGGGCGTGTCATATCAGGGTCTGATAATTGGGCCATTGATCATCTCATGATTTACTCACGGCAATGAAGAAAGTCGAGGGTGAAGAGTTGAGGTTGGTGAATATTCGGAATTACATCTCACAACTCGACTGCAAATGGTATCGACAGTGGTGCCGCTCATGCAACATGAAAAGAAAGTTCCTGGATGGAAGGATCGCCCTTCTCTTTAGGCCCTCCGTCTATTGAACCCAATATATGCCTGAACGCCCATGAATAGAAACAAAGGGATCCTTCCCCTGCGCCCGCTTAAACGTAGTCACGTAAAGTCCACAGCCGGAGTGGTGAAGTGAAGCATGTTGCAAATATTAGCCTCCTCCCTCTCCTCTCATACTGGACGGGTCGGCCAGCGAAGTGCTGTGCCGAAGTCCAGGCGTGCCACCAGGATTGAATGGCTGATCCTGGGAGTAATCGTTGGTTTGATGTCGCCCGTGATAGGCTCTACACCGTTCCTCGACCAGCTTGGATGAAACTGCCGAAGTCCAAATCGGCGCTCGGGTCCGACCAGTCCATCGCCATGGTGGTCGGTGCTGGGATCCCAAAGCCGTTGAACGGGGCCATGAGAGCTGCACCGTCATATATCGAGCTGTCCATCTGCGCGAACAACTCACTGTCTTCTTCCATTGTCTGATTCATGAGAGAGTTCCGGATGGCCGGCGCGTTGTTCATAACCGCTGTGTGGATGGCCACCTGCGGTTGATGCAGAGGCATGCCGAACTGTGCTCCTCGCATCTTCTTCGCCGGCAGCTCCGTTTGCCGCATGAATGGACTGCGATGCACCGCTGGTGGTGTTGGCGGCATTCCTGAGTAATGATCGTTATAACTTAGGTTCGTTGTTGGCGGTGTATCGAAGGTGGATGTTGAGGGGCTGACATCGTGGGATGAATCCGATGAGACCGAACCGCGGCGCTTGACTAGTCTAGACCCGTTTCGAACCATTTTCTGCTGCAGTTTGGCCGGATCGTCCTCGAATGTGCCATCTGGAATTGGGCCACCTTCTATCCGCAAGTAGAGAAGGTCCAGGCGCTCGAGGATGTCGTGGGTGAGAGGATGTCCATTCTCTTGCGTCTCCAATGGTGCCCCTGGCCAGGCTTGTCGTTCACAGCCCGGTTGAAGGCGGTGGTACAGCTCTCGGAGGCCGGCGACTAGCTGCGCCTGTTGCTGTTCCAGCATCTCAACGTAGCTAAAGTGAAGTTAGAAACAATATCCAAGTCTTTGGCCGAACATGTCTTACCCTTTAGGGTAGACTTTGTCATGTACCCTCTTTCGCTCTCCAAAGACACAGATAGCGTTGTCTGCTTTGCATCGTGAACAGGGGGTCGCACCATCACACTAAATAATGAATGTCAGTCATGACTTTGGAGGAGCGAGACAGATGAGTCTGACCTTTGACTTTTTGAGTCTACAACGGTCACACGCTTTACCGACTCGCTTTCGACCATTTTCCTCGTCCGCGGACATTGAGGGTTGCCTCTGTGGGGTGGACATCGTGCTCGATATCAGATGTGCCAGTATAATATCAAGCGGCGTGGACTAAAATATCAAAATATATATTGAATAGCAGAGCGACAATTCAAAGTATATCAGGGCCAAGTTAGACAATCAAAGACGAATCAAACAACACACGATCGATCTGGGGAAGTCCGAATTGAGGCTCATAACAGATTATCAATTGTGTGACTGGGGATAACGACGTTCTTATATCCAGGGACGATGCAACGGGGGTGTATGACATGATGGGCCGACATAGAGTGCAGGGCGGAATCATGATGGGTAATACAACCCTAATTCACCAAATAATGCTGAGTGGACGGCAGCAGTAGTGAGGAGCGGTATTTCTTGCGTTTCGTCCACATCATCACCCAGTGAAGCCTCAGTCGGGCAATCGGCAGCAAATCGACAAGGGCCGGGGGACAGCCCTAGCAGTGTACGGGGCCGAGCATGCGCTTGTGGCCCTCTGCCTCTTGTCAGCCCTGGGGATGTGAACGAAATCCTCTGGGTTTGGTCATTCCGCTTCCTTTTTTTCTTCAACAGTGGGCCCGTTGTTGATGTAAGCAGCCTGTAATTTGTATTAGAGAGCAGGTTGCATTCTTGCTCCGTCGTCCATCCGAATTGTGTTCCTGGACCGGCGGCGATAACCCCGAGAGTCGGGAAATCCGGCAGTCTTCCGCCCTAAACTGTGCCACCCGTAATCCCACCAGGTCTCCATGCGAAACTCAAATCCTGACCATACACAGTAGACTCATGTCCCATGGAGATCATCGCAGAGGCACCCCGAGGTGCTGACGGCTGGCTATTTTTGATCCTCATCAGACACGAAGATCAAAACGTCAGGCTTGGGGGCTTGATCAAGAAGGTATCTCGTCCCACCGCGCCACGGCTGTTATGCATAATAAACTTGGACGCTTGGAGGTTGGAGGGACACAAGGACACCACGGACCCCGCGGACTTAAGAGTGGACGGGATAGTAATCGACGCGTCTTGTCGAGGTCAAACCGATGTAATTAGTGCTTCATTGGCGCGTTGACAGGGTGAAGAATTGACGTTTTAATGACTTTTGACGTTGAACGGTTGAAGAACCACAGTAATCGAAATAATTAGGGAGTTTTCGATGACGCTCGGCCGGTTAACCAGACCGATGGCCCATTTAAGACATGGGGTCGGTGATAGCTTCGCCCGACATTATGAATCATCCAAATTCCAATATGTGAACACCCTGAATGGGTATACTAGTGACACTCCTACGAACTTAATAATCTGAGAGACTACCAGGGCTGAGGACCTGAACGCTTTCAATCGATCGCTGCTTTGTCCATTTGCCATGAGCACTCTTAAAGCCTATCAGTGGCCGCTACTTAGCCTATCAGCGGCCGCTACTTAGCCTAATATTTGATCAGGTACGGGTACGGACGTAACTAAACGGTGGCTGTGGATGGTTACGAGGTATTTATCGGTCAGCAACTCGATATGACAGCAGTGAGAAGTAATAATGTAGGATCCATTTGAAAGCCTGGTCCTTGTTCTCACTTCTCTCCTCGAACCATCTGGACTTTTGTCAGTGATACAATTCGAGAGCAAGGTACTAAATTGGCGGTTTGTCACTGGAGCACCTGACACTGCTTGGCCTAATCATTTACTCCGAATAGAAACGGCAGGATAGTCCAAAATGTAAGCTGTTTTTTTTTTGGCAGTGCTTGTCATTACTTCGTCCCGCATCTACCAAGGTCTTGGAGATTTGGATGATCTCCGCGCAGCTCAGCGGTAACTCCGAGATGCATGTTGCTGCTTGCTACTTTTCTAAGCCGAATTCAGGCTATCCAAGCCTCTTCAGGACGACGCGTACAAATCCCGGCGGACGAATGGTCCATCCCGACTCCCGTCTGTGCCCTCCGCTATTCATCGAATATGCAGATTCGGCCCCAGGGCCTTCCAGATCTCCAGCACATCTTAGTGCTTCCGAACCCGTGCTGGCGTCAAGGCCCGACTGGGTTGTGGGTGAGCTGCCGCATCGTCAAATCAGATCGCTCAAGGACCGAACGCCCTTTTCGTATTTCGAACTGGTCACGGCTTTGTGAGCTCGCAACATCTTCCATTTTCACACTCACGCTATGAATGACCTCGCGGCTTTCGATTAGGCGAAAATTGCGGTAAGTCTTCAAATAGACGCGTGTCCAGTTATTTACGTACATCATCCCCAGCTGGTCGCCTGGTCGCTGCGTTTTGTTACCGAATACGCAGGCTGCTTGCTGCTTACCTTTCATTACATGGAGTATGCCCTCCTTGAGCCTCGAGGAAGCCCTGGCGATTTTCAGATTGTAAAATCATTATCTATTACTCCATTAAGCACTCGGACGTGATAGAGCCAGCCAGGCGACACTTGACACTATCAACTATCAAGTTATCGATGCAGCAAGCCGAAGGCATTTTGTGGACGAATTGCGCACATTTGTCGTGCTTATCAAGCGTTCCTGTATTCGAAACGGGCCTCCCATTTGCTCAATTGCGCTGCATCGCGACAAAAACGCTGGAGCCTAGCGATGGTGGATGAGCATCTGCATCAGTGTGCATTGTGCTAGGTACTTCCAAGGCACACATTTAAACGACTAAACGTCCATATCGCGCCACACGGACCGATTCAATTCAGTGGCTTTTTTGGGCTCTGGTGAGTGGTTATCGAGTCTAGTAATTGTTCAAATCACTAATCCGCGTCACTGCATGCTTGCGCTGGCAAAGCTGCCCCCATGTTCAAATATAACATGTCGGAATGAACTCTTGCCCCTTAGAGATAATGCAGATCATCAACGCTGCCGAATCCTGGCCGAGAACTTTGGGTGTGTGGTCTGATTTGTGATTTGACATGGCTGGGCCCTGAGCCCGAGGACGCCGAGTCCGGTTGGTTTGGAATCACTGTAATACGGGGATAACGTTGTGGTTTACTCAACACACGGCCTTATTTTCAGGGAGGGTTCCGCTTGGTCAATAGTAGATACTCAGTAAGTTAATTAACTACAGTATAACGTACTCCACAAGCGAGTGGTCAATACAAGCGAGCGGTCAGCCCCAGCCAAACCAAACCACTTCAATTACAGATATCTCTACAACGCCCTAATTATATGAAATTCCGATAACTAGAAAAACTAATCTGTAATAACTGGATGACCTGGAAGACATGTTTCAACCCGATATCCTGGCTCACGGGTGTTTCGTGGTTAGGTTTGACCGCTCGCTTGTATTGACTACCCGCCTGTGGAGTACATATTACCCAGGTAACGGACTGAGGTAATCTGAGCAATTCGTTGGGAGATGGAGACGGCACATCCAGAAAAAAGTGTAAATACCATACTGTACGGAGTAGTCCCGATCCAGTGGAACGCTGCGAGACATCAAGACCCGAAATTCGAATATGCTCCCTACACCATCGCTAAATCAAACCGGAAGCTGTCCTGCCTTCAAATTCCGCAATGGTTCATCGAATTGGCCGGTGATCACACTGCCACGAATGGATCCATTCCAACTTTTTACAACGGATGTTTTGATTCCCTCTGCTTGGAGCATTTGTCCACATTTCCACCCTCTCCTTGCTGGGACCCGTATTGTACATCTGCTTAGGCCATGTCTTCGTCTTACTCAGTGGGACAAAAGGATTCGCGTCTCCCAATCGATTGGCTGTAATGCCCGCATTTCCAGGATGGGACATGCCTGCTTCAACCTGTCTTTCGTACGCCACTTGACGAAGGCGCTCGGATTCTCGGGGTGTAAGTTGAATCTGGAAGAGTGGTGTTAGCGACCGTGTTTGTGTTTGAGGAGGGCCATTTTGGACAGGTTCGTACGTATAATTCGATCCCAATAGCATGCATGATGAATGCTAGCCAAAGGGCCATACCGAAAGAGATATCCAAGACTGCTATTACCTCAATTATACCGGCCTCTAGCGTGGCGAAGACAGCAGAGTGTTGTTGTAGGTTCGTGCCGTCGAGGAACGGCACACATGCAGAATATGAAGAAGCAATGGCTTCTGTCTCAGTGCCGAATGTGGTCAACATGTCGACAATCATTTTGCAAGATATGGCGTAATAGTAAGTTCCAATCCAGGAGATAATTGGCTGGATGATAAGGAAAAGGAGGCGTTGAGAGATGGGGGCTCCAATCTACCAGCTTAGGTTAGTAAAAGATGAGGAGGGGAAGCGGAAGCGACTGACATAGAACCAGGCCCGGAGCATCCAGTTGCGGTGCTGGTCAATTTGCAAACGCCTGATATTAACCCAGGCCAAAGCTATCGAGACCGTCGAAGCAAGAGCTATCATACCAACGGAAGATTGAGTGGCCAGGGACCCGCCGAAGCCAACCCGGGTAATCATCAAAGCTCCAATATGCGCAAGCTGGATCAATAGTATGATAGCGTAGCCATTGAGTCTATGGAAAAGTCTGACTCTGTGTCTGATCGCCGGAAGGAACTGAAATAGTGCTAAAAACCCCGCGGGAATGATGGTGCAAAGGTGCATGATGATACCAATCTTGTACAGGTTGCGAGACGTGTAGATCAGGCACTCTCCTGGCGCCGCAGAGAGACTTGGCTGAGCATTTTGGGGACAGAAGACACCCCCGAAGTTCATGTACGGTGAGCGGGCCAGGAGGAAGCCCAGCAACGCTCCGGAGAAGATGAACCCTGTTCAGCTTGGTGAGAACGGAATCGGTGAGGCATTTGGAGGAGAACACTGACATAGCATAAAGTTATAGAATCGCGTGAAGCCAAGGGGGTTGTAGACTTTTCGTGCCAAAAGATTGAGCCGATTCTTCGGTGGTCGATCAGAGACGACCATGATAATAAAAGAAATTGAGGGACTTTGAATGATAATTCGAGAGATTATATACTTATTGCTCATGGATCCGTGCCATTTGATCGCCTATTCAATCCCAACTCCTTGGGGGCCGTCCCTTTATACCTGTATACTACTTTGGGTAGGACGATACCGAAGGAAATCGGGATTCAACCGCCACTGAATCCTTCAAGTCGACATGCGACCCAGGCCATGGTCTCGCCATTAATGATTCCACAATGAGGCTCTGCTTGCGTTAATGGTTACCCAGAGCTAGCACGAAATGCATCAATCGCTGACGATCAATCCACCTCCCCTGTGTTGGAAAGTCGACCCGCGACAGCCTGGCGACTTGCGAGACTTGTCGGCCTCCGTTGCCATCGGAGAGCTATAGCTGTATCCTTGATTACTAGCACCATAAACTGTAGCCAAGACGCAAATTACGGGATTGAACGTGGCGGGCGTCGGTCTGAAACGCATAGGATTTAAATTAGAAGCGAAGGATGTATTCTGGTCGCTGGTCACCGCTGGATGGTTCGAAGGCCGAAGTGGAACAATCACTGAGGCGCCAAGGCCGCGAGACTGACGATAATTCAGTTCATTCATGCTCAGCTCGCTGCGCTGAATCCATCCAGTCCGCTTCCATTGTTACGGACAACGACCTTTCATCCAAAGATAGGTACCTTATGTTCACGTAATAATGGCTTAAGAAACTAGTTCATTTTGATAAGAAGTCAAGCAGGTTCCCGACTTTGTAATTTCCACCACCCGGATTGGACCCCCTTGGACTCCTCCATGGGCGCTAGAAAGAGGAGGCATTGTTGCGCGACGTAACCTTCCTATCCAACACCGCGAATACATGCATTTAGGTATTTCAACACTGTTGATTGCTTGTCTGTAAATGGGTATCTAACGAAACAATCGACCTGTAACTTCACTTTCTGCCCGCTCTGCCGAGTGACAACTCCGTCGTCATAGTCTCAAATTGGAACATATGCCCCTGAAAGCCACTACAGGTACCGAATTTCACCGTTGTCTTGCACCGCACCGATAAACTTTTCCGCGACGCCAAGTAATGATAATCATGACTCTGCTTTCACCTCAACAGGAGCGGCAGATCCATTCGTCATCCCAGCGCTCACCACATGTGGCCGATGCTTAGTCAAAATCTTGACCGTCAGCGCCTTGGCATCCTCGTCTGTTCGTCTGTTAGCCACGACATGCCACCTTCGCCGGACTGCCGCCAGGAATCCGCCAACTTACTGTTCTTCCACAAATCCTCCACGACGTCCAAGCACAGGTCCCGCACCGGGGGCTTAAACAGGATGAGGTACTGCAGCGCCTGGATCGTCATCGCCACGCGATCCGGATCGGTCGTCAGCGCCTGCACTCGCGTGAGCATACCCCGGTCCAACTCGGGGATTTCGGCGAGGAAGCGGATGAGCAGCTTGCGGTCGTTGCGGTCGAGGTAGTGGAATATCTCGTCCATGAATTTCAGAGTCCATTTTCGGTAATGTCGCTTGGTGGCAACCCGATTCTGTACGGGCGTGCCGTTGCTCGCGCCGTTGGACGTGGCGGAGTGGCGCTCCTCATGGGATTTTTGGTCGTTCACCGTGTCGTTGAACCATTCCTCAGTGAGCCAGGCGATGGCGCAGTCAATCCGCTGTCGGAAATCCTCGACGACAAATAGGTTCATCTGCTCGCGAATATAGCTGGGAATAGGTGCGTCGTCCAAGAACTTCGAGTCGCCGTTGTGTTCCTTTTTGATACCGTCCATGCTGTCATCGCCAGGCTCCAGCCCCGTTGCTCGTGTAGCGATGCGACAAATTAATGTCACCAACGAATCCCGGTCCTGACCGGTCGCAGCAAGACGATTGAACCCGACGGTGGAATTTGCACCTTTGGGTTTGACTTCCGCCACGCGGAGACTGGCGAACATTCTGTCGATGATCTGCCGGCCCACCTGAATGGCATCGAGCTGCGAAAGCGGCTCGGGGTCGGGTATTCGATATGGACCCAGCTGGACATCGGGGAACAACCCCTCTTGGAACACGGCCACCGGAGGGGGAAAGCTATCCAGTTTGTTTGCGATCTGCTCGGCATCTTCCGTTGGAAGCGTGGGCTCGTAGTCGTCGTCTTCGTCTGCGTCTTCTGTTGGTCTCGCACCTGCAGCGAAAGCAGAGGCAGACTGTTGCTGTGCTAAGTTTAGATATCTTGCTCGGACGGCCTGAAGTCGATTAGTCTCAGGGGTGAAGAGCAAGGTCGCTTGTGACTTACATTTACTCGGATGTCGAGCTCATTCTTGGGTATTGTCTGCAGTAAAGCAATGACAATCCGCACGACGACATCATGCGGTATTGCGCGAACGTTAAAGTTCTTTGAACCGGGATCATCCGTCAGTGTGAATAATTGAGCTAGGCTCACCGGTCCAGGAGGAAGAGGGGGGAATTGCGGTTGCGGCGTCAGTTGCTGTGTCGGAGGATTGAATTGCGCTGCCACCTCAGGGGCCACACGTTGCCGTTTCGTGTCCACGACCTCGACATCCACGGGTGCCGCTCGCTTACGGGACACGTCCAGAATCTCCGTGCGAGAGCGCCGCATATGTTCAAGATACTCGTGTATTCTCCCGGCGAGCGGGTGACTGGGGTTTCTACAACATAGTCAGATGCAAGAATGTCAAACGGCGGACAAGACTGGGACCGTACTTCTTGATCACGTTGAGCAGAAGCGCACGGGTGGTGCGTTCCATGGACTTGATCTTAAGACGGTTGGCAGGGGTCATGGGCGAATTGGCAAGTTTAAGGGGATTGAAGTAGAGCACAGTATTGACGATCTTGTTGGCAATAGAGGCTCGGGAGCGAATCAGTGCGCCTAGGCAGTTGAGGGTTGCGGTGACAAGCAATGCATCGCTGGAGAGATTAGTATCATTTCCAGAATAACAATACTTACCACCGTATCCATACCTTGAGTTCTCTTGTAATATACCGAGAATTCGGTCGAGGAGGCCGGATGCCTCTGCTTCTAGGTTGTCGGGTTGCATGAGAGGATGATCGCGAGGAACTAGGGCAATCGACACTTCATTCGCTTCCGGTCTCTACACATATAGTCAATATGCCTCCATCCATCGAGCATTTCAGGATTCCATACCCTTGGGTCTGTGATTACACCAGGTGTTTGAGTTTGGACCACTCGTTGTATGAACTTGACGCAACATATTCGTACAGCGGCCGGTGCATCATCCATCCTCCCCAGTATATGACCTTTGATGGAATTCAAGAGTTGCCAGCTCGTGGAGTCGGATGGGTTGAAGATTCTGTAATCAAGATACACTCCATGAGATACTGCTACAACAGGAAAATAGGGACGAGAAGGCCGTAGTTACGGGCGTAGGCCGCAAGGGACACGCCCAGTTCACCAGCGATGCAACTTCAACCCCTAACACAAGTACGGGCGGGGGGATATGGTACTCACGTATGTCGGAATACCAGCGGGTAGATACTGGCGGCACTCTGCACGGCTTCCTTGACCACGAACATGTCCTCACTCTCCGCGTCCAGATATTGATTCAGGACCGGCAAGGCTTTCAAGCACAGCGCCTGCTTCTCGTCCTGCGCCAACTGCGGCGACGCGAACGTCTCCGCTAAGAACTCCGATCCCCATCGCTTCAACTCAATCGCCGCTCCCGCGCCAATTATAGGAAGTACACCGGGAACTATCTGGACGTAGGATTTCGCGTCGGCGAGGGCGATGCCTCGCGCTTGTTCGAGCTGGGTGATGGTGGTTTGGACGGGGTCCGATGGGTCCATGATGGCGGATTATGCAAGGAGGCACTTGGTGATAGATATGGCGGGGGTTCTTCAGCGGGAAAAAGAGTCCGAGCACGCGATGTCAAGGCGGGAATCCCACGGCGTCCTATTTCTTGGAGGTTGGACGCGTGGAGTTGAATGCTAAACGATTCCTGCCCACCATCCACTCTCAAGAATTTGACGACAACTAAGTTCTGCAAGTTCTATTTGTATCTCCGTTCATCGTTGATTGGGATGGAAAGGGAAGGGGTCAGGGGCGGTGATGGAGGGTGATGAAGTCAACAAAGAACGCTGGAGGTGAAAGGTGACCGAAAGGTGCAGAGCAAATGAAAGTTGAGGTTGAAAGATCAAGCAGGCGTAGGGTGCCTGATTGCCTGATTGCCTTGCAGCATCGGCCCACTGGGAGTTGAGCCGCATCAGATCAGATCGCCTGTCGAACACTCGAACTACTTCGGTCCTCAAGGTTTGAGAAGAACTCACCTCGATCGTTAGGGAGTTGTCAATCTCCGCAATTGGAATCCGTTTTCTGGACATCGGCCGATACCACCACCAAAATGCCTGTGTAAGTAATGCCAGAATGACGGCTCATCCAATGTGCTGATCCTTCCACCTCAGCATACCACGATCATCATATTACGACCGCCAATACCGGCAAGGTCCCGCTCTCCTTCGAGCGCGAAGACCGTACCTTGTCAAGAATACCCTCGCGGGTCTCGGGATCTTTGGTTTCTGCATAGGCGTTTGTAAGTCGATGCCAATCCATCATCACCGCAGCGAGGCTAACCCATCGACACTAGATGCCTTCACCATTAGCTCCATCTCACAAGACGAGTTCGAGGACGTCGTTCCTACTCCACCGACGAAAGGAGCGCAAAGCACGACGAAGGCATCATAATATGTAAAACCTTTGCGCACAGGAGGAACCGAGTGCGCCACTTGCTTCACAGCGTGCATGTTACGGGCGTTTGGGAGTGCTCCTGAGGATCTGGGGTGGTGAGGGGAACCGCCATCGTTTTGTTGTACGAAATCAAAATGTACATTGTGTAGGTGGATCGACACAGGAAGATTCCTGGCCGTGTGCCTTCGTATGTATCCTATTGTATATAACCAACCACCCTTGAATCTGTCCGATCCTGATATACGGAACACATCACCTCTCATATACCACGAAGAAAACCCCCATCGTAGGTCGCCTTCCTCATATGTAAAATACCCCTTCAAAGCTCGGCGCCACTGCCACTACGTTTTGGTCGATATATTTGAATGGAAGTGGCCCACTTACCTGTTTATGGTTGCCGTCTGGGGGCGAATGTAAACTCGGTGGTGCAAGCGGGTGAACGGTCTCCTCCATCTTGCCCTGTGTGGGTGACTACACCATCCAAGTCCGGGTACCAAAGTGATGATGGATAAGACGGGACATGCAATGGCCCAGGGCTATAAAGATGGTAAATAAGAGAATGACAATGAGGGTAAAGTGGGATAGAAGAACAACATCAACACCTGTTGATCTTGTTAGAATTGATAATAAAGAAACTTGACAGGCAAGGTTTCTCAAGGGAACCAGCTGATTTCTTAACATCAATATGCATTTCTAGTTAATTCTCCAGGCACTCCTACAGGCTACAGCATTCCTAGTCATGAATCCAAATATAAGCAGCAGCCTTACGTGAGAGTCCCTGCCGTCCACCAGACTCGACTTCGGTCGTCATGATGTGGCGGTGCACCTACTGTTGGTCCGACCCAGCTTCAGATCAAGGTCTATCCGTCATCACCACTGCACAGCTTCTGTTGGACAGTTGAACCATATCACTCTCGTGCTGAAAACCATGTCATAATACCGAAAGATTACAAGCTGAGCCCAAGAAGGAACCCCTTACATACCGGAACCCAACTCTGCCATGGACCAAGCCGACTTCTCCGAAGGTCACCTGGAGTGCACCGTCACCAAGCCGCAGAAGGAGAATGATGGGACAAAGGATGCGTACATCTCATATCTCGTAACCACAGATGTAGGTTTAAGAAATTCTATGAAGCTCGATTTGCTCCGAACCCATCCTCCGGCTTGCATGTCGACTGCGACAACCCGTTCACCTCAGACCCTGAAACTAACCAAACCTCCTAGACCGACTTCAAGACCTTCCAGAAACCTCACTGCACCGTCCGTCGTCGCTTCACCGACTTCCTTTTCCTCTACAAGTCACTATGCCGCGAATACCCCGCCTCTGCCGTGCCCCCATTGCCCGACAAACAACGAATGGAATATGTCCGAGGGGACCGGTTTGGGCCGGACTTCACCATGCGCCGATGTCACTCTCTACATCGCTACATCCGGCGGCTGACGCGGCACCCAGAACTACGAAGAGCCGCATTACTGTTGCTGTTCCTCGAGAGCCATGACTGGAATGTGGTGATGAACGGGAGGCAGCAGGGGAGAACCTCGATGAGCAGCCCTGGCGTGGTCGCGGCGGGGGAGTCGACGACAGGCGTCACCGGGGTCCTCGACACCTTCACCGACTCCTTCTTGAACGCGTTCACCAAAGTCCATAAGACGGATCCGCGGTTCGTCAAAGTCAAGGAGCGATCGGACAAGTTCGATGACGACCTGAACCACGTGGGGAAAATCGTGGCGCGGGTGGGGCGACGGGAATCGGATCTGGAGACCGACTACGCGGAGCTGGCCGGGCAATTCCAACGACTGGTGACCTTGGAGCCGGGCGTGGGAGGCGAGCTGACCAACTTCGCGGCCGGCGCGGAGCAGATGAGCGGCGAGGTCCGCAAACTAAAAGAGCACACCGAACGCGATTACCTGGGGAGCCTGAAGGACATGGAGGCGTACGTTAGCAGCGTGCGCGCCCTGCTGAAGACGCGCGAGCAAAAACAGCTGGACTTCGAGGGCCTCACGGACTACCTGACCAAAGCCGCCCAGGACCGCGACACGCTGGCCAGCCAGCACGGGCACGCGGGGCTCGGGGCCAGCGGGTTCCTCCGCAGCAAGATTGAGGATGTCCGCGGCGTGGACCACGAGCAGAGTCGGCGCGACCGGGTGCGCAAGCTGGAGCTGCAGATCGAGCGGCTGACGCGGGAAGTGGAGAGCGCGAAGCTGACCAGCGAGATGTTCGACGAGCGGGTGGTGAAGGAGGTGGCGGACTTCGAGGCGATCAAAACGGCGGAGTTTAAAGAGACGCTGAGCGGGTTGGCGGATGCGCATATTGATTTCTTCAAGGGGACGATTGGGATGTGGGAGCAGTTCGTTATGGATATGGAGGGAGATGGGGAGAGGGGTGGGGAGGGGGCGGCGGCGGCGTAAGGAATTGCCTGAAGCGGACGTGGCGCTTCGAGGCGGAATATTGGGACCGACATGATATCACGTCTAAGAGATGGCTGGCTCTCGAGATGAGACGGGCGTTCGATTGCTGTCACGTACGGCGTTCGTCCCGATGCCTTCATGATGGTCTGGCGTATCATATCCAGGGTCCTACGATAATGAAACGGAATCGGGTGAATGAAAGAGCGTTTATTCTACACTCGCCTCCCGCGGGAGGGATTTCTACCACCATTCGCGCATTCCGGTTGGAGGAGAGTTGATGTTCTTACTTTGCAGGCTGCTCATTATTATCCAAGTGCAGTTCGAATAAGCGACTCCTTTCACTATCAATGCGAAGATTGCATACGACTCAATCCCCTTCAAATCTTTTGGATTTCTTGATGCGAGATACTAGGGGATCAACATCAACAAGCACATGGTTGAGGTATGCACGCGATTTTACTAGGTGCTTTCGACGTACTCACGACGTTTGCATTGGTGTTACGGAGTAATTACGGAGCACCCATACCCGTTCGTTTCACTATCTCCACGTCAAACAAGGTTCAAGAGCGATGATCTCGAACTCCGCATCCCTTTCGGGGTCAGCTGCACCTTCATATATTGGGCGGTTATTAGCCTGATCAATATTTTCAAATTAGTGCTATTCCCTGGCATTTCGACCCCAACATCGACGGGCCCTTTACTACCTTCCTTATGCTGCGTGTTAATTGACCATTTCGGTGGCCGTGAAACGCGACGCAGCAAACATTGTGCATTCGGGTTTGAGAATACCGGTATGTTTCGCGTCCTTGTCCCCGGGAGAAAGTGCGGACAGTACAGTATGCGATTTGACTGGATGAACGTGAAGACAGTGAGGATCACAACCGTCGTATTAATGCATAGGTAGCATGGATATTTCGATGGGTACGGTACTTAAAAAGGGGAAATGTCCCCAGGTGTGTCGGTTTTCGTACCAACGTCCGAACACCCTGTATCGTCCTATTGATCGTTGAATAATCCGTGAAGATGGCAGAGACGCTTACCGCACAGCCCGCACCGCTGGGGTTTGACCCCCAGGAGTTGATGGTGAAGTACACGCAGGAACGAGCGAAGCGACTACGACAGGATGGCATGGACCAGTATCAGGAGCTCAAAGGCGCATTCAATCGGCTGGACCAAGACACTTTCGCTTCGACCTCTAGCAGGCGCGAGCCGCTCAACAAAGATGTCACAGTGCTGATCATCGGCGGAGGTTATGGGGGACTGTTGGCTGCGGCAAACCTTGCGAAGAAGGGCATCAGCGATGTCATGATCGTGGAAAAGGGCGCGGGATTCGGGGGGACGTGGTACTGGAACCAATATCCCGGTGCCCGATGCGACGTGGAGTCGTACGTCTACTTGCCGCTGCTGGAAGAGCTCGGATACACGCCGAAGGAGAAGTATGTGGCGGGCCCGGATATTCTCCAGCATGTGGAGCTGATCGCGAAGAAGTATCAGCTCAAGGGAAAGGCGTTGTTCCAGACCATAGTCCGCAGCACGACTTGGAATGATGCAGAGAACCACTGGAATATAAAGACCGATCATGGCGATGACTTGAGGGCCAGATATGTCGTCGCGGCGACTGGGATCTTGCATAAGCCTAAGTTACCTGGAGTGCCGGGAATCGAAACGTTCAAGGGCGAATCGTTCCACACGACGCATTGGAACTATGACGTTACCGGCCGTTCTCTCGAGAAGCTTGCAAACATGAGAGTTGCAAATATCGGCACGGGAGCGACGTCAATTCAGACCATCCCGATACTGGGAGAGAAAGCCAAGCAGTTGTACGTGTTCCAGCGGACACCTGCCTCAGTCAATGTCCGCAACAACCGACCGACTCCACCTGACTTTGAATCTTCATGCACGCCTGGATGGCAGCAGGACAGGATGAAGAACTTCAACGCCATCATTACCGGACTCCCCTTCGAGAAAGATCTCGTGGATGATGGCTGGACCGACAACAAGGCGATGTCATTCCTCAGCGCCGAAGAAAAGAGAGATCCGGCCACGGTTGGCCAAGTCATGATGGTCTCGGACATGGCCAAAATGGAACGGATCCGCGCTCGCGTGGATGAACTCGTCGAGGACAAAGAAACGGCCGAGAAGCTGAAGCCATGGTACAGTTCCATGTGCAAACGACCATGCTTCCACGATGAGTACTTGCAGATGTTCAATCGTCCGAACGTAACGTTAGTGGACACGGACGGGAAAGGCGTGGAGCGCATCACTGAAAACGGCATCATCGCCAACGGTGTCGAATATCCCGTCGACCTCATCGTTTATGCCTCGGGATTTTACATCAGCGGCGGCCAAATCAGCCAGACGAGCGGGGTCGAAATCGTCGGTCGCAGCGGGGTCCCTCTCGCCCAACAATGGGACGAAGTCGGCGCGAAGACCCTCTTCGGGGTCCACATCCCCGATTTCCCCAACTTCTTCACGGTCAACACCACCCAGGCCGGCGTGGCGGCGAACTTCATGTGGACGCTCGCCACGGCCGGGCGGCAGATCGGCTACGTGGTGTCCGAGTGCGAGAAGCGCGGCATCCGCGTGGCCGAGGCGGACGAAGCGGCGGCGGCGCGGTGGACAGAGGCGATCGTGGCGTCCAGTAAGCCGATGTTTCAGTTCTTCACGACTTGCACGCCGAGTTACTACAACGGGGAGCAGAAGATGACGAAGCATATGGAGAAGTTGGGGACATATGGGGCGGGGGCGAATGCGTGGGGTCAACTCCTGGAGGACTGGCGAGCGAAGGATGATTTGGAAGGGTTGAAGATTATTAAGAAGACAGACACGGAGACAGATGCTGAGGCTTGAGGGGGTACATATGCTGTGAGAAGGTTGTACACGCCAAGCACTTCGCGGACCATACAAGCATCGCAGCGACCCTATTAGGAGAATGAGACTCAGACAATACATATAAATTGACCTTTACCAGATGACCTTAAGAAATACTAGCAATGTGATGAAACGTGGTTCGCAGATATGGGAATTGGGATGAGATATCGAATCTGATATTGAGAGCTGAGGTGGGGGCTGGCACACGTGCAAGTTGGACGACGCGACGCGTTTTCGCGTTTTGTGGTCGCGCCACCCAAAATTCAATATCTCAATTTACAAACAACCGGAATCTCCGTTACACTGCTCTCATCGGTCATCACCACGCACAAGATCCCTTTCACGACCATTACAATCCAATAATATCCGAAATCCCTTTCAAGGCCACACTCTATCATAAGTATGGATTATCCCCGCGCCAAATCTTTCGAAGACCACGCTAACCAATGCTGCAGTGCTTGAAGCACGGTTGGAACAGGCAGCCCTTCTCAAGAAGGTCCGTCACCTTTGGAATGGCTTCATCCAGTTGAGCTGGAGCTGATGATACTCTGCAGGTTGTCGATGCCATCAAGGAGCTGGTCCAAGAATGCAACTTCGACTGCAATGACTCCGGCATCGGTCTCCAGGCCATGGACAACTCCCACGTCGCCCTCGTCTCCATGTTCCTGAAATCGGAATCCTTCTCCCCCTTCCGCTGCGACCGCAACATCGCCCTTGGCATCAACCTAAATGCCCTCCAAAAAGTCCTCCGCGCGGCCCAGAACGAAGATATCCTCACTCTCAAGGCGGAAGATGCTCCGGATGTCGTGAACCTCGTGTTCGAGAATGCGACGGCCGATCGGATCTCGGAGTACGACTTGAAGCTTATGGATATCGATCAGGAGCATTTGGGGATTCCTGACACAGATTACGCGGCGCAGATCTCGATGCCGAGCTCGGAGTTCCAACGAATCACGCGTGACTTGAGTGCCATATCTGAATCTGGTGGGTGATGCTCCATCATATTTCTTACCCGTGGTATGGAAATCATTAACAGGCGTGCTCTAGTTACCATTGAGTGTAACAAGGAAGGTGTCTCGTTCGCATGTGAGGGCGACATTGGCAAAGGGAACATCAAGCTGCGCCAGTACACCAATGTCGACAAGCCGGCCGAGAACGTCGAGGTCAACATGACCGAGCCTGTCGCGCTTACCTTCGCTCTGAAGTATCTCGGAAACTTCTGCAAAGCCAGCGGTCTCAGCGAGCAGGTGAGGTTGTGTTTGAGCAACGAGGTTCCGCTCATGGTGGAATATGCTTTGGCAAACAACAGCTACATTCGATTCTACCTCGCGCCGAAGGTGAGTGTTTGGTTATGCTTGAATTTCGACGCAGCATACTAACGCTATTCATAGATTGGAGACGAAGATTGAGCGGAGATGGGCGAATGACCAGGATGAGGGAATGATATCCGCATCGACTTATGACTCGGTAGAAGCACGAGTGCAGTGCATGATTAGCTTACTTTGGCGGCATCCAGCCATGTACTTCTGTTTCAATGCGGCGTATACATGGGATTGACAGCTCTTGGCCAGGAGCGTTTTGTTAAACAACAGAAAGGTCTTGATAATGACGCTCTAGCTCGAATACAATTCATCTTGTCAAGATGCCTTCATGTTGGACCGGCTAATGTAACCTCGCTCTCCGGACACAACCGACATATTCAACGTCCATGTCCACCGTATCTATCCTATGATCGACCTATCCTGTTCCGGCTCGGATTATTAAACGTTTAACCAATCAGCCTCGGGCGAACTATGATGATCAACCTCAAGCCCAACCCGGCTAGTGCCGGGACCGATCCGACCTGTTCTACTGCCGGTTCGACATCCCGATCTCGAAGCCGAGCGGAGCTTCCCCAGATTTACGCGCTTCTTGTGATGATGCGAATCATCTCCGGCCGAATGCCTCCCCACGTTGCAGCTAGAGCTATCGATGGCGTCGGACATGTCTCGGAATCTCAGGCGTTCACCCATCCATGGCTTTGCAGTCTCTACCGGTGTAACTCCCGTTCGCTCTAGGTCTGATGGCTAACTTCAATGGTCGAGGCGTCGCTTTTGCCCCGGTGCTGATGGGCGAAACTGTGTAAGGGTCAATCTGGGCTGAATGGCTGATCAGTGATCGGAGATGACAAGTAAGTCCAGCAAAACCGGGGCCCCGCATCTGGAGCCCCTCTTCACGCGAATTTCGACATTGACGTCGCATGGGATTGGCGATACACTGATACTGCCCGCCTTAACGACCGAATTTATCATCTGTCGTCGTATCCCATCTTTCCTAACCTGTTTCGATGTTGCCAAGTCGAGGACTATAAGAACCGCCGGAGGGAATAGAACCAGGCCTGTCATTTCTTTTCAATCCGCTGGAGCTTCCTTTGCTGTCAATCACTTCCTGTAGCTCAGCTTGGTGACTCGGATTCCATTCAATTTACGTTCCACTCGCATGGAACGATTTGGAATTGAAATTCTTTCCCAATAGTTACAGGTCACCAAGCATACCGGTGATTGGAACTCACTACCTGCTTGATTTGGCTTTATCTTCCATTACAACATAATTATATCGTTGTCCATACTTTCTGTGGATTCTTATTCCAGTTTACTGGCATCTTGTCTTTCTCTAGGACTTCATCATCAGCTGCGAGATACACAGGACAGAGACAGGACTCAATATGCTATTCAACTTTCTTCTTTCACCATGGAGCATTCTGCTCATCATACCGCTTGCTCTGGTCTACTTTACCCTCCCATATCTCCAGAACAAGCCCCTCCGAAACATCCCCGGTCCACCTCTCGCAGGCCTTTCCAACCTCTGGCTCTTATACCAGAGCCGACAGGGACGGCGATTCATGAAGGTGGATGCCGCGCATAAGAAATATGGTCCCCTTGTTAGGATCCAACCGAATCATGTCAGCATTGCGGATCCGGCAGCCATTCAAACGGTGTACGGGCACGGCAACGGTTTTTTGAAGAGGTGGGCCGACTCGTCATTCTTAGCAAGCAGCGCTGACATGGAAACAGTGAATTCTATGATGCCTTCGTCTCCATAAAGCGAGGTCTATTCAATACCCGGGACAGGGCAGAACACACGCGGAAGAGGAAGACGGTATCGCATACCTTCAGCGCAAAGTACGGACAATGGAGACGCCTCACACGAGCTGCAGTGGAACGTGGCTGACGACTGAGCAGATCTGTGGGACAGTTCGAGCAATACATGCACCAGAACCTCGAGCTTTTTGTCCAACGACTGGATACGATGGCCAATCATGCACCGATCGGCGGCTACACGGACCTGGATGCCCTGCATTGGTTCAACTATCTGGCATTCGACATCATTGGCGATTTGGCTTTCGGAGCACCGTTTGGGATGCTGGAGAAGGGAAAGGACATTGCGGAGGTGCGGATGACGCCGGACGCGAAGCCAACCTTTGCGCCTGCTATTGAGGTGCTGAACAGGAGAGGAGAGGTGTCGGCGTAAGTGCAGTGCATATTCTTCCCCTGACCCACAGCATCTAACTCCGAGCAGTACCGTCGGCTGCCTTCCGGCAATGAAGCCATATGCGAAGTACCTCCCCGACGCGTTCTTTTCCAAGGGAATCGCAGCCGTAGAGAATTTAGCCGGCATCGCCGTTGCTCGCGTTAACGACCGTCTTGAACGTCCCGATACCGATCGAGTTGACCTGCTGGCAAGACTGATGGAGGGCCGCGACGAAAAGGGGCAACCGCTAGGCAGGCAAGAGCTTACTGCGGAGGCACTGACGCAGTTGATCGCCGGAAGCGACACCACGAGCAACACTAGCTGCGCCATCCTATATCACTGCCTGACGCACCCCGAGGTCATCGTGAAAGCACGAGAGGAACTCGACAAGGCTTGGCCGGCTGAGCAACGGGTCCCTACGTTCTCACAGGTCAAGGACCTGCCATAGTATGTTCGATCCTTTCCACACCTCTGAATGATCAGCAACTAACCCTTCCCCAGTCTTGACGCTCTCATCAAAGAGTCCCTCCGCATTCACAGCACCTCCTCCCTCGGCCTTCCTCGCGACGTCCCGCCACAAGGCATTACCGTCACCCTCTCCCCAAGCGCCTCCTCCGACCCCTCCAACCCCTCCAACCAACCCACCTCCGTGTACTTCCCCGGCGGCACCACCCTCTCCGTCCCTTCCTACACGATCCACCACTCCCAAAAAGTCTGGGGCCCCGACGCTGACGAATACCGCCCGGAGCGCTGGCTCGCCGACTCCGCCAACCCCGCACCGATCGAGGCGCAGAAGAACGCCTTCGTGCCGTTCAGCTACGGCCCGCGGTCGTGCGTCGGGCGGAACGTGGCAGAGATGGAGCTCGCGCTCATCGTGGCGACGGTGTTGCGGAGCTGGGATTGGGAGTTACGGCAGGGCGAGATGGAGACGCGGGAGGGGTTTCTGAGGAAGCCGCTGGGGCTGGAGGTGGGGATTAGGATGAGGGGGGCGGGGGGGAAATCATAAAGGACGCGCGTGTATGGACGATCTAGTTCGATATGCCTCGGAACGTTTGGAGACGGCCGAAGCTGGACCGTCCAGTCAGTCCTGTGCGGTTTATTGGCCACAAACGCAATTAGTTTATCATAAGACGACGTTTTAAGACTCAAAATGACTTGAATGGTATTCTCTATATTCGATCTGTGCCTCCTGGAAAGTCCGCTAGGGTATCAAGTTTAACAAAGGAAATCCATGGTGCGATGCGGCAGTTCGGTCTCGTCTAGCCAAGACCACGGAACGCCAGAGGAACCCTCAAGTAGAGGGATTTGACAGCAGTCACTTATGCCATCCCAGAGCGGAAATTTGTATTTACAAGATAAACGAACGGACGGGTCCCTTCTCCCCATCATTTATAAAGAAAGTAAAGCGTCATGAAATCTCATCAACGCGTCACATCAGACCGGCGTTCCGGCGCCGCTACTCGAACTTCCCGAGAAATACCCCCGATCGAGCGCTAGGATCCACTCGACCTTCTCCCGCTCTCCCCGCCCGCATGCGAACACGTACGTGTTCTGCGGCGCATATACCGCGAAGCACGCGCGCACCGTGCTGTCCATCTCCATCCCGTCCGCCAGCCCGCGCACGGGCGTCGACGTGGCCGACCCCGCGGCGGCGCGCCGGGAGAGGAGCCGGGCGACGGAAGGCTCATGGTCGATGCGGCAGGCGGTAAGGTCGATGGCGAAGAGCTCGTCGCCGTCTTGGGCGGTGTAGAGGTGAAGGTAGGGGCGGCGGAGTTCGACGTAGCGGCGGAGCCAGCGCTTTTGGTGGGATGTGGGGGAGGAGGGGGCGCTGGATGTGAGAGTGAGGAAGGCGTCGGGGGAGGGGACGAAGAGGTGGCCGGATTTGAGGCATTGTGGATTCTTCGGTATTGGACGGACGGTAGCGAGGAGAGTGGGTGATGAGGGGGAGGGAGTGGGATTGGAAGGCGATCTGCCGTTGGTGGAAGGAGATGATTTATGAGGTTTTGAAGGAGTCGTTGGTCCACTTGAGGCGAATGCTGCACCTTGGCGGGGTGGTTCGAGATTGGCAGGATTGAGGAGCGAAACAGAGAGGTCAGATCTCGCCGTCCACCAGCCGAGTATCTTCTTCAGGAGGATCTCTTGACGTGCGGTCAACTGCGGTTCATCTGGTTCGGCTCTCGCTGTCGCTCCAGTCCCATTTATAGGTGCGATCATCAGCTGCTTTGCCGAAAAAAGCCCCTTCACGGCCTCTATCTCTGCCAGTCGTGCTCTTCGTCTGCGAAGCGAGATATAATCTTGAATGAGAGAGGGCCCTCGCGGGCACCATCCGGAGAGGTACTCCTCGCCTTTCACATATTCCTCCTTGGTGTTCATCCGCCAAAGATCTCCGGCTCTTTTGGCGCTCGTTGGGCGGACGGTGATTGCGAACAAGCCTGTGGTTGAATGGACAACCCGGGTTCCACTCCATAGCTGCATCAGGAGACCACTAGGCCTGATGTAGGTCCTTGGGCGGATCTGAAGCGCAAGATTGATGGAAAACGGCATGGGTGAATAGAGTCGACGGCTGGTGACGTTCCAGAAAAAGGTTACTTGTACGCGATACCTCTCGGCCGTGGCGCGATCAAGAAGAACGGAGCCATGCATACTCGAGTCCCATTGGCCAATCACACATACATCGCAGGTGCCGTCGGCGTTCTCTTTGATCGTGGCAGGTTGGAGAATCTTGAGGGGCACTTCTCGACGAGGAGACTCGGAATCTGGATCGGATACCTTTCCAGAGGGATCAACCAGACGTACCCTGCCTATGCGCAGGGCATTGACATCTCTCCATTTCATAGTCTCTCGTGAGGTATGCGTTAGGTTCAGAACGATCCGTCTCTGTAACCCTTGGTGTAGTTGAAATGCCCCGCCCTCTTGCCCGGTGCTCTGTATCACCTCTACTGGTTTGTATGTCCCGTCCTCTGAGATCTCGTGGATCTGTGCCCGAGCAAATACATCGTGCTTTTCTTCACTGTAGAATTCGGACTCGGGTAGCCGCGAATTGTGACGCTTCGACGTCGGTCGAGGCGCACTGTCACGCATGTCGTCCCAGCTAAGCAACTTATCCATGTGTATCGGTGTAACTCGAGCGAAGATCGCGATACGGAGACACGCCGATCGAGGGCTGGACAGTGGGAGGCTCATGCTGTGCACACTTTCGAAACGGACCGGGCCTTCGTCGAAGTCTTTGATCATCTGCGTTGTTGTCGCGCCACCCTCCTCGTCGGAAATGCCCGGCACGAAGATTTGTGCATGAACTTCCGTCCCTTCGCGTTCGGGAATGCCAACCAGGTCGTGCATGACCACATTGAACTTCAGCATATTTGACGGCGCTTCGGCCGAGCTCGGTTCGAGGCTCACACGCACGATCCCGATCACGTTCGTGGTATAGGGGCTAATGACATCGAGAGAAAAGTCTTGTACTTTCGCCTCAAAAACCGCTGCCAGAGGAACATCAACGTCACCTATCCGTGAGTACGCCGGCATGCAAGCTTCCTCGAAGGGGTTCTCCTTGCGGAAATGCTCGGCATACGCTTCTTCGGACGCATATTGCCGCAATTGCCTCATAGCTCGTAGACGTTTGCGGAGTTTCGTTAGGCTCCAGATATGTATGACACAGTTCTTGAAATCGAGCACCCTAACTGCAACACAAGGCTTTGTAGCTAAGTCAAGGTCTTCATCGTCGTCCGTGGAGATCTCATTGAGCACGAGATCATAACTAGAGGCAAAGGTATGCCCAACATCCACGATACAGAACTGGAAAACGACGTTCTTATCCAAGATCTGACTCATGACTTGGGCCTCCTTCAGCGTTGCCGCATTCTGCATGACAGTCTCGGCCATCGATACATATCTTCTTTGCTGCCATCTTGCCAGGACTTTCTTCGCTGTATCAATGCTGTGCTGCATCGCATCTGAAATAGGCTCTCGATATGGGTTCGATAACGGCTCCGGCTTCTTTAGTTCCTGGATCTGCCTCTCGTATTCCTCCTTTTGGGTTTGCCACTGTTTCTCGAGGTCGGCCTTTTCTTCTCGCAACTTTTCCTGCATTTCTTCTTTGGCGTGTTGCAAACTCTCCTCCATCTTGGCTTTCTCGGCTTTGATTTCCTCAATCTCGACGTTTGCCTCTTCAGCGCTCTTGAGCTTAGCCTGGTACTCCTCTCTCTGCTTATCTAGCTGCTGCTGGAGCTCCTCTCGAACCGAGCGCAACCTTTCATCTTCTTCGTGCGCTTGGGGAGTCGATGGGATAGTAAGGACTGTGTCGAGGGAGAAATTGTCGATTGTACCCGTTGAAGCATATTTCTCTCGCACAGGGTAACTTGTGTCCGACGACAGATCATCCTCACCGTCCATTTGCGCTCTGTTCTCAGCTCCATTCTTTTTTCGGTTTGCTCGCATTCGCTGAAGGTCCTCAAAGAGGATGTCTAATTCATCATCGGCCAAATCGGAAATCTTTTGATCGCTGCCCAGAACGGCGCTGACGGCCTCCCGTCTGGCAAAGCTCCAGTCCGAATCTCGGCCTCTGCCAGGGAAAATATAAGGGCTATCCGGTCGCGGGCTTTCGGTTCCAAAATCGCTGCCATCGCCGTTGCGATTGCTAACGCTGCTGTAGCTGCGCTCATGCCCGGATCGACCGTTAGGACTAGGCGATCCCAGTTGAGAAGCTGTTATTGAGTATCTGAGAGAGCTTCCTTGTTCAGCCCGTTCAGCGCGGGCCTCTTGGGGGTGATTGAAGCGGAAGATGTGAAAATCACCGAGAATGATCCGATAGCCCGATCTCAGTCGTTTCGGAGCATCGATTCGCTGGCCATTAACCATCACGGCGGCTCCTTCCTTTGGTACGATTGTCACGGCGCCGTCAACATTATCAAACGTACAGTGCTCCGCCAATATCTGGCTTCCCGGAAGGCGGATGTCCGCTGTTGATTGCGGTATATCCACATTGCCAACAATTGTCATACCGGGTTTAAGGTTGTAAACCAGGCACTCAGCAAGAAGAGGGTCGTCGGACAAGTTGACAAGATGTGGCATCTTCTTCGGAGTACTGAGCCCAACGAATCCTTTCTCAATGCTGATCCCCAGTTCTTCAAGAGCGGCTTCTCGCTCCTTGTGAATGTGCTCAGTTTTCAGAAGTTTCTCCTCCCAGGTTTGATTGAGGTCGGTATAGAGCTTCTCGGATTGCGACAATTGCTCGGCGATCTCCGCTTTGGATACCTTCTTGACGGAGCCATCGACTTGAGTAATACTCACAAACTGCTTGTCTAGTGGCGTGTCCGGAGCATATTGCTCCTCTACTGGCACGGCTACGCCACCAACCGCGCCTCCACTGAGCTTCGAACGTAGTTGAGCAAGTTCTTCTTTCAATTCACGAATCATGCGGGCGTTCGGATCTTCGTTGACGACGGCATGATTCTTGATCCGCTTGGCCGAGTCTGCATATCGCAATGTCGACAGCGTTTCCTCGAAATTGATATCTGCAGGCGAAATGGCAGCGATCATAGCCGTCAAACTGTTACCGCCTAACGAGTCTTTGAGCAACCATGTCAAGATCGAATCTCGATACGGGACCATCGAGCCTTTTGAGGCTTTCTTTCCGCTAGATAGATCTGCTAGAGCGGCAATAACACGGCCTAATGTCGACAGCGATCGATTGATTTCCGCGCCTTCTTTCAAACGCGCACCTGTGGCGCCTGTGGAATTGGCTCTTTCGGATCCGGCCAAGTCAACCAAACTGATCTTCGCGACCTTCTCGGTGTCCATGCGCGTCTCTGCATCGTGGCGTTTTTGGGTCAGTGTAAGAGTGAATACGGCGTGGGAACGACTCGATGTCTCGTTCATGTTCGTTGCAGCGACCGTCCTGGCTTTGTTCCCCTCGTCCATCAGATTCTCGATCTCCTGAAAGCTCCGAACTGCAAGCTTCGCAAGGTCCTCGACGTATGGTCCCGTAGATGGATGTTCACGAACTCGGAGATTTCCTTTGGTGGCGGGATTGAGGAGATCTCTCACTCGTTCATTATAGATCTCCAGATATGAGACCTCGACGGTGCAGTTGAGGTGCTTGTCCTGCTGAACCCCGTCTATGCGTTCGAACATTTCGCGACAGATCTTTGGGATAACACCAGAATCCTCGCCATACCCCATCATACTATAACTCTTTCCCGAGCCAGTCTGTCCGTAAGCAAAGATACAGTTATTATATCCCTGGAAGGCATTGTCGAGCAGAGGTTTTCCAAGATCATCGAACAAATCCTCTTGGCCGGCATAATGCGGATCGTTGCGATCGAAAGACCAGTAGGACTTGTCGAACTTGAAGGTTTTTGCGCCGTCAAGGGCGGCTTTGGCAGCTTTGGACTTCGGATCGATCGATGATGGGGGCGTGAGCACCGTCTGGGTGCCTTGCATTCGAACGACATTTTTGGCCTTGCGATCAAGTTCTGTGACAGTCAGCGCAAGCCCCGTGAATGTAATGACCCCTTAAACAGGCAGTGTAACATACCTCGATTGTTGAACGGGCGCACCCGAACCACGACCTTAATGTTTCCTCCAGCGGACGCCATATCGGGTTAAGTATGTCGTATAGAGCAGTCACGGTAGTGTATCGTCGCTTCTGGATTTCAGCCCAGGCCGACGCTCCCCTTAGGCAACAGCGACGGCCCGGTTGCTATATCGTTGAGTCCCAGAGCAGGACAGGACTCCTATTGAACTTGATATTCGGCGGAGTCGCGCGGTTTAATGGTGGAAAGCGGCTCCTCATTGCCTAAACATCCTCTGGAACGAGTGAATATGCGCCGGAGAACGAGACGACGCGGTTAGAAGGGATTAAAGATGCGAAAATCGTGGACTAGGGGATGCGACGCGACAAGTTGTTCTGTCAATAATTAATCCAATCTCGGATCCTCGTCTGGGATGTAGGTACCGTGGTTGGATGACGAGGGTGCCGGCATGAATTCCTTGTTGCCTGTTGGCCTTCCGCCGCGGATGGGCGGCAGCGGGCAGCGGAGCGGGACTCGACCTGCAACATTTCGGCTTGGCATCAAAGTGTGCGACAGGACAAACTAGACAATGCTTATGTTCCCCAGCTAATTTTGTCTAATCCCATCTATAATAGTGCTATCGATCATTTAGGAAGGGACTTGAAAAGATAACCACAAGAGCTTGGAATTGAAACCTAACTGATCGTTTCCCTTGGGCTAAACAGGCACACGACACTCCAAAACAAGTCTCTTGAACAGAGCACATGCCATCCAGGATTGCCACTACCAAGGATTAATAACTGGTCATCACAATGCTATGATGAATCCTCCAGAACTTCAGACAGAGGAAATGCTGCGGCCACCTGTGAACCGCTCCATGCGGGTCCTGGATCGGTCGTTTTTCAATCGCCGTATTCCCCTCTCCGCCGCTCGAATTTTCAACAGCCAAAACATTTCCGCTGTCCGGAATACGCTGACGAAGAGTGGTGACGGACTCTTCCTACCTCGTATTACGACGATCCGAAAAGATCCGGATCCATCGTTGGCTGCATCCGGACGGAAATGCTACCTCCTCAGGCCTTCCTTAAAACACAATGACCAAGGCAGCTGGGGGCCGACGGTTTCTGAGATGGTATCGCAGCAAAATATAGGTGTAATACCATACGAGCTGGAGATCGGCTATAACGACTGGACTTACCAGGAAATTATGGAAGCCATCTTACCGGAGGAGGCTGCAGAAGGAGAGCTGCCTACTGGATTCACAAACGTCGGGCACGTTGCTCACTTGAACCTCAGAGAGCAATATTTACCACACAAGCATCTTATTGCACAGGTATTGATGGACAAGAACACCTCAGTCCGAACGGTCATCAATAAAGTCGACAACGTCGGAGAGGAGAGCGAATACCGAACGTTCCAATACGAGGTACTTGCCGGACCGGACGACCTGATGGTCGAAGTCAGCGAAGAGAACTGCCTGTTCCGATTCGACTACGCCAAAGTCTACTGGAACAGCAGACTGAACACCGAGCATCACCGAATGGTCAACAACTTCAAACCCGGCGAGGCAGTCTGCGATGTTATGGCTGGAGTCGGTCCATTTGCGGTCCCGGCGGGAAAGAAAGGTATCTTCGTCTGGGCCAACGATTTGAACCCTGACAGCTACAAGTGGCTCGACGATGCGATTACGAGAAACAAGGTGGCAAATTACGTGCGACCATTCAATGAAGACGGAGGAAAGTTCATCAAACGAGCAGCCGTAGAACTATTGTCTACCGATCACGGGGTCAAGAAGGTCGTCAAGGGGCCTTCGAAAAGGAAGACCTTAAACGCCGATGGACCTAAAGGAGCGGATGTCGGCGAACAATCGGTGGTCATTAAGCAACCCAAGTTCTTCTCCCACTTCGTCATGAACCTTCCGGCGTCAGCCATTACATTCCTGCCTTCTTTCATCGGCATTTACGCGGGACCTGAATTTGCCGGACAGGAGATTCCCATGCCCATGGTGCATGTGTATACTTTTGGGCTCAAGGGAGATGACAATACACCGGAATTTGAAAGAATTTGCCGTGACGCGAGCGAGTTGATCGGCGCTCCAGTGACTCTCGACGACCCAGAGACAGAGGTCTTTGATGTCAGAGATGTGGCGCCGAAGAAGAGGATGTTTTGTTGCAGTTTTCGATTACCAAGAGAGGCGGCATTTCGAAAGCCGTGATAAAAGCGCTAATATCCAATGTACTTTTCAAAACGTGGGTTCGTGGTGTATCGCTTAAAATCAATGAACCGACCGTCAATTCCACTCATTGCATTAAATCAATAGGAGCACATTTGTTTTTCGAGGGTATGATGTCCTCGTTCTCCGTCAATAGCCTCGCCGACGTTTGTTTTGATAGTCCTCCCTAACTCCACAATCCCATTCAGGGTTGGTGTCAACCCCTGAAAGTCCAAAGGCGTCACCAGGGTCCGGGATTCCCGCAACTTCCAAGCGTTGTCGCCAACAACTCCACGCCCCTGTTCGGACTCTCAAACAACAAACACCCCTCCAGCGTCAAATCAACAAAATATTTTCCAGGTTGCTCAATCTCGAGTCTTGGTTTCAAACAACGAGCCGGCGATCGCGACAGCCTGAGTGCCCCCCCCTTCACAATAATCCGCGGGTGCGGCTACGCGCAGCCGAGACCCTTTGCGAGTCATTGTTGATTGCTGCCCGCCTGTTAATCGCTTTTTCTGGGAGGATCCTGTCCTTGTGCCACCCGGGCACCGCCAATATTTATTAATATCCCTCCTTCTGGAGGAGATCGATCATGACATATCAAACGCCTCGGCGCCTCAACGGGGTGCGTCCATCTGTCGGGTCGCACCATCTGAACAACATAAACACAACATCGAGCCCTAACTTGAATCTCGCCGCAAGCACCACGATGGCTCGGAAAGCGTCCCTCAATGCCCTCGTGGGTCATCCGACTACCCCTGGCTCGAATGGCGATATCGATGTGGGAGACACGGTGGATGTCCCTGGTGGAATGCATGGGACGGTCAGGTTCATCGGTTCCGTCAAGGGGAAGCAGGGCACTTTCGCAGGTGTGGAATTGAGCAAAGAATACGCTTCAAGAGGAAAGAATGATGGTGATGTAGAAGGGTACGTGGACAACTCTAAGAATTCCATGGAGTGACAGGATCAAAACTCATCGTCTTGACTTCAACAGGATCCGCTACTTTCAAACCTCCGTCTCAAACGCCGGGATATTTCTCCCCGTCCACCGCGCGACGAAGCGCACTTCGCTTCCATCCGATGCCTTTCCACCAACTCCGACCACTCCCTCCTTCGGTAGCTTCAACCTTGGAAGCAACGGCACCGCGAACAATACACACAGCCGTTCGCCACCAACGCCGTCCGTCCCGAAGTTCTCCCAGTCCGTCGGACCCGGCGTACGAGCTCCCTCACCGCAATTCAAGCCTAAGAACCGTCCGTCGCTTCCTCGCCCCGAGTCTCCTTTGCGCAAGACGCCTGCGCTGCACCCCCCTTCTAGCCGCGCGCCGTCTCTCGGAGGATCCAATCTTTCCCGGTCGCAAATCGGACAACCTCGACCGACGGCATCGCCGGGGTCGCGGGCGGTGACTCCGAAAGCGAGGACACCGGGCCCGCCGAGGCCGTACTCGCGCAATAACTCGCGATTGGGCCAATACGGTGCCATCGACGAAGATGCGGAGACGACGCCCACTGCTGTTAAGGCTGCTCGCGCTAATACTGAGGAAGTGGGACGTCTAAAGAAGAAGCTTGAAGAGCGAGATTTCCAATTGAAAGAGCAGGCGGCGAGTTTAGCGGATATGGAGGCGACTATGATCGAGCTACAGACCTTGATACCAGAAGCTGGCGGGACAACAGACCTCCCGCACGGGGAGGGTACCGACGTCGCGCAGCTCCGAGTTATGCTGAGGGAGAAGAATGAGAAGATCAGCATGCTCACTGCCGAATTTGACGCCCATCGCGCCGACTTCCGATCCACCATCGACACCCTGGAAATGGCTAGTACCGAGACCGAGCGCGTTTACGAGAAGAAGGTGGAGGAACTCGCGCATGAGCTTCATGCTATTCAAATGCAGAAGGCAAGCAATCCAACTCCGCCGGGAGACGAAGACCTGGCGACCGTCGCGATGCAGTTAAAGCAGCTGGAAGAGCTCGTTGCCGAACTGGAGGAAGGGCTAGAGGATGCGCGACGGGGAGAAGCTGAAGCGAGAGGCGAGGTGGAGTTCTTGAGAGGTGAAGTCGAGCGTGGACGAAGCGAGTTGAAGCGAGAACGGGAGAAAGCCGCGAAAGCTCTGAAAGCTGCCAGTGGTGGTGCGGTCGACGGCAGAGGGAACAGAGACAGCAGGGAAATCGAACAACGAGACGACGAGATCCGCGGTCTGAAAGCAATCATCCACTCTCTGAGCAGCGGTGGCGATTTTGCGACGTCTCCTCAAGCAGACAAGCACAGTCGCGCAAACGGAGTGAGCGGCATTGACCCGGGCGAATTCGAGCAGATGAAAAAAACCGTCGAACACCTCGAGCGCGAGAGAGGCGAGCTCCAAGGCCTCGTGGAGCGCAAGGCCACCCGCGAAGAAGAGCTGGAACGGGAGCTGGAGCGCCACCGGAAATACGGTTCCGGTAGCGTGGGCAGCACCGGAGCGGGTAGCAGTACGCCTCGCAACAGCAATGCGTTTGCGTCTCGCGATTCCATCACCAGCGCCAACACCGTCGTGCATGATACCTCCGCCAGCAAAGACCGCGACTCCCGCGGTACCACCTCCTGGCGCGGCCGCTCCGCCAGCCTGACCTTCCGCGACCGCGCGAACTCGAACCCCAACACCCCGCGCGGCCAAGAACCCGCTAGCAAACCCCTCGAGCCGATGCCTGAATCCGACGCCGCCAGCATCGACCAGTCGGAGAACACCAGCGCCGCCGGCGACGCGGGCACGTGGTGCGAGATCTGCGAGTCGGCCGGGCACGACATCCTCAACTGCTCCGCCGCATTGGGGACCACGGGGTCGGCCAGCGCCGGCGCGAGCCAAACGCCGGTGGCCAACACCCGCCCTAGGGATGCGAGCCCAGTGGATATGACGCCTGCGCCGTTGCAGAGCTGGAAGACGGCGTCCGCTCTCCGGTCGTCTGGTAGCGCGCCGAGAGCCGCTGCACCGGCGCCAGAGATGGAGAAGTCGGAGAGAGAGGTCTCGATGCCGAACCCGTACGACAGCAGCCTTGTGAAGGGCAAGAACGCCGACGCGGCGGATCCGATGAAGTGGTGCGCGCTGTGTGAGCGAGATGGGCACGACGTGACGGATTGTCCGTTTGAAGACGTCCTTTAAAGTTAGTGGAGGATTCCCATCGCCTCTCCCCCGAAGTGTCAGATTTCGTTCGGTTCATGCATAGGTGGTGTTCTGACTTGGAGGAGATCGGTGCTGTCGAGCCAGCATGGTCAGGAACCCCTTTACGATACCTTATATACCCCCTTTGCACCTCAGCGCCGTTTAAATGATACGAGTAAATAATCTACTGTAATATTCGATTCTGAAAATGGATTCTCCCGGGTTCTCTGCAGCCGTGTTATAAATTGGATGGTTCGGCTGGGATAGTCAAATGCCCGCGTGTTACGAGTATAAGTAGTCTAAAGAGAACAATCTAATAATTAAGCTTAAGATCATACTCTGGATGGGCTCTTTAGTCTTCATTAATCGATAAATATATCTGATCAATAACGGTACGGTTGATAATACAGGTGTTTTGTTGCAGTTATGCAAGCGATTGCAGGATGAGCATCTCAAGGTTAGCCAACCAATCAGACGACGGCCAGCGATACCTCTGCGTACGACATCTTTGAGCTTCACTCAACAGCCATCGACACTGACACTGTGAATCCATATCAAACTTTAAGGATCTGCCGCATACACGGCTCTACCATCTTCATTGGTCCTCTAACGCATAAAGTTATACCAAGGTGTCATTCATTACACCACAGCGACCTCCACAACCCCCACAGAAAGCTTCCTCCTTCACCAGACCGCCGCCATGATCGACGAACGCGAACTTCAGATCCACCCGATCGTGCAAGATAGCATGCAGCACAACACCAAAGTAAGCCAAGAGCCATCAGCGCTACCCTCCTAACCCTCACGGAATATCCGCTCAACTAGCCCCAGACAATCGACAACATCCGCGCGCTGACATCCTCCCTCTTCGGCGTCGGCGCCGGCGCATTAGGCCTCTCTTCATACGCCGGCTTCCTTTTCTACCTCGTCGGGTCGTTGATCGTCTCGACGCTCATATTTGTGTTGCGTGCGGAGGGTCCAAAAGGCGGCGCAGACAAGTACTTCTATAACATTTGGACGGGATTGTGGTTGGGTGACTTGATGGGGGGTTTGATGGGATTTGTATTAACATGGACGCTCGTGTACGGGCTAGTGGTTGCTTGAGCGGGGTTTTACTGTACATTTTCAGGGCATTGCTTGGAGTCCGGGCGTTTTTGAAGGGACCGCTGCGGTTCATGAAGGTGAGCCCGCGCCATATGGAAGAGATGATATCTAGGGTGCGACGGATCTCCACCTTCAATGTGTCTCGTTCGAACGGTTGCTTCCTGCAATTGGCTTCAAATCCCGCCCACATGACACTCCTTAGACCTACGCGGTATCACGCTCCTCAACGACTAAGCTCCGATGTGACGTTCCTTCATCCGCCACTTCTCCAGAGAGTCAACCGCCGCATATCACTCAAAGATCTCGATTTATATGGCAGCCAATCTCCTGCCAGTTCCACCTAACCGAGGAGGGTACGAATGATTGGGGGCCTGGCGCTGGGTTTCCACACTCAAATGACCGTGCAAAAGAAATGGTGACAAGTGCGGTTGTCAATCGCTTGGTATGAGGGAATAACACGAATCTACAAGAGGAATGGAGACCTACACTATGTCGAAGGGACTCAAGCTGCTTATGTACTTCGAATCCAACATTGTATGTACCGTAATTTTAGAATGTATATGCGTTAAAGCTTCGTAAAGTTTCCATGCCGTCCTGCCCCCGCACTAAATCGTGCTGCCCCCTTTATACTTTCTGCCTCAATCGCATCGATGCCCTTCTCGTATTCCTCCCTCAACCCGTCCTCGAACGAGGTCGCGTTGTAGGCGCTGTAATAGCAAGAATTCCGGTCAAGATTCATACACATCTCTGGGAAAGCCAGTAGCTGCTTGGCAATGGCTGTGGCCTCTTCAAGAGCCTTCCCTTTCGGAACGACGCGGTTCGCCAGTCCCATACTCAACGCCTCTTGAGCACCAACAGGACGTCCCGTCAGAATCATGTCAAGCGCTCTGCCTAGCCCGATGACCGCTTGAAGCCGGACAGTTCCCCCATCGATCAGCGGAACGCCCCACCGCCTGCAGAAGACCCCCAACACCGCGTCTTCCTCGACCACGCGCATGTCGGCAATCAGGCTCAATTCCAAGCCACCAGCGACCGCGTATCCCGCGACAGCGCTGATGACGGGTTTCTTGACCTGTAACCTCGACGGGCCCATTGGCCCTCGATTGCGTCCTTCCACAGGTTGCAGATGCGACGATCCATTCGGGGAGCTCTTCGATGCCGCAACCTCTTTGAGATCGGCGCCGGCGCAAAAGGCGCCTTCGCTGCCGGTGAGGATGCACACTTTTTGGGAGGCGTCGTCTTCGAAGGCGATGAAGGCGTCGTAGAGCTTTTGGCCTGCGGAGGGGTTGACTGCATTCCGGTTATGGGGCCTGTTGATTGTGATAGTCGTGATGCCGTCAGTGGTTGATGTGACCAGTACTGAATCTGGTTCGGAATCCATCTTGGTTTGATATAGGACTGTTCGTTTGGTTCCTGAGGCGGGATGCTAAGCGAATTCCTAAGACCAACCTAGTTTGAGAAAAATGCTAGATTAAAAATAGACGATAAATACTAAAGAAGTAGAAAACAATGGCTCCGAACAAATGAGGGACGTCTTTGGTTCCGCCTCGGTCACTCACCCGACACCCGGTGATGCTGATGCCAGGAGTGGAGGAGTATCCGTAGCCCGAGTATGCCATGATTGGACAGTAGCTTAGCCACCGACCCCTGCCCCTTGAGTTCGAGCTACGGAACCATTCCGCATTTATATTCAGGCTTCGACTCTCAGGGGAACTCGCCTATACCAATGTTGAATCAATGTGTATCATGGGTCTCTGTAGTTGCTGTCTTGCTGAGATTAGAATTTCGATTGCTGTGGAATTTGAATTGACCTTTCTCGGCCCTCCAGAATCCCTGCCGTCTTTCTCCACTTTGTCCATCCTCTGTCCCGAATTGAGAGGTTGCGAGAAATCAGCCTTTCTCTTTCTACGACCTTTATGCAGATAGATCCAATGGTTGCTCCAAATTGAACCAGCTTGTTGCCTTGTTTAACACGGGCACTACACAGTAAATAGAATGTAGATTGTAATGCTTGAACGAAACTTGTTCGAAGCATTCAGGGGAACGGGGACGGAAGGCGAGGGTAGAGAACACAGCAGCACTAGCCATGAATATTCCTCGATAGTTGAACAGTGTCGGGACTTGTATGTATTGATGGCCAAGGTTTGGAATCATGGAGCGGAGGGTTGGAGGATGGCCTTGTTTCGTCACTGTTATGACTGAAGTCGCCCTTGGAAGACCTGAGGAGTAGAACCGAGTTGTATGCAAACAAAATATAGGGGGCGAACTGTGGTACATTAGGAGAGTGAACTAATCCAGAGAATCTGCATCATAAGTTCTTCAAGGCGGAGAAGTCCTTTTGGACCAAGGGAGGCTGTTCGCATAGGCCAGGACTGGCAGGTGAACTCCAGGTGAATATGTAGTGTGGTATATATTTAATAACTTCAAATTTCCATGTAACTATAGGCATTCGCATTGTGTAAACAGGACCCAGTCGACCTCTTGTAGCAAACTAGCATAGGGTCGACCTATGACCGGGCGGAGGCACCGATGATCGTTTTCCTGCAGTCATTTTTTTTTTTTGTTTTTTTTTGTTTATTTTTGATTTACGTTTTTCAAATTCCTTTTCCTAATAGTTAGTTAGAGTAAGTTAACTAACTCATACTAATATCTTGGTTCTCACATGGGCCTAATAGTATATCAAATAGGTAGTTAGAAGATTATTGATAGTGGTTTACATATTACAAGCAGAGAGCCCAGGAACTGACTCAAAGGATATATTCATAGAAAGCAAATTAGAGGAAAAACATCATAGGCCTCCCCGTCTGCATAATATGCCATAGAGGATTATTCTGAAGATTCCTAGACATCGGGACTTAGCTGTACATATTTCTCCTACGAACACAGATCTTGCCACACTTCACAAGAAAGGTAGGGTGCATACAAGTGGACTATCACAGCTCCGGGCACGCTCCTGACCACATATTAGAGAAACCAAATTCTTCTGCAGAGCATATTGAATGATATACCTGCTTAAGCATGTGAAAGGAGCCTCACCAAGGTACCTCAACCGGGAGTTGAGTTATCATAGTATTCGCTCCACAGTCGCTCGGGCAACAGGAATGATTAGAATATGGGATCAAGGTTATCGGGTTAATACTTATCACATGGGACACTCGCGATGATGAAAGGTCGTTGCCTCTCACGAGCGAATTAGTGGAAAAAAGTACCACCAGCACATGATTCCTTCGTCTGAGCATATGGAGATGCTACGAGTTGGGTAAGGTTCCGGAGGCATTGATTATCCACTGATTTGCCTATATCACTCTTCTCTATCAGGAGTGAATGCCTCATGGTTTGTCTCCCTGTATCGTTGATTTGAAGTCTCTCTGAGTCGACATTGACAAGCACTTTGGGAATACATCGCGCCTACAGCAAATCGTACCTACACAGGCTCGACACCGTAGCGAATTCGACTGGCTGTGGTATCTTACTCTATTACCTACAACACTTCCTTCAACTCCTTGGTACTGGGTACTGATGGGCGGATGTCTACTGATGGGAAGATGCCGCCACCGCAGTACAACGGTGGAACGCATGATACGTGCAGCATTTTCAGGGCCGCAAAGGTGGTGGAGGATGACTTGTCACTCACCGACAAGGGCTATGGATCAAAAAATGCCTTCGCTGTCTTTGATAGAGTCATCCCAACCCTTCGACACCTTTTCCCGCACTCAGACAGTATTATGGAAAGCGATTTCGTATCATATGTTCGGCACCGACGAGAATTCGCCAAATTCATAACGGAGCAGGCATGGGGAGCAGCGCAAAATGAATCGGACCTGCGATTTTCCACCCAGGGGCCGAGGCCTTCGGATGAGCCACTGGCACCTCGACTGCACATCGCATTTCACGGACGACAATTTCGAACCAACAGGAGTGCTGTCCTCGCACAGGAAACGATCTGGTGTGAGAACTGGGGGGAAGTCGATTATATTCCCGACACGGTTCGGGAATTCCTTGAGCGATGCGGCGTTGATACCACTACCATGCGGCCCAAGAAAGAGGCAGAAATTCGCAACAGTCAAAGACTTCCGGATCCGGTCTATGACGATAGCGACTATTATTGGGCCAGACATCGCCCGTCAGCGAATGCGGAGTATGGGGAGGGTGGACGACCTCGGCGGGATCACTGGCCGTATACCAAATATACAGTCATCCGTGACTCTGAGCAGATGAGGAAATCCGAGGAGTTGTTTGCGGCAAGAAAGCGTAAGGTCTTTCTTAGGTACGAACCAAAGCATTCCCGGAATTCAAATGCTCCAAATTTCATACCAGAGGACCACAGGAACAATGGGCCACTGAAGACTCAGTCAGAAGATCGCACTTCTGCGATCATGACTGATGGATCTTTGGCGCGAGAGGAGGGAGTTCTGGAACAAAATGCCGCCCAGGTGGATACCGCTATCTCTGAGGGAGAAACAAGGGTAGATTCCACATCAAACATCGAATCCTCAAAGGAGCTGATTCTCGAGTCCCGTAACCTGATTGCCCCGTGGCCACATCCAGACACAACTTATGACACTCCAGCCAAATATATCCGAGGAGTGAAAGTAGCGCCCTGGCCAGATCGCGAGGAATTCGTGTTCTATGGGGATGACAACATATTCCTCAAAATCCGTCGAGCATTTCCGCTTCCCAGAATCCTATCTCGAAGAATGAGGAGATTCGGGTGTTCATGGGATGTGCGGGATCGCCTCCCACTTCTTGAGTTCGACGACATGGAGAGGACACCAGAGGACGAATTCCGGGACCCGAAACTCTCGGCTGAGGAGTTGAGGGATGAGGAAAGTGAGGCCGTACTTCGCTTCATTGGGCTTTGAATGGCAATGGCAGCTTTCAAATCGGCATGGCCTAAATAGGAGATTCTTATATCATCCGTCCATTCCCTTCGAAGACGGTCAAGGTTTAGGAAGGAATTTCGGGTCAAGACGGCCGTTTTCAGTGGCACCGAACTTTAGAGTTTCATTCAGCGTTTGTATATGTTTGGAGGAAGCCAGTTTGAGCTGGAGTCGTCGAGGTTTTTATGATTTCATTGAGTCAGGAGGAGCCTGTTTGGATAGGAGAATTCCTCACCATATAATACAACGATTCCTTTCCTAATAAACACCAATCATGATAGATATGTGCCCAATTCATGAATGCGCCGGTATGACTTGCATGATGGACCATGGCCAGATGTATTCCGTCAAGTGGTTGAAATAAAGTGCCGACACCCCTGCGACGAACATTCCGGCGGCCTTCGTTGTCCTTCATCTACCAGTACATGTACGGGTATTAATGAGTAACCAGGGATTCCAACCGATACTGGGAATAGAAATCAAACCAGGAAACAATTGAAAGGCCACCAGACCACCGTCGGACCAATACTGTATTCCTCCTAGCTTCCCTAGCACAAATAGCGCGAATGATATACGGATCCTACACTGCCGGGCAAAAAGAATATCGACTCAGAACTCTCGAAAGAGAGCATATATTACACGATCTATACTTTAGGATCGATATGTAGCACTTCGAATATAAACCAAAGCATTTAATCCATCGTCTAGAAGCCCGCAGCAAGCATCAGTCCATACCCAACCGTAATTACAACCATGTAAGTAAGCACGGAAGCTGGTACACCGCGGGTAATGAAGTGTTTGACCCGTAGATATCTCTGTCCAGTTTGTGGGTCTTCCATCATGATAGCAGCTGCAAGGATCCATTAGTATTAGAGATCGAGAATATAAAACTAGGAGGACTTACTCATATTAGGGAAACCGCTCGTTGGCAATCCCATCGCAGCAGAGCACATGAGGACACTGCCCATTACCAGCAGGTTCGGATGCGGTTGCTCCATCCCGATGCCAATTTGCTGTACAAGAGGTAGAATGATGAGGGCCGCAACCGTGTGGCTGATGAACGTCGCGACAATGAGAATCAAGGTGCAGAACACGACCAGCACGGCGTAGAGCGGCAGGTGTTCAACTTTGGTGGTGATCGCCCCGGCAATGGTATGGAGCAGTCCAGACGAGTTAACCGCATTGCCGAGTGCGAGTCCACCTGCGGCAAGGATAATGATCGTCCACAGGAAATTGTTGAAATCTTCCTTGGTCAGGATACCGGTGCCGAAGAAGAGAACGATGGGAATAAGCGCAATCACGCCCATATCGCCAAATATCGGCTCCAGTTGATGGCTTAGAACCCACAGGATAATGGTGGCGACGGTGACGATGCTGATGAACCATTGGATGCCAGAGAATTTTTCTTTGATGGCACGAATTGGCACGATGGTGGTATTTCGGCCGGGTCGGAAGGTGACGAGAAGCAGAATCCAGATCAATAGGATGGAGATAACAGAGATCGGTATCGCAATGAAGAACCAGATACCCCAGCCAGGCTGAGGCGTCATGTTCTGTAGTGCGATCAGATTCTGGGGCGAGGCGATCGGAGATGCCATGCCACCGATGTTCGAGGCTAGAGCAATGCCAAGGAGCAATGCCTTGGACATGTTCGAGTCGGATGGAAGATTGCGAAGAATAGGCTAGATCTCAGTTAGAGCTGCTAATCACTGGATGTTGACTGATCGTACCTGTATGATCGAATAGCAAAGTACGGGAGCGGCGACATTACTGATCCACATGCTGGCGAACGTCGCGACGCACATGCTTGTCAGGAGAACGATCTTTGGACTTGTTCCAGCTTTGCTCAACGCAACCGTCGCCATCTTTTTGGCAATATTGTACTTGGATAAGGCGGCAGCGATCGTAAAACCGCCCAGCAGAAGCATGATCACCGGAGTCCACATTGCAGCGAAAACATGCTTCGCTGCCTCTTTGGATCCGAGACGGTTATGGGGCTTCTCATCGGCTCGGACAACCTGAAGAACAACCACAAGGAGCGGAACAAGTAAGGAGGTCACGAAGAGCGGGATGGCCTAGACGACGGTTCAGCATGAAGTCGCTGGCTTGTTTGCTCGGGACTCACCTCCGTAGCCCATAACAGGCTGACGATAACCACCAAAGCAAGACAATTCTGCTGTTCCGGCATTCTCATAATCGGGATGAACAGCAAGGCGAGGAAGATCGCCCAAATTCCAATCAAGACATAGATGGTTTTGCTGAGCAGCCAGATCGGGACGTTATACTCGCCCAACGGCGTCTGAATTACCTTCGTCGTCGGCTCCACCTCGTCCCCTTGGAGTCTCGCTTTCGCGGGATCAGTTTCTTGCCCTAGCATCGTGTTTCTGATCCCCATATTCGCCGCTTGGGCTCGTCGTTCGATGCCGATCATCTCGCGCCACACGGTATTACGCTCCCAGACAACATGCTCTCGTAGATGCAGCCGAAGTTCACGTTTCGCGAGACTTTCGTCCTGCGACGGCAGCATGTGGGCATATGCCTTCTCCACCTCTTCGATATTCCCGTTTAGCTGGTCCATGGTGGCTTTCACAAACGGCTGGGCCGGCTCCACACATCGATCGATGTACGAGCGCTTGAGATTGCGGCTGAGGATCTTGTCGTATTTCTTCAGCACCTTGGTGAATCCGGTCCGGTTGAGCTGGATATACGATCGAAGCTCGCAGAGCGACACGTAGATGCCGACGATGCGCTTCTTGAGCGTCATGCCGGATTCGTAGATGGATGAGAACATCATATCGTTGTAGTCGTGAGCGCCCCCGCTCGTCCTCCGTCGCGATAGGTCCCGAGACTCCCGATCCCCATGCTGCGAATCTCCAACCCAGGAACTTTCAGCTGTCCTCTGCCGCTTCAGAGCAGATCTCTCATCAACGTCATCATCGCTGTCATCCTCCTCTTCCTCAATTAGACCGCCTGTTGAGGTTCGACTCGTGGTTGTACTCGCGCGTCGTCTCCCCGAGCCGAATGGCATGGTTCGGAATATACTTGAAGACCGTGGCCGCGCCTGTGTCATGCGACTCGAATTGACCGCATCATGCTCCAAATCGCTCGCTTCGTCTTCAAATGACTCTTCATCCTTGAGAATCTGTTCTAGCTCGCCATATAATTCGAGCTCCTTGAATCGGTAGAAGGAGCAGATCTTGTCGAGTTCTTGGTCGAGAGCGTTGGTGAAGACCTGGTCCGGGTCGTCGGACGTCCCGTCCAAGAGCGGAGATGATTCGGCATCCTGAGCCTGCCCGGTCCGTCCTCGCTGATGTGACTGTTTCTCAAGCTGGTAGATTCTGCAATGTCGCGGGAGTGATTAGCCCGTGCAGTGGTGACACCTGGATCCCAAGAGACACTCACAGCTTCTTCAGGTTGCTATACGCAATGTATTGGCTACTCCAATCCGGGACCGCATTGAACTGCAAACTATGGGAGAACTTCATCTCGCTTTCCTCCCAGAGACGCTGGAGCTTCTCTCGCCTCTTTTGTTCGTATTGAGCTTGTTTTGCGTCGGAGACGCCGTGGCTCTGGTTGTGCTGGACTCTTCGCTCGGTAGCGGAACCGTCGGCTTGGAGGAGTTCAAGTTCGAACCCGCCAGAGTCCCTCCGCAAACCGGAGCTACTAGTTGAGGGTTCCACGGTTAATGGACTTCAGGAAAGCGGTTTAGAAAGCTGGTTTGCATCACCCCAGAGGCTTTTGTACAATGGTTCTCGACCGGGGGAAGTTTGGTACTGGCTGAAGACTGCGGGTGATATGACACAACGGAGGCTTTCGTCTTAGTCTTTTGTAGTAGAGTTTAGTCGTTTGCTTGTGCATGTAGTGTATATTCAGGCAGATACTGAGTTTTGCTTGCTGTACAACAGTTGATGGTATTGTACAGCTATTCAAACTTGGAATTATTGAGTTGACGTCGCCGTATTGACGGACATGGGTCCCCAGTTGCCAATCCGCCATGGATCTTAATTAGCAAGCTGTTAATTATCGTACGAGATACGGATATTAAGATTAGGTAGGCACAGCTAAGTTAACTACCAATTATATCTATTAACAGAGATACAGAAGCCCAACAGCGGCAAACAATGAGGCAAGATGACGTTTCACTGCTCATCTTAAAAGATATATTCATAGCCGCCTTCTGGGAAAAGGTAATTTGCTGGTGAATACCCACTGGCTAATGCGACATGGCTAGAGCAGCTAGAGCGCGATCCCAATACCAAAGCAAGCAATAAATCCTTTGAAACAAGTATGCGAAATATCGATCAACTTGCTAACAAGGCCAACTGAATTTCCGAATTACAAGCGCTGATAAACATGGTAATGACCGTCTATACGTCAACCAGGTTATCCTCTTCTTCGTCCTCCTGCCCTTCCGGATCGTTGTCACGCGTGTCCTTTGCACCACGTCTCTCAACCGGCTTGCGTTGGTAGTACTCGTCGAGTACCTTGGCGGGAATCCGGTTTAGCAGCTCCCGGGGGTAGATTCGAAGCAGACTCCAGGCGAGGTCGAGGGACTCGATGATGGTCCGGCTCTCGTATGCACCCTGGGCAATGAAGGTCTTCTCGAATTTTTCGAGGAATTCGAGCGAGAGCTTGTCCTCCGATGACAGGGCTTCCTCGCCGACAACGGCTTTCATGGCAGCTTTGGAGATGAGTTAGCACTTAAGCTCCATGAGATAGTATGAATGTCACTTACCGGCATCACGGCCAATGGCGTACTTGGCATACAACTGGTTGGACACGTCGCCATGATCATCTCTTGTTCGTCCCTTGCCAATGGCCGACTTCATAAGTCGTGAAAGGGACGGCAGCACGTTGATCGGCGGGTAGACACCACGATTGTGTAACTGTCGGTCAACGAAGATCTGTCCTTCGGTGATGTATCCAGTCAGGTCAGGAATGGGATGCGTAATATCTGCGGACAAAATGAGCATGTCGATCGTATCTCTTTGATAGCCTATTCTTACCGTCGTTCGGCATGGTGAGGATGGGAATTTGGGTGATGGACCCATTTCTTCCCTCGACACGGCCAGCACGTTCGTATATCGTGGACAAATCCGTGTACATGTAACCGGGATAACCACGGCGACCTGGCACTTCCTCTCGAGCGGCTGACACCTCACGAAGAGCATCACAGTATGAAGACAAATCCGTGAGAATGACAAGGACGTGTTTCTCCAATTGATATGCATAGTATTCGGCAGTGGTGAGGGCGAGACGGGGCGTGATGATACGTTCGATTCTAGCAGTTGTCAGCAATGCCGGGAAGGTTAGGGCAAAAACCATACGTTGGGTCATTGGCAAGATTCAGGAACAGCGTGACACGCTCCATGCTGCCGTTCTCCTCGAAGTCTCGCGTGAAGAACCGACTGGTCTCCAAGTTGACACCCATCGCCCCGAAAACGATGGAGAAATTGTCATCGTGCCCATCATGTACACCCTTGGTAGGTCGGACAAGATTGGCCTGTCTGCAGATCTGAGCGGCGATTTCGTTGTGAGGAAGACCGGCGGCCGAGAAGATGGGGATCTTTTGGCCTCGGGCAATCGAGTTCATGGTGTCGATGGCGGAGATACCAGTGGAGATCATTTCTTCGGGATAGACCTGTTTCAATCTCAGCATGGCTCTACCAACAAGAAAGGTCAAACCTTACACGAGAGTATGGGTTGATCGGACTGCCATTGATATCGAGGTAGTCCTCGGCGAGCACCTTTGGACCTTTATCAATGGCCCTTCCAGATCCGTCGAAGATTCGACCAAGCATGTCTTCAGAAACGCCGAGCTTCAAGTTATGGCCGGTGAATTCGACTTTGGTCTGGTAACGTGAGCATTTCTGAACAGCGAGTAGAGCTTGACGGGGTATACCTTCTTGACATCAATGCCAGTGGTTCCCTCGAAAACCTGAGTGACGAGTCAATGGACTGGACGCTTTCCATGTTTGTTAATAGCGTATTACCTGGACAACAGCTCGGTTCCCTAAATTGACATTATAAGCTTCCTAATTTGATAGATTGCGGACGTATATCCATACCTCTTGCTTCGAGCACCTGTCCAGCACGTTCCGAGCCATCGGGGAGGGTTAAGGAGACGATCTCGTTAAATTGTGGAAACTTGACCTGTTGCAACGCATCAGATACTTCATCCGTCTTCTATACCATCGCAATATACGCACATTCTCGAGAATGACCAGAGGTCCATTCACACCCCCGATTGTGTTGTACCGCAATCTGGGTTTGACGGACATCATCCGCGGATCAAGTGCAGGAGCCATGGCGGCTGGCGAGGCAGATCCCGCTCGGTTTGCAGAAGGTTCAAGAGATTCGGGTCGGTATGAGATTTGGTTGTTAGTGTTTGTCGTCCAAATGAAGCCGGACTTTGATATATTCCACTAGATGCAGGCAGATGTTGAACTGGCGGGATGACGGAGATGCAGCGAAGGAGCTTGGGCCACGAGATCCGATGTGAGCGCCTCGTTGCCTTGTCGCCTCATCCCTAATTCGATTGCACGTGTTGGCTTACTCAGATTCATGCATGCATGCACGTGCATCATTGTGGAGAGCACTGAGCACGTGTTGAATGCAGCCACAAGAACAAAGTCCACACTCCACACAGCAGAAGAGAGGAATATAGGAGGACCTAAGAGTATGGGCGTCGTCTGGATAGTTAAGGTACTCCTTAGGAATACTACTCACTGCTCATTTCCGAATGTTGCCAGGAAGTGAGAGGAAATAGATGCCGTAGAGCCTGGTACGGTAGAATACTAAGCCTGTTGTCCAATCAGAACGAGCTCTGCTTGGCATAAATGCTGAATCTTGAGTTTCTGGCTGAGATTGAGTTTCAATACCAAGGAACCTTAACCATCACAGACGAACATTCTCAGCCCTTCAAGAAGTTGGATATATCACTACTGACATATTTAACCTCTGAGGGTTAATAATTCCATTCTGGTGTGCCGCTTGGTGTCTCCTCATCCTCCCGTGTTTAGCCTTAGCCTCCTACTCCCTAGACCCACGTCTGCCTACCGTGCTACTGGTTTCGGTCATATTGAACTCAGAAATCTACTTCCGCAAGAGCAAACTATCTTGGATAATTTATAGTGCCATTCCCGTGATGATTTTCTTGAGAAGGAGAGGAACGAACCTGAAACGTCTAATTTTCATTGAGCGCAATGGAGGGCATCCGGGCTCCCATCTCCGATTTGCAACCTCCTCTGAATTCGGAATGTGAGGTTCCTAAACAAAGTCATGACAAGTCGTTTGACGATTTTATACCCCTCGGCGTTATCTGTGTCAATGAGAACGATGCTGAAGATGCTGCTTCCCCTGGATCAATCGACAGTGCGATTGATATGACTTCGAATGATGACGGTTCAACTTCGATCCATCAAGCTCTGCAATTTTTGGCAACTTCAGGTCGCATCAAATGTCTTCCGCACAGGCTGGAGGACGATTCGAGATCGTATATCCGCCTCTATATCGTCCCAGAGGACGTCCGGGGCCGAACCTTACGGAAACTGAGCGATGAGTCCATGGCGGTTAAGCGTCATTTCGACGTCCTCTTTCAAGAATTAGATGTCTCTCCTGATTCCTGGCATGGAATCAGTGGTAGGCGCTTACCTTTCTCAGTCTGGTCGACATCGGAGAATATCTCATTGTTCTACTTGTTCAACACTCTGCCATCACCCAATCCCGATCCTTCTCTCATCAGCGATTGTTACTCTCAGATTGCTGCTGTGGAACTCCTCCAAGGCGATGTTCCTGGTCTCAAGTCAACGCTATACAACTACCAAGCACGTTCGGTGGCGCAAATGATCCAACGAGAGTCAACTCCTGGGCTTCAGCTAGACCCCCGATTAGAAACCCGTCGAAGTCCAACGGGGCAAGAGTACTACTATGGCCCGAGAGACATGTCATTCTTCAAACATCCTCAGTATTATGACTGCTGTCGTGGCGGCATATTAGCTGAAACGATGGGCCTCGGAAAATCGATCATTTGTCTTGCGGTCATTCTAGCCACCAGGCACCATCTTCCACAGATTCCGTCGCTGTACGAAACCCCACGGCGGATTCGACCCAGAGTAGGCAGCCTGGCTGAGATGGCGATAGCCTCAGCAAACAGACATGGAGTTCCAGCAAGAGCTCACCTCGACCGGATCCATCAAGAAACCGGCAATGAATTTGAATCTTGCGTAAAACTGGTTAATTCCATACCGCCCACTTACAGCATTCCCCAGGTTCCTTATCGTTTGAATCGCTATACAATAACGCCGCCGCCGAGGGTCAAGCGCTTGTGTAGTGCCACAATCATCGTGGTTCCTTCCAACCTCATGCATCAATGGCAGGCTCAGATCTCCGAACACGTCCATGAGTTATATCTTGAAGTGTTAGTTGTCGAGGACCATTCTCAGAAGCTTCCAAGTTCCGATGAGCTTTCGAAATATGACATACTTCTAATAAGCCGAAAACGATTTGAGATGGAGATCTCCGACGGCTCGGATGCAGCTGGCAGACGGTTTTATCGAGGCACTGTTCCTAAATTATGTTATTGCCAATACATGGGCGCAACAAGAAGAAAGAATTGTACATGCATAAAAAAAGAGGGAATCTACGAGAGCCCGTTGAAGGACCTGCATTTCCTCCGATTGATCGTTGACGAAGGACACCAATTTTCCTCTCGCACTTCAAATGCTGTCAAAGTGGCAAGCGAGTTAGTCACAGCTGAAAGGCGATGGGTTGTTAGCGGAACGCCCGCAAGAGACCGCCTCTTCGGAGTCGAGGTTGATCTCGCGATCGACGATGAATGCGACGATGAGAAGCCGTACCAACTCCCTTTACAGGACTCTACATCTGGGAACAGTGGCTCGCCGCTCATTCTGTCAGACAATTTTTCCATCCACGCGTCTCGGCGTGAACGGGCTCTGGCCATGAGAAAGCGTTTCAATTCACAGGAAGAGAAGAATGGTGCCGCGGTCAGCCTCGGACTCCTTGTCTCCCATTTCTTACAAGCTCAACCATGGGCTCGGAAATCCGGGGTGCCGAAGGTGGACTGGGTTGACCACGTCTTCGTGCACGAAGATCGAACAAAGAAGACGTACAGTGGCTTTGCGTCGTGTATGCATCGGACGTTAGAGTCACTCGTGATCAAGACGCGGCTTGAAGACGTCGAGAGAGATATTCAACTTCCACCACTGAAGCACAAAGTCGTCTATCTCGAGCCGTCTTTCTACGACAAGTTGACCGCGAATCTGTTTACACTCGTCCTAGCAACGAACGCTGTGACGAGTGAGCGAACAGATCGGGATTATTTGTTCCATAAGGATAGTGCGAAACCACGCCACACCCTGATCTCAAATCTTCGACAAAGCAATTTCTTCTGGACCGGTTTCACCGAGGAGAATGTGCGCGATGCCCTTGCGAATGGCGAGAAATACTTGGCGAAGGAGAATACGATGTGTAGCGAAGAGGATCGAGTTCTTCTCAAAGAATGCATGCAATTCGCGACGATTCTGCTTGAATCCCCCGGTTGGAAAGCTCTTAGCAACAGCCACGAGATGGGAATATTCTTGGACAATTGGCCAGCACATTCCTGTTGCCACTGGGATATGAGAGGCGAAAGCACTCTACCGCTTTTTACTGGGACTCAACAGCTTATTTTAGCCCAAGCATATATTAATTCAAGGCTGGCATATGCAGATCCGACTGAGGGCCTTGCGGAAGTTGGAGTCGCTGCCCTCGCGCAGGTCGATGCTGAGAATGCTGCAGGTGGCGACGGGGTAGATAGGAGTACATCATCGAAGATGACGCTGAAGGGAGTGCCTGAATCCAGCATCGGCGCCGGCCAACCTTCACCGAAGAAGTATCACGCGTACACACCAAAGAACAGCCCCCCCTCAAAGCCTCGAAAACGGTCATCTACGGGCGCCGGAGCGTCCGATCTGTCGACCGAAGCCCAGAAACAGACCCCATCGCGCAAACGATCTAACTCCGCCACGGAAGAGCCAACTCTCCCGCCTGATTGTCCTCTATCCAACACCCGCATCATCGGAACCACGTCTTCCAAGCTCTCCTACCTCATGGAACAAATCCTCCTCCACTCCCCCCACGAAAAGCTCCTGATCTTCTACGACGGCGATAACGCTGCCTTCTACCTCGCGCAGTGCCTCGAAATCTTCCACATCCGCCACCTCATCTACGCCAAGACGCTCCGCACCGCGCTCCGGTCCAAGTACATCGTCGCATTCGACACCGACGACTCCATACGCGTTCTCCTCATGGACATCCGCTGCGGTGCGCTCGGCTTGAACGTCAACAAGGCCTCCCGCGTCTACTTCATCAACCCATGCAACCGGCCCAGCATCGAGGCGCAGGCGGTGAAGCGAGCTCATCGGATCGGGCAGACCCGTGAAGTCCACGTGGAGACCTTGATTCTCAAAGGCACGATTGAAGAGGGGATGTTTGAGCGGGCGAAGCGGATGACGAGGAAGGAGCACGATACCGCGAGGCGGATTGAGGAGGACGACGGGGTGCGGGGGGTGATTCAGAACGCGAGGTGTCTGCCTGTCACGGCGGAGGAGGGGATTGGGGAGCGACAGATGGCGCGCGTTTCGATCAACGAGCAGATTTTTGGGAGAAGGGGTTGGAGGTCCGCGAAAGTGAAGTTGGAGGGTGATGATGCGAGTGAGCGAAAGTTATCTAAGAAGCAGAAGAAAGACAGTAGTGCGATTGGGGGCGGGCATGCAGATATGTTGGAGTTTAAGGTTGGCCATCACCGTCCGCGGGAATCAGGGCTAGCCCCCGAATAATTTCTTAAATGATGATGAATGGGATCAGTTGGTTCTCACCCTTGAGGTCATCCTAGACTGATTCTATGTACCATAGTTTACCCACGCACTCGTATCAGAGCCCCCTAATCGTAGAATGAGAAATGAACCTCTAATTATTGTCTAAAATTCGTCTAAACCTTATCTATTATATGTATTCGCTGGATCCTCATTGATCAACGCAATTCCGTCCGCTCTATAATCATCCAACTCCGCCCGACACGGCCGCTCCGCTGTAAAGACGAAGTTCCGTCCATCAGTGCCATAGCGCGGCCAGGCTTCCAAATCGCTAAATTCACCTCCATCCTGCCGGAAGCCGTTCGGGTCCATCGTATCTATAAAACTGACCCATGAGTGACACATCAACCGAGCCAACTCCAGATATCGCGCCCCGCTATGGTCGAACGGCCTGGGGCCGCCCTCATGCCCTTTGCCCTGGAGGTTGTAGAACACATATGGCACTTCTACAAAGTGGGCGACCCCCATTATATCTTCAGTGGAGGCGTTCGGTAACGCATCGAAGAGGTAGCAGTAGGCGGGAACCTCGTGAGAGGCCCACGCCTGGCAAGTTAAACGCTTGTTCGCGTGGAACGTCGCGTCTCCGAAGTAGGTTGCGGCTCTTCGCCATTGGTTCCCCTGGGGATAAGGGGGTCGATATGTCCCGGCAGTCGCCGGGATGTTCTGGGATAGATCGTCCGCATATATTCTGCCGAGTTCCGTTGCCAAGGCCTCAGATACGCCTTGAACATAGGTTTTGTCTACAAAAATTGTTAGTGGTAGTACAGTGGTCGAGAAAGGAGTTCGTACTTGTCAGAGCGTAGAAGAAATCCGCATCGTCGTAGATCCCATACGGTGTGAATCCTGTGCCTTCGTCTGCGTTGACGCCAGTCAGGATCGGAACTCGGACAAACGCACCCTCGGAAAGCTGGGTGGAGGTGTGGTTTTGTATGAAGTCTCCATCGATGGCTGGGTTCCATGAGAGCCAAAGCGTCGCATTATTTCGAACAACGCCATCGATCCGCTCGAAAGGTTGCTCGCGGAGACATCGCAGACTATCGAGCGCAAGTCCGCAACCTGTTTGATTCGCAAGGTCGTCGTATAATATTTGCTGCGTCTCTATGTCGTTGATTGAGCCATAGAAAATAGGTGACCCGCTCTGCATAATCGCAGCCCGGAACAGCTTCTCATCTTGACCACCATAAGCCGTCAAATGATAGCCAACTGACGACGCGCCTGCCGATTCACCCATAAGAGTAATCTTACTCGGATCTCCCCCGAACGCGGCGATATTCTCCTGGACCCATCGAAGCGCCAAGCGCTGGTCACGGAGGCCCATGTTCGTATCTCCGCTTTCGATCGTCTGGTTCGAGAACAGAAACCCCCAGACACTGAGACGGTAGGCGATGGACACCGCAATCATGGGCTTCCCGATTCTGTCGGCTTGATGCGCTATGAAACTCATGTCGTATTGCGGGTCCGTCGGGCTGCCGCTGGTATACGCTCCGCCATGGATCCACACCACGACCGGACAACCGCCCTGGCATGTTCTAGTTCGTACGATGTTGAGGTAGAGACAGTCTTCGGACTGGTCCAGAGACCCTTGGGTGTAGCCGATGCATGCTTTCTGGTGTTCCCTTGCTTTAAACGACTCGGGTCCCCATCCCTCAGCGAGAGGCTGCGGATTGCGAAATCGGAGGTCATCAACAGGGGCAGCGGCATATGGAACCCCCAGGTATTGATCCTGATCATATCCCTTCAGGTATACACCCTCAACGGTACCATTCCGCACTGTCACCGTCGGGATCTGCTCCTCGGTTCCATCGAAGACATTGGTCACGGCCAGAACAACCAGAATGACGGTAAAGACTAGTGCAAGGACAACAAGACAGACGAGGAAACGTAGACGGAGAAAGAAAATGGGAAGTTTCACTGTGCCGGGAACATCCCATGGCTGCGACGGAGGTTTTGATTCGGCAGGGGAAGCAGAATCATTCAACTGCCATCTCTTTCGGCGGAACATTCACGGAGCTTCTCAACGTCTGGCCAAAGGAGGCCAGGTGAACGTCTCCTGTCTCGCGCTGCCCTCAGACCGGTACGTTTATCCTAATGTCTTTAAGCAGGCTATCAGGGCATGCTTAGTTCCATCCGATGGTGATAAGAAGAAATATGGCTGTAATTACGAGAGGACAGGACTCTGACGTTTAAGTAAGAAGTAGGATATGATTCAAATCGATGGATTTGAGTCCTGCGGACGTAGCGGCTATCTCCCCTGACTCTTACCCGTCACCATCCACCGACAGGTTCGCCGATCAATAGTGGTCCTAAGATTGGCGAGCACCGGAAATTCCATGATTCTACGTGATTGGCATTTTGGCAGAATGGCAGGATTTGTAAGATGCAGTTAAGCTGGGATTCTGCACTCAATTGTGGCTCGATGACAGATTGCGTGCTGTGGTGGTTGGTGATGATGCCCTGGCCTCTGGGAGCTGGAATGGCGGGTGAAAGGAGGAAAAGCATTTGTGGAGCTGACGTGTCGCCCATCAACGGGGCTGGCCATTTCCACGCCTGACAACCATCAGATCGATATCCGCACCCGCAACGATAAATTCCAGCCGTTATTGCTAATATTCCAGCACTTGATTTATATCTGATCTAAAGTCCCGATACAGAGTACATATCCCTCGCGAACACCGAAGCACCTTGCCACGCCCTACCAAATGATGCGAACACTTCAAGAACGATGACAACTAACCCCCAATTATAATGGGGTTCAAAAAGACCTTTAATTACCACCCTTCTTCAGGGTCTCAGTGTCCTCCCGTTGTCGGAAGCTGGCAAACATTAGCTTAGGATGATGGGATCCGAGGATTCACGTTGCTTACCCCTAGATATACTTTGAACGAGTCATATATCAGCCATTGGAAGGCGGTCAGAGTTCCTTTTGTCGGTTCAGCGGAGCTCAGACTGTATATATTCCGCTCTGGATACTCACCGATCATGACGATTCGGACCGGGAGTCCGTTCCACAAGCCTGGGAATCCTATGTTCTTGTAGATCCTTGAAACGGCCTGGACTGCGCCTTCGCCGGCTTTTCGATGTCAGTACGGTAACCACTGCTAACCCATTTCAGGTGTTCGCTCACCTTTTCTGTCGGAGTTCAACTTCGATACCATCACATCTAAACGAATCAGTAATATCCTCGATGTTTCACGGCGACTGAACTTACCAGCCGGATGCGACACGGCTGCGCATCCAATACCAGCAATATATCCGCCAGCGAACGAGACCCCCGTCTGCTGGAGGCTATTGAACGACTCCTTCGGCTTCCCGAGGAACTTATAGATCCGTTCCACCGCCTTCTCGAAGGTCGCGAATTTGACCTGGCGAGTCCATCAGCACCGAGTCAAATCGTCTTGCGGACCATATCTTACCATCGTATACGGTATCTGCCGACCCCAGAGCGGATACAACCCCTTATAAAACCTTCACTCCGATCAGCACCGCTTCTCGTTCACGCCGATCAACCCGTCCCACTCACCCGCTCACCCCCTCCTCCCGCATCACCCTCCCCATCCCCTCCCGCATATTCCTCGCGAACGGCGGAATCGTCGTCTGCATCCTCACCTTCACCATCTCTAACGGACACAGCGCCAAATCCGCCAGCGCCTCCGCGGATGCCGATGCAGCGAGGTACACCACGGTCTTATTCGCCCCCGGAAACCATCGCTCGCCGTACGTGTATTTGAACAGCTCGTAGAACCCGTATTTTCCGGCACCTTGGAACGAGTACCCGACGAGCGTGGGCGACCAGCCGGTGAAGACGCCGCGGAGGCCTTCGCCGCGGTAGATCGTGCGCCAACCTTGGAGGTTGGATTTGTAGAGGGAGGAGTCGACTTGGCGGCGGGTTTTGACGACGTCGAGAGGGGTGACCGCGGTGTGGGTTGGGCCGCATGCTGGCAGGGCGGGTTAGCTTGTGATAGAAGGCCAGATGAGGTGGGATAATATACCGATGATGCCTCCTACTGTGCATGCGGCGAAGTAGGTGGGGGAGAAGAGTTCGATCTTCGTTGACGGCGCTGGTGGGCGGGGTGGTTTGGCTTGTGACATGGTGATGGTCGATTCAATCTCTTGGGATATGAAGTTATACGCAGAGGAGAAAAGATGTTGAGGAGAAAAGATATTTAGGAGAATATCTTGATTCGTGTGAGTTGTGTATAGGAAAGTCTTGCGGTAGAATTATAAAAGTCGTTCTTGCTGTATATGGAACAATCCTAAATATCCGTCCTGCTCATGGCGATCTTTCTCGCATCCATACAAATTACAACATGCTTCCTAATGATGACATCGGCTCTCTATCCTAGCCCGATCTTGCGGAGAAGAGTCGGATATGTATGCTCCCTTTATTTCCTATCCGTTAATTGGCCTATTGGGCCAAGTTTCAACGTTACCTTATCGGACGTCCAAAAGTTGACATAAAACGGTTCTACGTCATAATTACCTCGATGCCGGGAGCGGCAGGGAATCGAAAACTCGCAATCCCAGTCTCCTGGTTCATCAACGGAAGCTTTGGGCGAGAACCGCGAGATAGAACTTGAGCGGTTGAGCCTCATCATTCATTAAATTCCTTGTAATATCAATGCTGTGGGGGTTATTCGAGCTCGGGCAGTTCCGGTTTTTTCATCTTCTGGTATCCCTGGTATCTGGAGGTTTGGACTCCAATCATCATGAGGGACATCGGTTGAAGCATTAAGCTTCCGATGATGATAATTCGACTCCTACTAGGAGGATATCATGAGCCGATATAGAAACGCGGATTCCGACATTTCGTTGTCGAGGTTGTGGCATGGGTGTGCCTAGAGGCGAGAGCATGCCGCCGTGTTCATGGATCGAATGCAATGGAGGAAGCCGAACGTGTACAAGGAGAGGCATGGAATGCCGGGTATTAGAAATTACATGTGGTTAGTGATCAAACAATGTCGAAGAACCGAAGCATATCTGTATGTCTGTACCTATGTAGCCTGTCCGTGTCGACCTAGCAGCAGTAATTCCACCAGGGAACTCCCAACAGCATCGCAATGCACCCACGCAGCGTCGACACCCATTCCCGCGACCCACCGCACGCATCAGCAGTGATTCAAGAACGACCGGTCCGAACCCCATCCCCCCAGCTCGCATCCTCCCCCGTATCCTCAGCCCGGAGACTTCGTGTTCTTCCCGTTCTCGCGCGCATGCGGCGCATCAACCAGCTCGAACTCGCTGCTCACGGTGGACGAGGTCTCTAGCGCGTCAGTCAACAAACGCGTTGCTCGGTGGACGGGGTGGACAGACTGTGTGGTTGCGCCGGGGGTTTGCGAAGCGGTACCCGGGAGGTGACGGGCGCGTGCTCATCGTCGCTCTCCGATTCGTCCTCCTCGCTTTCGTCCTCTTCCTCGCTCTCTTCCTCTTCCTCACTCTCGGCCTCGTCTCTCCTGACCGGCTTCCCGACTTCCTCCTCACTCGACTCCTCCTCCTCTTCCTCCTCCGATACCGTCTCCGGTCGTTGTAGAATCTGCGCCTGTATTTCCCTTGCGACAGGTCGCGCGGGCGGTGAGGCGGACGAGGGGCCCAAACCTGCCTTCTGCAACCGCTCTTCCGCGGCGCGCAGTTGCGCCTCGAGGGCTTCGAGCTCGCGGCTCTGGAAGGTGACGGAGCGGCGTCTATGAGAGGGTGGACATGTAAGTTTCTGGTATTGCACAATAAACACGGGAGCAGGGCAGGGGGAGGTCCGGGGATGGGTTACTTGTTGTCGACGTTGCGGGAGAGACTGTCGAGGCCGGTGTCCATTTTGAAGATGTCGTCGAGGGCCGCGCCGAGGCTGGGGAGGGTTAGCTAGCTGAGGAGAGGAGGGGAGAGGGTGGCGGGAGTACTTCTCGGGTTGGGCTTCTTGGACTTGTTGCCAGCCTTCGGGGTCTTTGGGTTCGGTCATGGTTGGGGTGGGGGGGTGGGATTATGCAATATATCAAACGGGAAAGGGGAGGAGGAAGTAGTCAAAGCAACAGTCGGGGACGTTTCACGCTCTCCTGAGAACGGACAATCCGAAGCTTAAGGATTGGTTCTGCGCGCTTGCTCAGAAATGATATCGATGGACAATGGAAAAGGGATATTAGAGTAGATGATGGGATTCTTGTAGTGTTTGGGGGATTTGAAATTGTTCATGGGAAAGGGTCAGGAGAAGTCGAGATTCGGGATGATGATGGAGGCACGAGGGAAAGGGTCAAGGTGTGGGGGGGAGTGTGACACTAAGGACGGTACGGGGAGCCGTTTCTCGGTCCCAAATGATCGACGTTGGATTGATGATGATTTCTGAACAGCTGAGGCCGTGTTCCAATTGCATGGGAGTCATCTGGTTCAAGTTGAGATTCATGTCTGGCTACAGATTTATATATCATTATATCTCAGTACAAATGAGTAACACTAGGATGGGTCACTGGGCAGGCACGGAGCCGGCATGTGAGAGGTACTGCATGATGCATCTGATGAATGAAAAAGAACACCAAGGAATTATTATCGTTCAAGAATATTTCAGCCTAAATAATATTATCTGAACATTTGAGCAGTGATCCAGTGATGATCTGGCGAGAAGTGTGAGGACTGAAAAGGGACCCCCTGTATTGAGCGCCGATCATAGGCGGCACCCCCCGGTCTGCCCCCCCCCCGAACGCCTCCCAAAATCTCAGGCAGTCAGGCTCCTACGGGCTACGGTCGGCGGTCGCAAACCCCATCCACCATTCATCGACTTTCCACCATCCACCATTCAACATTCAACATCTCACACCTCTCAACTCATCAACCTATCAACCCATCCACCTCAAATCTTCAATTCTCAATCAAGTCCATCTCGAAAATCATCGCCTCCATCAATTTTACAAACCCCTCCACCTCCATATTATCTCCCTTCATCGCTTTTCCCTCCCGTGGATCCCTCCACATCTCGACCACTCCGATCGCGCATCATCACCATCAGTCCATCAAATGGTGTGAGGGAATCCCTCCGCTCCCAAGTTCTCGTGCTATCATGAGACCCGTCCTCCATCGTGGCTTCTCTGTTGCTTCTCCCCCAACCCCATCTACCGCCGTCGTCGCCCATCCTCCCATCGGGACGGCAGCAGCAGCTCTTCCATCGCAAGGTGATGACCACTAACCTCACCTCGTACTCCCCGCTCGAGTCCTTTTTGCTCTTCCAGTATCTGTCGTCCTACGGCGTCGACCATGCGAGCTTCGATCGAGTTTCCGGCCTGCTGCAATCCAACCCGCTTATCAAGAATGCCGCGACCTTCGACACCGGAAGACTCAGCGCCGATGCGCTTCGAGACCTGTACTCTCGTCTGCTGAAGGAGGAGATCCAGAGCGATCTGCAACATCCCTCCGCGAATGAAAACGATAGCCTTCGTCCAGATGGTCCATCCCCATCGAGGAAACGGAAAGCACCCAGTCCGTCCCTCCCGAGCGCGCAGGAAGCGAGTCAAGCGGCGCATCTTATTCCGCAATTGATCACGAAGTTGTACACGCGATACCGACAATATGCCATCCGCGAAATCCGCGATCAGGAACGAGCCTACACGCGGTTGCAAAAAGAGCTCCAGGAGATCCAGAAGGGAGAGTGGGATGAGCGATTGCGACGGGAGATTGAGGAAGGGGAATGGAAAGGGTTCTTAGGTAGAGAAGGAGTCGTAAACGGTATCAAGCCCGTGGAAAACGGCCATTCACCAGCACCAACTGGAGCCAAAACGGGTCCTAAGGCTCCATCCGAGACTCCAAAGGCAGGATTGGGTCCGGACATTTCAAAAGACGTACAGGAGCAGCCATTCACTGTTCCTGGTCTGTCCCCAGGTCCCCAAACGGCTCCTCTGAAACAGCCGCCCACTGAGAAACCTAGCGATGTTCGACCTCAGGCCGGTCAGCCTGGCCAGATCCCTTCAATCAACGCGCCGTCTCCGACGATTACAGACGTTCATAGGCCTGAAGAAGCAACTCCGACACAGCCTAGCCCCTCTACGACACCATCACTTCCACATCAACAACCGCCGACCTCTGGAACCGTTCCTGAATATGCTCAGAACCCTACGACTGGAGGATCTCCGGCCTTGGTATCGCAATTACCTCGAACACCAGCCGGCGTGGCTCCATCCCCTCCGAGCAGGTCTACCGCTCAAACATCGCCTGGGCCGAGTCCGGACCCGGCCAAAATCACGGCATATATGGGCTCCGGAACTCCTCCGATTCCGCAGCCTAGTGCCCGGCCTCCCGTCTCTCCCGAGTATGCCGTTAGTCCTGCTCAAAAAGCTGCACCTATCCACCCAAATGCATGGCCCCAGCAACCTCCACCGAACCCCCAGAAGTCCCCTCAGACGGTCCCTTACGTGTCGAACTATCAGCACAATCTTCAAGGAGGTTACATGCTCCCCCCATTCCAGGTCAACCTAGGAGCAGGCACACAGCCACAATCTCAGCAGGTACCAGGTGCACCAGTTGGACCACCTGGCGCAACATCTCCGCCGAACCAGGCACCCGTCCCTCAGGTTACGAAACCACCGACTCCAGTGGCCACGCCAATCGTCCCACCTCAGTTATCGAATACGATCATCGGATGGCTTCGGGACACTCCACCATCGAGGATCATGAAGGCGGCCAAGACTGCACAGACGGTAAATGGTTTGCCAGCAGGAAGCACTGACGCCCACATGCCCAAACGACCCCGACATATGAGTCCTATCAGCGAGAGAGCGCCCTCTCCACCCCCACGGTCTCGACGAGGCAAACCAACGCGTACACAACCAACCCCGAAGCAAACGGAAGACCAAAAGGCTGTGTTCACCGAGCCCGAACCTCGTCAAACACGAAGGACCATGGGAAGACCACGCAGGCGCGGAAGCGCAGCATCTTCTGCCGTCGGTAGCTCCCTCCGAGGCCGCACCCGCAGCCAATCGATCGTCTCCCAAGCCGACGACATATCCATCGACGCCGAATCCAGCTTCGGCCGCCCCATCAAACCTGAGCCCAGCACCCCCGCCGAAGTCAGCGAAGATATCCGCTCCACCATTGAGCACACTCCCACCACCGGCATCAGCACTCGCCGCCGACGCGGCACCCTCGCCACCACCCAGCGCCCCGCCCCACCCAAACGCAAACGCAGCGTCCGCTCCACCTCCGAAGCCACCGACGCCCGGCGCAGCTCCACGCCCACCGCCGCGCCCGGCACCGGCGTCCGCCCGCAGTTCGTCCTCGCCACCCGCAACTTCTCCCGCGTCAGCAACCCCGTCATGCAGACCATCACCTCGCACAAGCACGCGTCGCTGTTCGCCCACCCCGTCAAGGCCAAAGACGCCGAAGGCTACTACGACATGATCCACCGCCCCACCGACCTCAAGAGCATCCGCGCCGCCATCACGGCGGGCGCACGCACCGTCGCGGCCGCGGCGTCGTCGCAAGCGGATTCCGGGATCGGCGCGGCAGCGAGCCCCGGCACGCCGGCCGCGGCCGGGAGCGGGAGCGCCAGCGTCGTGTTGCCGTTGAGTGCGGAGGTGGTGCCACCAAAGGCGATCGTCAACTCGGCGCAGCTGGAGCGGGAGCTGGTGCGGATGTTGGTGAACGCGGTGATGTTCAATCCCGGGGAGGAGGGGGTGGTTCAGGATGCGCGGGAGATGTTTGAGAGCGTGGAGACGGAGGTGAGTAATTGGCGGGCGGCGGAGCGAGGGGGGGAGGGGAGTGGTGGGTGATGAGTCGCGGTGGATTAGGAGAGATGATGGTTTTCGGTTAGGTTGTGCGCGATAGAAGGACACGGACAGGTTCTTTTGTCGTCGTGGATGTTATAGATCACTTGCAAAATGCAATCTGGGATTTCGGTCATTGACCGGAAGATTTTTATTTTCGGATCCAGCTCGTGTCTATTCTATTCCTCTCGTCGGCCAGCTTCCCATCCCTCACCTTGCTCATTAACGATAACCTACCTCGCCAATGATAAGTATCTTCCACCAACCGGACTACTACTGTCCTTGTATCCATCCTAACGTACACACAAACCAGCCAGATCCACGGATGTAACTGAACGCTCAAGAGATGGAACGAACGCGGCCTTGGAGAATGTAGAATAATATAGTTTTGCTGTTAAATGCTGGGCAATACGAAACGGAAGCCAGGAGAGCCAATTGCTTGATCAAAGAGAGTGACTGCAATTTAGAAAGAAATCAAACGCTGAAAGGAAATCATGGTTACTTAGCAATGTTGATACTTGTATCCGTCGCACTGCTGTCGGTACGGCCGTTCCGTGCTGCTCTCCAGCGGAACCGCTCGTAGGGATTGATAATGATTCTCGTGCCGCAGCCAAGTCGAATATGCTAAATCCGCATTAACCAGCTAATACCGGTAACCTGGTAAATTCTGATATTGTGGTAGGGGGGAGTTTTCCTTGAGAAACGCGACCTTCCGTGGGAGCTCATTCTCAAGATATTCGTGCCATTCTCGGATTTCTCTGTCATTATAATCCCCCTCTTCCTGCTCGACTGGAACCTCCTGTTCTTGCTCGGTTCGTCGTTTTCCTCCTTCTGATCTGTTACTTTCCCGCCTCCCCTTCCCCTTTGACGAAGGTTCCCTATTGAGTAACGCGACCTTCTGTGGGAGCTCATTCTCAAGATATCCGTGCCATTCTCGGATTTCCCTGTCATGATAATTCTCCTCGCCAAATTCGTCGAAGTCAACCGATTCGTACTCGTACTCAACCTCCTTCTCTTCTTGCTCGACGCTAACCTCCGCTTCTTGTTGGACACCAACCTCTACTTCTTGCTCGACACGGACCTCTATTTCTTTCTCGAAACCAGACGCCAGGTTCTGCTCGAAGCCAGCCTCCGCTTCCAGCTCGAATCCAAGCTCCGCTTCCAGCTCGAATCCAAGCTCCGCTTCCAGCTCGAATCCAAGCTCCGCTTCTTGCTCGAAGCCAACCCCAACTTCTTGCTCGGTTCGTCTTCTTCCTGCCCCTGATCTGGTACTTTCCCGTCTCCCCTTCCCCTTTGACCAAGGCTCCCTATCCTCGCACTCGTCCTCCTCTTCGACTACTTCTTCATCTCCCACCCCCCCCTCCTCTTCATGCTCTCCTGTCCTTCTTCTCTTCATTCTACAACTCCCCTCCGCCTGTTGTGGGACGACTTCTTCACCTCCGGCTTCCGACTCCGTCTCCCGTCGTCCCAGCGCCAGCCCCACCTCATCTTCAATTCCTTCTTCCACCCCCACTCCCCCCTCCTCTTTATCTTCTCCTGTTCTTCTTCTCTTCCTCATACCACTCGCCGCCGCCGTCGCCCCCATTTCCTTCTCCATGACCCAGTTCCACAACACCAAATTATCCTTCGCCAGCCGAATATTCTGACCCGTCAACCTCTCCCTATCCTCCTCCATAGCCACAAGCCAAAGAGTCGCCATGTCCATCACTTGCAGCGCGCTCGATCTCCGTGTCACTGGCTCTATGTCGTGCTCCGTCACCCACTCCCCATACTGTCTCCTCACCGCCAAGCCCATCGGCATCCCCAGCGATTCGAACTTCGGAGCCCTCAGCAAAGTCGGCTCCCTCCGCCACCGGCTCTCCAAGGCTATGACCGTCGTCCCCAGCTTCTCTACCCGTTCCATCCTCCGCTGCTCGCGCAGTCTCGTGAACTCGTCGCGCCGAGAGGGTCTGGACGGGCCCTGTCGGGCATTCGGCACAAACGAACCTGACATGGCGGCTTGGCCGGGGTGTGGATTGACGGGCGGCTCGGTATCCGCCATAGGCGGGCCTGACATGTCGTCTTGGCCGGGGTGTGGATTGACGGGCGGCTCGGTATCCGTCATAGGCGGACCTGACATGGTGACTCGGCCGGGGCGGGTATTGCCGGGCCGCGCGGTCGGTGGGAGGGAGCAAAACTGAGGGACGGGACTCCAACCCGTGGGTTGGGGTTTGGGTGTGTATTTTTGCCGGCGGGGCTTGAAGGGGCGGGGGACGAAACCGGCAATTTCGTCGGGGTCGGCCGAGGTAGGGGAGATGACTGCTGAAGAGCTGGCTGAGCGATGCTCGAAAGGGCTTTCGGGGGCGGGTGGAGGGTAGTTGATATTGGGTGGAGGATTGAAGGGGACGTTGATACTGGGTAGAGAGTAGTCGGTATTGGGTGGAGGATTGAAGGGGTTGTAGTTGGGGGTAGATGGAAGTCCCATGCACGCTGGGAAGGGAGGCGGTAGGACCGGTCGAAAGTGGTCTGGTAGTGGTTCCGGGAGGTGTCTACTCTGTTGTCGGGCGGGAGGTGCTTGTTGGGTAAACTGATGCGGGTTGGTTGGCTGGCTCAACGGGTCTGGATGGAAGGGAGATGGCTGCGTCCACCGGCCTAGATCGGCGGAGGGTTTACGGTGCCCAACGTGTTCTGGTGGACGGACATCATTAGAGGCCAGATTCGAGGCAGTTGGATCAGGTCTTTCTCCTTCTGAGGTCGGTCTATGTTGCGGACCTTGTTGGGAAATCTGATGCGGGTTGGTTGGCTGGCTCAACCGTTCTGGGTGGAAGGGAGATAGCTGCGTCCAGCGGGCTGGATCGGCGGAAAGTTCACGGACATCGACGGAACGTTCACCGAGCTCGACATGTTCTGGTGGACGGACATCCTTGGAGGGATTGGAGGCAGTTAAATCAGCTCTTTCTCCTTCCGAGGCTAGTCTATCGCGGTGTTGCGGTTCTTGGTCTTGAGCTGGCCGCTCGCTGGACAGTGTATTGTGTTGTCGGGCGTCTTGCTCTTGGCCTGATCGATCGCTGGTCGGCCTATCGCCATGTTGCGGGTCTTGTTCCTGAGCTGATTGCTCTCCATCGCAGTATTGCGAATCTAGTTCTAGAGCTGATCGCTCTCTATCGCGTTGTTGCAGATCTGGTTGTTCTTGAGCTAATCGCTCGCTGGGCGGTCTATCGCGTCGCGGATCTTGTTCTTGAGCTGATCGCTCGCTGGGTGGTCTATCGCGTTCCGGACCTGGTTCCTGAGCGGATTGATCGCTAGGCGGTATATCGCGGGTTTGCGGAGCTTGTTCTGGAGCCGATCGCCCACTGGTCGGTCGATTGTCGGTCATAATGATAGTCGATGTCCAATTGATACCGGTGCTGACAAGTAAAATCTAGCAACGAAGTTGAAGACTGTCCTGCCCTGGAATGTTGGACACTCAGATCCCACGAATCGGCCTCCAGTGTCGATTCCTTCCCAAGTGGTTCATCGTGATTCGGGGGAATTTCCAACCTCTTGTAGAAATCCTCTGTCTCGGGCTCACCTGCTGTCAGTACAGACATCAAGCTGCTCCTACCCCGGATTTTCCTGCAGGCCAACCGACCAAAAGGTTCTTATAGTGTTGGAGCGTACCATGGTCCAAAATTACCTATACCTCGTCCTCGATCCTACTGAAGCTTTACTAAGGTGCGTTTAAGCAATGGTAAGGTACCTACAGGCCTCGTGAAGCTGCTCATCCGAGCTCTGGAACAAGTATTCTAGCGGGCCCTGCAAACTTCGAGAGGCAGCCTTCTGGCGGGTCTGGGGCATGAGCCTGGTTCGCACGAATACATGGGCTCTATTAATAGTCACCAGTCATATGCGCCAGTCATATGCGGGGTTGAGGGCTCCCAGTGTAAAATTGACAAATAATAGTTAAATGGTGGAAGCAGTGATGTTGAGAATCGAGTATCCATATAGTATCCATATCTGTACCGTATAGATCTTCCCACTGTCTAGTGATGAAATGCGACCCCACTTGAAGCTTCAGCAAATCTGTATTCCATATTCCGTACTCCGTAAATGATATTAATAAATAATAATAGACAGTGAGCAACATTAGTTCTTGTCATCAACTCCATCAAACCCCCCATTCGCTGCTTTCTTTCGCATGAATTGGAATTTGGCAGAAACCCTGAGCGCAATTGTTAATGCACTGCGCCATCTCCTATCTGAGGGGTTAAAAGACTGAGAACTACGGGCCTGAGTGCGGAGTCCTCTCCTATGGGCCACTACCGGATTTTATGCTTTGCAATCGTTAATATCATTGCGGAAATACCGCGCGGTACTCTCGTTTCCCTTTTCTCCTCCACAGGCTTTGGTGCCAGCTTGCGTTCCACGTCCCAGCGGAATCCAACCGAAGAAACCCTATTTACGTAGGGACGCGTACCGCACGCTGACACAAGCCTATGGAGGAAATAAGATAACCGAGAGTACTGTATTGATAATATATGAAGAAGAGGTGAGTTGGTGGTTTTAGAGGTCTGTCGCCATATTGAAGCTGGATCGCGATTAGCATTTGGAATTCTTTTGTTTGACAGCGTCCTCAAGCTCTCACTGCTCAGGGACCAGATATTCATGGACCCTGCTTTGCCGAGGATGCTTGTACGAACTAATTGGCTTCAATGGACCGGAGCCACCTTTCGGTAGACATGTCTACTCTGTAAAAAACGAATATATATAGTTATATATGTGGGTAGAGTATATGGACTTTCTGCTGGCAACTTGAACGTGTACTATTTATTTTTTCATGCTTCTCTTCAACTGTCCCATAGCGCCGAGTTTGTCATTCATTCCTCTGCAGCATAGAAGCTAGAATACTGCGTTAAGTCTTCATATTTCGACAGGATACAGCCCTCGTCATGGAGAACTCCAACCTTTTCAAACCACTTACCGTCGGGAAATGTGACCTCGCCCATCGCATTGCCATGGCACCGCTCACCCGATTTCGAGCGCAAGACAACCACGTCCCTACCATCCCACTCTCGGCAACCTACTACGCGCAGCGCGCCTGCGTCCCCGGAACACTTCTGATCTCCGAAGCCACCTTCATTTCCGACAAGGCGTCCGGGATGCCAAATGTGCCCGGCTTATGGTCCCTCGAGCAGCTCACTGCATGGAGGGAGATCACTGATGCGGTGCATGCCGAGGGAAGCAAGATCTACTGCCAGCTGTGGGCACTGGGTCGAGCGGCGGCCCAGCCGGTCATGGAGGCGAAGGGGCTGGAGATCGTCAGCTCCAGCGCTGTGCCGATGACGGAGAAGGCACCTGTTCCGAGGGCACTGAGTGAGGAGGAGATCTGGGAGTTTGTGGGGGTGTACGCGCAGGCGGCGAAGAACGCAGTCGAAGTGGCAGGGTTTGACGGAGTTGAGATCCATGGTGCGAATGGGTATCTTATCGGTAAGCGGTGTTATTCCGAGCGAACCAGTTCAATACAAGTAAGCTAACAAAACCCTCAAGACCAATTTACGCAAGACACATGCAACAAACGGACCGACCAATGGGGCGGCAGCATCGAGAAACGATCGCGATTCGCTATTGAAATAGCCAAGGCCATTGTCAAGGCCGTGGGGTCCGATCGAGCTGGCATTCGGTTGTCGCCTTGGGGTACTTTCCAAGGCATGCTGATGGACGATCCGATCCCACAGTTTACCTACCTTATTGGCGAGCTCAAGAAGATCGGGCTTGCCTATATCCATCTGACGGAGAGCAGAGTCACCGGCCCTGTCGATATCACGCCATCCGGTAGCCTGCATCCGTTTGTGGATGCCTGGGGCGAGCAACCGGTTATTATCGCAGGAGGATATACCGCGGAGAAGGCGAGAGAGGCGGTTGATGTGGAGTATAAAGGCAAGCCGGTCGTTATTGCTTTTGGGCGGCATTTCATCTCCAATCCCGACCTTGTGTTTCGGACAATGAAGGGAATCCCGTTCACGAAGTACAATCGGAAGACATTCTATATCCCGAAGAACCCAGTTGGATACACCGACTATCCACATGCGAAGGAGTTTGGGAGGCCTGCCGCTAGTAAAATATAATCTATAGATACTTTCGGAATAAACCCACTTTTGAATCTCCTAATACGTCGCATAGTCCTGGCTGATTGTGAAAGGTTTGATTGAAATGCAAACAAAAAAAGATGAAAAAGAAAGTTGGTTAGACAGAGAATTGAACTCTGGATCTTCTGCGCACCGGTGATGTGAAGCAGATGTCATACCACTAGACCACCAAACCATGTTATTGAGAAATACTGCCAAACATAGTATATGACTCGCTTTGTAATCAATAGATACTATAAGAAGCGCAACATCGCCGTACTAGTTTTTTACCATCGCTTATTGGTTTGATTCCCTCACCCTCTAACCCCAATCATTATTATCGGTAATTAAAGTTTGTGAGATAAATAGCGGTTTCGCTCAATCCGGTGATTAATGCAGCGATACGGTGGAAAACCCCGTTAGATTCCAAAAGAGCAATAGATAGATTTAACTTGATCCTTTCTTCGCCTGAATCCTACGAAAACAGGCTGTTCCTGCAGCTATTTATGTGGTTTTTTATGATGATCCTTTCCCCGATAAAGGAAACAGAAGGCATAGAATCGAATATGAGATGAGACAGTGGTGATACGCCAACGATACGCCAATGATACGTCAATAAAACACAGATATTCTGTGACAAAGTTCAGCTAGTTATACCTCCAGAACCCATCCTTGATATGAGGGGAATCAATAAGAATCCATAGGAAGTAGCATACCCTACCTGTAATATCTCGGTCGGCGGACTCAGCGGCGGTTGAGACAGGACAGATAACTTTGTTGATACTTCCGAGTTCTTCGACAAGCTGCCATCCATAGCAACAGGCTTGCTTCGAGACAACATTGAATTTTTCGTTAAGACGGCTATTATCTCTATGCTACTTTCTAGACTACCATTACCGTGGGGAAGGAGTGCATCTTAAACCGAAATATGGCTCATCTCCGAACTTTCGAACCCCCTCGCCCGCATGTCCTCAATTGTCCTCTCTCATCTTTCAATGGAGCAAGTATTAGTCACTTTCACCCTCATCTCCACCTTCGCCATCGTCCTTGTCCTCAGGATCCGTCTCATCTTCTGAGTCCTCCATCAATGCACGGGCGATGGCTCTGCCCTCCAAATGATCCTCTTCGTCGTAGATCTTGAGGCCATACGAGAGAAGGAAATGGAATTCGCTTCTGAAATGCCTCCTGATCCACGCTCGCTCAGCTTTGGTATAGGGGGTATTTCCGGCATATGCCTCGGCCTGTTGATGGTGCTTCCATCTCCTATATTCTTCATTCGACCAGGTGGCGTTGACCAGATAGTGGACTCGTCGCCTCTCTAGTTCGGATATGAGAAAGATCGAGCGTCCAACGACGGGTCCGACTGGAGGGCCGCTCAATTTGAGAACGTCGAAGGTGCACTTAGGATCGAAGTAGGCGATGTACCGTCCGTTTTTGTCGAATAGACCCTTTCTGCATGCCCAGGTATGGTTGAAACCAACCGCGTGCATGGCGATAACGTTGGAGAGGAATGAAGGAACATGGAGGACATCGTTCAGTACGATAGTGTTGTGTGACTCGCTGCCTTTGAGTCTTGGGGCTCTGTTGACTGACAAAGTAACGGTCCCAATTCCGACCACCTTGGATGTTCCGTCATGGTATATGCAACCGACTTTTGAATCGAACGGAGTGTAAGTTGTGAACCACCCTTTGTCTTTGGCGACGCTGTTCAACCGTAAGTAAATACCGGAAACCAGATTCAAACTACCACGGATCGAAATATACTGGACATTGGATTGATTCGAATAGACCCAGTCCGGGGACAGCGGCGGCTTTTGTGCCTCTGAAGCCATCAGTGAAATTTGAAAGCTGTATTGCGAATACCGGTAGCTGCAAAACTTTGACTCAAGATCTGGCAATAGTTTGCTGGAAGAAACAGAGTGTGGAATGTCTTGAGAATCTTCTTTCAATTTGAACGATTTATGAATCGACTGGATCGTCGTCAGACGGCAGGTAATACGGCAGGCAGCCGTGCTGTAATTTGAGACTTCCCTAATAAGAGCTATTAATAGGCCAACGATGCAGCAGGGCGCAGACCCTGTTCTTTGCACTCGTTATGTAGCCTTTCCTTCCTTCAACAACGGTCGAAAATAGCAAGACCGTCTATGACCAGTTAACCAACCGTTCAAAGACCGTTAGGAGACTGTTCAAGAAGAACCAGACCGATGAACCAAGTACTTGGCTACTTAACCGTTAAAAAAACCCTATCTTGCGCTCTGCTGTGGGAACTCGATTCGGAACTCTGCCTCAAATCGCATCGGAAACATATCACCAAGTCAGAAACCATTAGGCGCGGAATTCTTTCCTCCTTTAGTGCCCTTCCAGGTTCATCAAACCTCGACTGTCTTCTTCGTACCGTAATGAGCAGAATTCCATTATTGTTTGCGCCTGCCATCCCACTGATGTCTATACGGATACGCCCCTTCAGCAACTTGGATTCCAAGTTCCGGGGCCAGTCTCTTGCTGCAGCAAAACATCAGCTTTCAGTCGATTAAATAACCATGGACCATGACACTAACCTCGCTGCCTCCTCCGCCTCGAGCCTCCGGAATGCCTCATCCCTCCTCCCCTCCGCCTGCACCCGCCGATCTTTCGCCCACTCGTAAATCTCCCGCTTCTTCTCCAGCGACTGCCGAGCCTTCTTGACTGGATCGTTCGCAATTAGTACGGAGTTCCGGCCGCTTCTAGCTAGTTGACATGGCGGCGTACCTGTTGCGTTCGACCGAGGCGGGCTCGCACCCAGAACGGACTGCAGGTAATCCCGCGCCGCCGTCCAGCCGCGATGGGAGACGGTTTCCTCGGCGCGGCAGCTGTGGACGGTGGCTTTGGCTTCTTGCCAGGCTTTGGCGGCGCGGGAGCAGCAGTCTTGGGCCATGGTGAGGGGGAAGAAGGGATAGGCAACGAGGATGAGATAGGGAGAGGGGATCGAATCGAATGGGGAGAACGGGGAAGGCGGGAAGACAATGGTGGTTTTATAGGGGGAACCCGAGAGGCGGGATATAAGTTTCAGGGCGGCACTGCCTAGCATGGTGAAGCCGCGTGATATGGTCACTCGCCACAAGAATGATATCGGTATGTAGAGAGGGGCGTCTCAACGCTGGTGCTGGCTTGCATGGCGCAGTAGCAAAGAAATGGGGGCCGAAAGTTTGGGCATCTGGTAAGGCTGGGGCTGTACACATGAAGTATCGAAAACACCGTGAACTGGCAAATGAGGAAGCCTAAAGATCAGAGCCAAAGGGGACATGTTGCAGATAAATATCGTAGAGCTAATAGGATAGTGCTGTTATTGCGGGTGACGGTATGCTTTCAGGCACCCCTGATTGGACTGATAGTAAAGCGACGAAGATGCTCTCATGCGAAAAGAAACACAACGGTGGACTTCAGACTAGGAGGATGAAGGGCTGGTCTGGACTTCTCCCTAAACTCTCGTTGATCATGTCGTACCTCATTATGATGCCAGTGCTCAAGCGCCGTGGCAATTCTCCCGAGCTGCATAGGCCGTGAAGACTTAGAAATCGAGCCTCAGGCTTTATGTTTATGATGCTGCTCCCATTGCACATGCATGATCCAGCCGTCACAAATCACCAGCTCGCCATCCTTTCCATTTCAAGGCCCCAGCGACCGCCTTCACACGGGTAGCGCTAGCCTCTGAAGCGCCGCCACATCTGCCGTCGCTTCCTGCTCTTCGGTAAACCCAGGGGGCCGCCAATCGAATAAATAGAGTGCCTCGATGCTCCAGGGGCCGAGGATTTCCTCTTCTTCGACTTCGGCGAGTAGGGGTACAGTTGGATCGACTGCGCATGTTGCGGTGTTGCGTGTCCGCACTCCAGATATGTCGCTCCGAGAGCGATGGAGTAGCGATTTGGTCTTCGGTGATGCAGTGGGTTCCTGGCTGAGAGAGAGGGCAGCATTTCGGTTATGTGGAGGTTGGGCGGGTGGTTGCTGCGCTATTGGAGGATGACCTTGGAGTGCGCTTCCGTCATCATCGGAGAGGCCGAAGTCGAATAACTCTTGAGAGAGGCGCGCTTCGTCGCCTGCTTGGGGCGGTTGTAGGGGATCGCTGGAACGTCCTTGGGCAGTTGATGCTTTGTCGTTATCCGAACCGAAAACGAGCATTTTCCTCTGCTTTCCGGACACAAGACGGATCGGTTTTGTATTCCTCCTTGGGAGCCTTGCAACAGGTCGTCTAGCTAGAATATTGTCTGGTGAGGGTACATCTGCCGTTCTTCCATATAGGGTCCTCGGCCGGGTAGACTCAGGCGGGCGCCTTGGGGGTATGCGATATTCCGGCCCGTGAATTGGTTCGTCTGACTCGATGGTCGAGATATCGACGAATTCTTCGACAGGCTCAACTTCGAGGATCCGCATCTGCACTAGACCCGGACTACTACATCTGATTGGACCTGACCTAGGAGAGGTTGAGATTCTTGTAGGTGTAGTGGGAGGCGGTTGAGAGCGCTCTGAATCTGATGAAATGATATCGATGACCTCCTTGACGGCCAACGTCTTCTGGCTTCGAGTCAGGCCCAGGGGCCGCCGATGAGGGATGGTCTTTGTCTTCTTGGATCGCAAAGCGGTAGATCCAGTTGCTCCAGTAGGCTGGCGGTTCGTATCCTGTAGCGGCGTATTCTTGGCTGGCTTCGAGACTCGAGTGACAGACCATCCGGGCTCCTGGCCAGGGTCTTCTATCCTTTGCCTCTTCCTTGCACTCTCTCCGGTTGGTTGACGCTCACCATCCCCATGCCGTTCCGTATACGGAGAATGTATAGGCAACATCGCTCGGCCATGTCTGCCCGTCGGCGTTCCCAGCAAGCTCGCCAACGGCTTATGTCGCATCTGTGCGGGGATCGTTCCTTGGATCGCGATCGGCTGTCTAACGGTCGCCGGAGCCGGCGTCGGTCGAGGCCGATTGCTCGATGCCACGTTCGCCTTCCTCTGGAAAATCGGGGCCAGATTCGTGGTGGTCGTCCCCAGCTTCTCGGTCACTTCGACCAGGACGCCTATGTCCAGCTCTAATTCGACGCCCTCCTGGACCTCGGCCACATCTTTCCAGTGTAGGTCGCCCACAAAATTGCGCGCGGTGTCGTACACCATGACGCGTTTGTTGAAGGTGTGGAATTTGAGGAACCCATCTTGCCACCGCTTCTTCTTGCGCTGGATGTCGTGGGTGTAGAGACATCGGAACTCGTTCACTGGGGCCGTGTTTTGCGAGGGCGGAACAGTGAAGGTCGATGGTGGTTGGGAGATGGTGGAAATCATGGCATCTCCAGGTCAGTAGGGACGTCGTTTAACCGGATCAGCGAATCATCCAAGCCATCTACAGCTGTGCAATGGGATAAAACAACCATCTATAGATGTGAAATCCAGATGGCAGATTTGGCGGAGGATTGGAGACGCGACAGAGTGGGGAGAATGGAATCGCGTGCATGACACGCTCCACGTGACCTGAAATTGCATCTCAGCTTTGCCATCTCTAGTTTCGAGCTATTTCATATCCAGTGATATCATTGAGATTTTAGACTCTTCTATATTTCTATCGACCGGAATCAATTCGGTATAATTAGTCCTGTTTGATGCATCCGTTTTCAGAATGATCGGGAATTTGGAATCAATGGATATGCGCATCGGCACTGGCCGTCTGGCGACTCGGGGGTGTTCGAAACAGGGACGAGCATCCGTAAATTGTGATTATTCAGACACAGCCACAACGGACTTGTTCAGAGCTAAAATATCTCATGGCAATTAATATCCCCCAAGATTTACTGTGGACAGCCAACAGACGTGGGGTGCCGTGACGAGGAAGCGGCGCCATCGGCAGCGGGAATCGATATTTGGCATGCATCGCTGAATAATCACGCCACATAGTACGTCAGCCGGTCAGTGAATTGGTCTCCTCTGTTTGCATCATCCCTCTCCCGGTCTCCTTGGTCTGGATCAAGGCATGACAGATATGATAGATATGACAGATACAGATGCCGATGCTAGTCCTCCACCACTCGATATCCACAGCCTAGGATAGCCAGCCTGGGATAGTCATCATTCCCAAATCCCAGCTCTTGATAATATAAATCATAGGAGCGGCGCATTTGGATGTAGAATGGACTTGAGGTCAATCAGAAAGACCATCGACCTGACCTCCTGCTATTCCCCCAGCCAGACGTGTCGTGTGTTGTGCTGTCAGTCGTCACTTCCCCTTTCATCATCCAACTTCCGGTTTGGTTGGCGTGGTTCACCTGCTCGAGCAAACATCACATTTCGCCTTCTCACCACCTCTCCACTCCACTTCATACCGTCTGATATCCCATCGCGGCGAACTACTTTTCATTCCCAACTTTCGCTCCGTCAATTGACTTCATCCTCCAAGTCACAGTTCGTAAGCATGAGCTCCAAACCAAACCCCTCGGACCCATCCGAGACGATGGTCATCCGCAAACTCAATGACAACATCGTCACCTGCTCGGTTCCGTTTTTGCGGTTTGGCCACATCAAGTTCGGGGGTCGGGGCACTATCGGTAAGCTTAAACACACGCTCGTTGATTATATGTTACTGACAGGCAACTGTAGTCAAGATGCAATCGGGAGCTCTCGCCGTCTTCTCACCGACTGCTTTGACCCCGGAGGTCAAGGAGATGGTCGACTCCATGGGCGAAGTCAAGTACATCACCGCCCTGGATATCGAGCACCACATCTTCCTCGGCCCATGGAACCGGGCCTATCCCCAGGCGAAGGTCCTCTGTCCTGAAGGTCTTCCTGGGAAGCGCGCGAAGCAGAAGAACGACGACGTCCCTTTCTCTGTTGTCTTTCGAGCGGTAGACAAGGAATCGATCACCGTCGATCCCGAATTCGACGCTGAGTTCGAATTCGAATTCGTGCACTCACACGCCAACAAAGAGATCGTGTTCAACTGGAAGCCCGGCAAGACCCTCATCGAGGCGGACCTCCTGTTCAACCTTCCTGCCACCGAACAGTTCAGCAAGACCGGACAATCGCCCACCAGCGGCATCCTCACCAAGTTGTTCACTACTCTAGGCCACACGTCCGGCGCGGCCAAGGGGCAGCAGCGGATCGTCTGGCACGCCATGAGCGCGGGCGATCGGCCGGGATTCGCGAAGAGCATGGCGAAGATCAACGCGTGGGATTTCGACCGCATCATCCCTTGCCATGGCGACGTGATCGAGACGGACGGGAAGGGGATCTTTCAGAAGATCATGGCGTGGCACCTCCAGGGGAAGAAGGTCTGAGTGGTGGTTTGGGGGGCTAATGAAGCCGGATGCGGGTGGTAATGGTTCTCCAATGTGGATTGAGCGGCATTATGGCGCCTGATTGTTATGCTTAATACCCCTACTGAGCTATGCACTTGCTTTGTACGAATTGCTTCTTAAGGAGTATTATTAGTGTCGTATTAGAGGGTCAAATTAATGGTGCAATGTTCAAAACCCCTAAACTAAGTTCTTTGTGCAATCGTTGTTTGCAGCTTTGACCAATTGACCATGACCCCCAGGATATGTGGTCGAAATATACTCCATAATACCAGCATCGTAGTTCAGGACGATCCCCAGCTTGTGTGCGACCCCTCTTACCACCTTGCTTCTTCAATATATATCGTAGTGCTCCGTTCCACAGATCCAATTGATTTGTAGGATGAGAGTAGTATAATATCATGGACTTCGTGAGTATTGTGATCCTGTCCCTAATCTCAAGACGACAACATGACGCCTAACAGGGTCCTTGCAGTGGTCCCGCTTGATCGGAGGATCCAAAACCTCGCGACAGACGACGACCTCGAACAACCCACAACAAAGACTCGCAAAGTTCAAGCGGGTATACGACCAGATACTTGTACACCCTCCCTCCACCTAACGCTGTCCCTCCCCAAGCTAACCACATATCCCGCACAGCAAACATGGCAGACCGCATCCTCCCCGCCCTCACCCACCACCTCCACCCACCTCCGCTCCCTCCTCGCCCGCCTCACCGCTCTCCTCACCTCCGAAACACGCGCCCCATCTCCCCATCTCTGCCTCGCCTTCGCCTCCAGCTCCGCCATCTACCACCCTATCTCCGCCCTCGCCGCCGCCTCCTACGACGAGGGCATTATCCGCGAGACCATCACCCTCTTCGCCGCGCTGGTCGACAGCGAGGAGGAGGACTTTTTGGCGGATCCGCGGTTCGCCACCGCGCTGATGCGCTGCGTGGAGCGGACGACCGCGGGGGGCGGGGTGTTTGTGGGGGAGGATACAGAGGGGGAGATCGTGGAGTTGCTCTTTGGGATTGCGGCGAAGATACGGTTGCAGCCGGGGTTGTTGGGGGTGTGGTTTACGGGGAAGGCTGGGCGGGATGGGCAAGAGGGGGAGGGGGAGGGGGGTCGGAAGGAGGAGGGGGCGGCGGCGACGGATGGGTTCGGCGTTGCGGTGGACGGACCGACGGCGAGGAAAATTAGCCGGGCGGAGTTCGTGGGCGTCACGCAGAAGGAGGACTTTCCGCTATGCTATCAGTTGATCGACCATGTGCATCATGAAGGCCGGATCGGGGACTTTGCGCGGACAGGGCTATTGTACGTCTTCGAGTCCGCGTCGCAGTCGGAGGACCTGGAGAGCTGGATCGTCGAGAGTGACCTCCCCACGCTGATGGCGAGCGGTCTAGGGGCCTTGTATAGCCAATTGAGCCGGTAAGTGGCGACGTTGGGGACTTTTCACGATCGGTGGGTTAATCGCATGCAGAAAGCTCTCCATTCTTCATCCTATCGACGAGTTGCCGATCATCCTCGCGCTTTCGGACTACGAGAACCTGTCGTCCCCCTCCGATGCCGAAAGCTTGTTCTCTCCCGCGTTCCATAACCACATGGAGACATTCTTATCGTATCTCACCTTCTGGCAGGATGTGCTCGAACACTGTCACTCTCTGGAGGTTCGTCAGACACTTGTCGAGCACTTCCGCGTGCTGTTTCTCCAGCAGCTATTGTAGGTGTCCACTTGTGGGATGTGCAGCAGCCACTGACTTTGGAAACAGATATCCATCTTTACTAGAGTCATCCGATATAGATGGAGGCTCCTCGGTTGCCGTCCTCACGTATCTACGACACATCCTTGACGCACTCGATCACCCTGAGCTCGTCCATATGATCCTAACCTATCTTTTGGCGATAATGGAGGCCCCAAGCAGCCTATCCCAAAGCATGGCCTCGATCCGACCTGGTTCTTTCCGACGACGACGGTCGCTGATGCTTCTCACCCAGATCGAAAGCGAAGATGACCGGCCGAATCCTTCGTTGTTCAACCTCATCGATCTGGTGGTGAATAGCGTGCGGTCCGCAAATCCTCAGACGGTGGTAGCGGCGCTGAAACTGGTCACGGTCATCATGAGCAAGAACCACGAGTACGCGTCCGGGTCGTTACTCCGTACCATTCCCATGGCGGACCCGGAGCCGCAGAGGACCCATGGCGGCTTGAATGCTGAAATCGAGGCGTACATGGAGATCGCTGAAGATATCGGCGTGGACTCCAATGTCGACGATGCATATGATTCACATCTTAAAGATGCGATGAAGCTATTGGAGACACATTCTTGTTATTCGCACGTTCTACCTGAGAGCGTTCTTGCAGCGACAGGAAATCTTCCGTCATCATCAAACGCCACGGTCTCAAGACTTCAGCATACGAAGATCCCGCCCCACTATCTTAACCCCAGCGATGGTCTTTTGAGGAACATATTGAACCTCTTCCGAACATTCCTCTCCAACGACGTCGAGGTCAATCTCAGCGTCACCGAGACACTTATCAACCTGGCATGCTGCCGTTCCCTCCAACTCGACACCTGGCTCGCCGTCTCCCCAACCTCCTACACCTTTCCCTCATCCACCCCAAACCCAAGCGACCCAACCCTCGACCCCGCCGCACGCCTCCGCCGCGCCCGCACCCCGCCCACCTGGTCCCCCGACGCCGCCCCCCTCCTCCTCCGCACCCTCCAATCCGTCCAATCAGAACTCCACCTCCTCCGCACCCGCATCCCCACCCTTCCCTCCCTCCTCACCGCCCGCCGCCACGCCTTCCGCCTCCACGACGAAATCTCCACCTCCCCCTCCTCCATCCCCCTCGCCCCGCCCCCCCGCCTCGCTACCCCCGCCACCCCAGCGCGATCAAGCACCCCCTCACGCAAATCCCCAACCAGCCCCCTTGGCTCCTCATCACCATCGTTGGTCCCCAGTTTGCGCTCCCCGACCACCCTCCCCGATCCCCGCTCCCCTGCTCGATCGCTCCCGCAACGCATGCTCGACGCTCTAGATAGCACCCCGAGCCGCAGCGGGCAGCCGACACCCCGTAGCGGGTCGCCGAACGCGGGAAGCGGGCTGCGGAACGGGCTGCGCGCGTTCGCGGACATGATGGCGGATTTGGGGGCGGAGATCGCGAGTGGGGAGGCGATGAAGGGCGAGAGGGAGCGGGAGGGGAGTCCGGGTGGGCTGGGGCGCGGACGGGTCGGGCGGGCCGAGGCGGGCGGGGATGGGGAGGAGGCGGGGCGGTTGAGCTCGGCGAGTCGGGGGGGATTGTTGGGGGATGTGGTGAGGTTGGCTGGGGAGGGGTTGAGGGGGAAGATGGTGCGGTTTCCGCTTGACGACGCGGAGGAGGAGAGTGAGGTGGAGGAGGGCGAGGAGAGGTGGGAGAAGGAGGTCAGCTTGAGCCATGTGCTGACGAACGTAGTGATCTTGCAAGAGTTTGTCATGGAGGTGGTCGCGGTCATGCAGGTTCGCGCGAGTTTGTTCTCGGAGGTTAAGTTCGCATAGTCCAGGGCGTTGGGTCGGGAACGGTTGTGAGATACCCATGTGTTGCTTCGCATATGAACATGGTGTCCTTAGTACTAGCCTTTTCACCTACCCGTGATGGTCTACGTTGGTGCTCCCTTACTTCAAGAAGACAGGTAGATAGGTTTTACAGCTCTAGGAGCGTACTAGCCAACGAGTTGCGTGCTGCGTACGGTCCGGTGCCTGTGCATATACAGGGCAGTGTCTAATAGTTTGGAGCCCGTCTCATTCGGGTATCCAGCTAATAGTGCTAGCGACGCTAATGATTTTCGCAACAAAAAACTCAGTCATGTCTATCATCATAGAACTTCAGATCGAGCTCCGCATTAAAAGCGGCGGATATGAAAGAGCGTATAGAACGGGACTCATGATCATGCCTTTTCGCCATTACATCCCCTTGAAGATTCCACAGGTGGTGGTATGCTTAACCCACATGGATTTCTATATCCCCATAGTTGACCCAACGTCCCCCCAAAAAGCACTGAACACCCGAAATCCGCCCACGCTATGACCGAAGCTCGGAAAAGATGTATGGGAAGATGACCACGCAGGCCTTTAAGAAAATCGTTCCGCTCATGGCGAGGGCGACGGGCATGAGCAAGATGTTCCATTTAGTGGCGTAGATCCACATCGAGTAGAGCGCCACGGCGAAGAAGTGCATGAAGAGGACGAAAGGGTTGTGGATGATTCCGGCGAGCAGGCTGACGGGACCGTCAACGAACATGCCGCCGAGTTGGAAGTAGGCGAAGCAGCCGAGTTGGAGGGCTTTGAGGTCGGCGTCTGAAGGAATGTTAGAGAGGAGTGGACAGAATGGCGAGCTGAAACTTACCGTCTGCCGCAAAGAGACTGTATAACGCCTGTGCAAGGATATTGATGACTACGGTGAGATTCTTCCGTCGCCAGTGCCAGGACTTGAGAGCCTTTAATACAGCCTTGGTGTCCTCGAAATTTGGTAACTTCTCTGGCGCAAGGAGATCCCGCAGCACCACCACGTCATTGAATGCAACGGTCATCCCGCCTCCTGTTAAAGGATGCCGCATATTGTGAGCATCGCCAAGAATCAAGAGGCCGGGTGTCCGATTTGACGTGGGTGGAAGATAGCTGTTCGGCATACTTCGTAATGCTCCTTTCTCCAACGCTTCTTTGAAGGCAGGCTGGACCTGCTCCGGTATATCATTTAGCGCGTGGTTCAGCAGGTGTGATTTTACGCCGCCCGCTGCGATGGTTGCAGTCGGGCAGCCCTCGGGAATGTCCACAAGTGCCCGCGTCTCGTTCGAACCGATCTGATAGAGCAATATCGGTGCCCCATCTCCCAAGATTACATGTCCGTGGCCTGGTGACGGCAGTTTCACATTCTTGAGCTCCAGACCCCAGAACCTTGACCCGAACTGTGGCTGCCGGCTGATATATGATTTTCGGAATTTCGACGCGTATCCGTCCGCGACCACGGTCAGATGACCGAAATAGCAGTCTTTCTTGTCCTTTGACTCGCACTCCACGCCTAGCACTTGACCCGTCCACCCGTTCTTGACCAGATCCACGGCGGTGGTCTCGACGATGGTGACGTTCGGGGTGGCGGAGGCTGCGGAACGCAGTTTTTGTATGAAGCGGCCGTGGTGGAACGAGCGACCTTCGGGTCGCTGGTCGGGGAGAGCGGAAGCGTTCGCTGGGTATGGGATGAAGACCTTCTCGCCGAAATAGAAAATCGTATAACCGGTGACTCTGATCGCGTCGATGTCCTCGAGACAGTCTATCAATTCAAGTAGATTAGCTCCTCCGCCACGACCGGTTGAAAGGATTCGTCCTCATGCGGTGAACGACGCATACCTAGTAGACCTAATTGATCCAAGGACACTACTCCTCCCGGCTGGAGAAGTTCTCCGACAATCCGATCCGGCTCTTTCAGACTCTTCTCCAGCAATATCACACTCCGACCCTGTTTTCCGAGCGCAACGGCCATGGCGCATCCCGCGACGCCCGCCCCGATGATCACTACGTCCGCTTCATGGTGGAGACGACGCCGCTCCTCACGCGCATCGGGGGAGTCTTCGCTGGACGTTGACGAAGGGGCCGAGTCAAGTATCAACGGCATTTCGTCTATTCATCGGTAGCATTTAAAGGGAAGAGGAGGAGGGGAGGAGATGGATGTGCATACGGAATTATTATATTAATATCGTTTTGGGGATCCAATAGGAGAAATAATTGTTGAGCGTCGTAGCGTCGTCAGTCCCTAAGCCATTGGCCAATCGGAACCGGAGTTGATCGACTTCCGGAAAACGTCGTATGTGTTTCGTCGATCTTGCTGCTATCACGATACCATCATTCGACTCTATCAACTTATCATCAAGTATTATCAGAGCATTATTATGTACTATGGCTGATGAAGAGTCTGCTATTACATCTACTTCTGAGTACAAAAACTACTTCAGTGTCGGATATCTATGGACCGCGACAGCCACACAAAGCAAAAGCCCTCCGCATATCGTGAACATATGGTCTCGATGTCGATCTCCTTTTCAACGTTAACTCATCAAAAGCATTCTGGATGGGCAATGGTGGACATATCTTCTTCGGTGATGCTCAATCCTTCGACAGCGAAGAGATTCAAGGACAATCTCATCGATGCATATGCTTTCGCTCGAACTCCTTCCTCGACAATCCTCCCTTTCACCAGCCCCAAGCTCGGGTAGTAAATTCCGACGCAGGACTCATACATGCAGAAAGCGGCAAAGGTGATCATTCTCCGATTTGAACAGCACCGGCAAGGTTAATGCTACCCCTCCCATGGCTATTACGGTCACGAGGAGCTGCGAAGCCAACTGCAGATCGCAACACGGCTCTGATGGACGAGTCATTTCCGTGTCCTTACCTTCGAAGTCGATATTGTTCATGCCATCATGTGCCCCATTCTGTGTCTGATCTTCCTTGATATCCCCTTCTGGCATCACATGGGTAAAGACCATGGAGCCAAGCATCATGGCAGTCATCAAACACGTAAAGATGAGACCAAAGGGTGGCAATCCAGGTCGGCCAGACGCTTGTCATGCAGCCGTCATGGCAGGGGTTTTGAAGAAAATGAAGAGATAAATAAGTCCTTCAAAGATCGACGATGTCAGTGCGATAATTAACACTCACTTGTCTGTTGCGCATCTCATTCAGCAAGTTATTTCCTCGCTTTTTGGCTGGTTGGTGTACCGCTGTGCGCACCTTTGAGGATAGTTCTCTATCCATCGCTGATGGACTCGACAGATGTTGGCTCCTTGGAGGTGTCTCCATAATTCTCGTTCTGAGGCACCGTCAGGTATTCCTCATTTACATGAATAAACGCACTTACCCATCGGAACAGTATCAAGATGAAGGCCAGGGCGAGACAGACAATGCTCGCCATAATGGAGAAGCGTCAGTCCCCGTCGAATCCATTAACCATTGGATCACGAATCCAATACAGATAGCCACCATACTGCTCAACGTGGCCAGGCTCCCAAAAACCGTACTCAACCGCAGTTCTTCGTTCTCGAGCCCCCGACTGTGATACTCATGGACCATCCAGATTTAAAAAAAATGCTATACAGCAGCTTCGCGCCGATGCCAGCAAGCGCTCGACCCAGGAATAGTATGATAATATCATTGAACAGGACCGTGAGGCATGAGATTGAGTACGCGATGCAGAACCCAAGGCACGCCGCCTTTCTGCCATATCGATCCGCGAGCGAGCCGATGAAGAAAGACGAGAAGACACCGGAAAAGAATCCGGTCATGAAGAGAGATGCGACCACTTCTTCCACTAGACCTTTCTCATCTTTGTAAAGCGCGTAAATGTACGGTCCCTAGGTGGAGGCTATCAGTACTGCGTGACGTTGCGATTGCAACGTGATGACCTGTAACCAATCCGAGCCCACCACAAGCAGGTATACCGGGAAGAAGTCCAGTTTGAATCAATTTAATGCTTTATTGTCTCGGTTTCCTTGTGTCGTACCATCTTCGATGAGCGACCAACTCCCAGCCAAGCCAGCCCAACCGATCAGTTGTCCTCTGATCTTCCATACCGGCACAGCAGCAGCGCTGAAGAGCAGACCAATGGAAGTTGCATGATAGGAGTCCATCTTATTTGAACAAATATTTGAAGATAATTTCTCCATTTTAAATTATTACTCTCAGAAGTATGGAATTGTCATGTCGCGATCAACGCGTGAGGGACGCGATTCCGAGAAAGGCTTCTGTGGAACGTCCCTGAATCCATCCCTTCAAAAGCACCTCACAGTGCCATCCCTTTATTATATGCTTGATCTTCGAATTTCATCCATAATCCAGTGTTTAGATTTTTCTGTCGATCCACGATGTCATCAATACTACAGTCAAAATGGACTCCGCGGATTATCATTTCCTTCGGGCTCCACCTGGCATACGGCACCCTCCTACACACGACCGTCTCCCTCCATGAGCCCATGTCCTTCACAGCACAATCAGCTCTACCCTCTCCCTATGTGTCCTCATCGCTTACAACCACACACAGATCCACCTTCTACGAAGTCGCCGCCAAACACAACACCGACAAAGTCACCGCCGACCACTTCGAATTCATGTACCAAAAGCATCTCCCCGCCCTCCACTCCCGCCTCCGCCACTGCCGTCGCATCAAGATGCTCGAGATCAGTCTCGGCTGCGGCATGGACTGCGGGCCCGGCGCCTCCTACCACACGTGGCTAGACTACTTCGGTGGCCCGCAGCATGTTGACCTGTACTATCTCGGATACGACGCGGCGTGCGCGGAGAAATGGGCGCACGAGATCACGGGCGCGACCATCTTCACGGGCGACCATGCGGACGTGAGCGTGCTGAATAAGATGGTCCAAGAGAGCGGCGGGGCGTTCGATGTGATTGTGGACGACGGTGGGCATGCGATGGCTCAGCAGATCACGAGTTTGGGGTTGCTGTAGGATGCGGCGAGGCCTGGGGGAGCCATGAGGGGAGTGATTGGAAGGAGGGGACGATGGTGGGGATGGTGAAGGAGTTGCTGGACGATGTGATGAATACGGATGGGAACGGAATGCCGCATCCGCAGAAGCATTCGATAAGTAGGGAGTTGAGGACGTTGGAGTGTATGGTGGAGGTGTGCGCTTTTGAGAAGAAGGCGAGACGAACTACAAAGCTAGGCTGATTTCTTGCATCCCTTGCTCCAGATAAGTAATAGGAGACCTATTGCATCTAACCTCTAGGCCTTCTTTTCTTGCATGATGGATCAATAAACAATATTAATTAATTGGTATTATATATACAATCACTTGACTTGGGACATCCCCTTACCATCGTTGTGTTGTCCAGACCACATGGGAATCTGTCCTCCATCATCACCGCTTTTGTCATCCCGATCCTCCCTGTGTCGTCATACCAACGACCCCTAAATTGCCGCAATCCGTGGATTAACATGAGCAACTCGTGCCAACCAAATCTTATAACCATTCATTACGCCTCGATGCTCCCGGCGCTGCGGAATTCAATGTCAGAACCCTCGACCACGCCATGTGCAACGGATATTGCTCTGCCGCTTCACACCGCCGTCCCTGGAAGGCTGCCCTTTCGCGAGCTAGGACTTGGAGGGACGTCCACCAAAACCGCACTTTGCGGCTTCGAGATGTTGAGCGCTGCCGGTTGCTGGATGCTGTTCCGCTGAGCAGTTTCGATATTCGACGCGAAGTACCGGGAAAATCGTTGTTTCTGAAGCGATTGTGAGGAACTTCCGCGCGTATGACCGTGCCCGGTTCCGGGCCTTTCCAAGTCCAATGGCTCCGCGAGGCCGGCTGGAAGTGGGATTTTCGGTAGAGTAGAGCCGTACCCGGATGTGGATGCAGGAGTGGACGCAATGTAGGAACGCGGTGGAGGATTGGTAGATAGGTTCTCGCGCGATGGATTCGCTAGTTCGTACTCAGCGTCGGCATCGGAGAACGAGAATGAGAACGAGGAGCGGAAAGAGTCGCGGGGTGGTTGGTCGAGGTAACTGCTGGAAACGCTGATGCCGCGGTCGTTCGGTCTTAGTCGATCCTGGGCTAAGTTCAGGCCGTGGGGATCGATCGGCGACGAAACTCGATAGTGAGGAGAATACCCGTGTGAAGAGGCACTCGGATTCGATGAATGGATTCGTGGAGGTTCTTGGATGGGTGGCGTCGTGTCGGAGGGAGTGCGGTGACTTAAATAGCCAGCTAGAAGGAGTGGTGGTTTAGCATTCGGCCATCGTCCTCGTTACTGTCGCACAGAAATGAAACATCTTGGTCGTGTACATCGCTGCTTGTGACATGGTTCCTCGTCACAAGGTCGTCATTCAATGAAAAACCTGTTACATACGCTGCCTATCGCTAGCTTGGTTGCCCGTCGGTGTGAGAGACCTTGAGTGAACTCGCGGTGGACTCCGGGAACCATTGGGGAAGGAGGGGTAGTCAGTGGATTCGGGAGAGTTCCTTAGGTTTCCTCCCCTTGGACTGGTGCCGACTGATGAATGTTGGTCATCCCATGTTAAGTTTGAACCCTCTCTGGAATGCGCAACCTGGGCCATTCTCTGTTCGGATTTGGTTCTTCCAGTCGAATCGTATCCATCTGCTCGCCGCAAGTCCTCGAAATTCCCCTTGGTAGGGCTGTTATGACTGAGATGTCCGGAGTGATGGGCATTCTGTTGTTGATGCTGGGCGAGTATGGGCGACGGCGGAACATCGAGGGTCATGTTCACGGCACTACCATTGTGGTTGATCCGCCCACTGAGTTCGGCTTCAGAAGGACGAAGCACCAGGTGGGGAAGTTGTCGGCGCTGTGTAGTGGATTCGACGTCGCGAGAGGCGGACCTTGAATGCTCGTTGATCGCAAGGCTTCTCACACTGCTCGCCGAAGAAGGGATCTCCCTCAGTTTTTGTGATAGTTGTTCAGCGACGAGCGTGTTCTGGCTCGCCGAAGGCGACATGGCTCGGGATGGTGTGTTGACTTCTGATGTGGGCCGTGATTGGTATACGCCTCCGAAATAACCGGCTTCGATGGCACGAACGCCGAATAGATCTCCTTCGTCTCGCTCCCGGGTATTGAGCTCGACTGTGTCATCTTTCTTATTCGCCCTTTCTTCATCTTGCTTCCGGATATGCTCTTTTAACTTCTTGCGGTCAAATAAGAGCTTGATGCAACCCAAAACTAGCGTTCCCAAGAGCAGAGAACCAAATACAAGACTAAGTGTTCGGTTAGACATACAATCGTTTCCTTTCGGCGAGAGGCACTTACCAATATTTGTATGCTAATCCTAGGTTCCCGAACCACGACCCCATTGTGTATGAAAAGCAGGAGCTTCAAGATATGGGTCCTATTTGCCAACCAACGGTCGATTCGAACAACGGACGAGATGAGAAGCAACCACGCGCGGATAATCGCGGGGATTATAGGAACATCCCACCGATGATCGAGGTCCAGAGTGCTAGGACAGGTAACACAGTAGTGACAGTGATTATATATGCGATACTTTTGTGAGGAGATCGCCGAGGATCATTACAGTATGAACGATCCCATGGACATGGATTCCGGCGTGATCTGGATGATGGATTACTGGATGGTAACGCTAGGCCCAGTAGAATTAACGAGTAGGAAAGGGAATTGCTCAGAGGCGCAACTATGTATTAGAAATACAGACAAACGAATGACAAGCGCAAGCAGAATCGGAACAGAGAGAGACGTGTGACCAGAAACGAGAGACTTCGGAGAGAAGAGATGGAAGTCCAAGAGATCAGAAGACGATTTAGACTGGAGGAGAGGTCCCATACTTCAAGTTTGGCCAACCGCAAGACGGGCCATATTCCAGAAACCTTGGACTGGACAAGGCGTCTTTGCCAAAGGACGAGCCACATCGCTTGCGCTGTTGCCTCTTTGGATCACACCAAATGGACGAATTCTCGAGTTGCCGACAGTTTAGAAACAATCGAGCTAAGTTTGGATTGGTGCCAAGGAACCAGGTTCGTGCCGAGCGAATGAAACGTCCGGTCGAGTAGACATTTGGAAGCATGAATGGCTTCTGTCGCTTCTCGCTTGAGAAGAACGCAAGCCATGGACCCATGGCAAGCCATCCCCCGCACGAGAGTTTCGGCGTACGGATGGGTTTCTGCTCCGAGCTTAAAGAAAGGCTTTCTTCTCGTTGCATTGGTCTGAAGACTGGAAGGTGCTAATGTGGACCTCGCCCGTCGATGCTCCATTCCAGAAACGGGACGACAGAGTCCTACCGCCTATAGTTGTCCAGCCAGTGATATACCACAGCATCGAACGCCCAACTCATAAATGTCTAAATCAGTGAAAATATTCTCATGTCCACCTCTTCTCTTGGTCCTCTTCCCCCCTCTAGGGCAAAATTGATTGCATACGCTGTCCACGGGGACAAAGACGAGAAGCACGTGCAGAGACTCGATGTAACGAAGTTGGAATGGATGGCGGCCAATGCGCCGGACTGGACGGAGACGAGATGCGCCATTCCCAGAAGAGCGTCGAGTGGACGGTGAGGCGCACCGGGCGCGCATCGTTAATTCGTCGGCCGGAGACGGCCAGCACATCACCAGGATATTTCGTCCAGCACCATTCAGGAACAGGTAAAGCGGATGCGCCACGGGTGTCGTAGCTTCGATCCCGACTTGACCATCCGCCAAACAGAGTTTTAGCTCCGAAAGGGGCACTTAATTGGCTTTGGTTTGGACAAGGAGAAAGGAGGCGCTTCCCCACCATCGCGTGGTTGTCGCAAGATGAAGAGCGTCTCTGCCCTCCACTTAATATTATGAATCCAATTCGTGGATCCTCATAAATCCTTTTGCGCGGCGTTGCGCCAGTTGCAGAGAAAAGTCAGAGGTCGAGGATGGCTACGATGGGCCAAACCGTATTGGCCTGGACCAAGGGGCTTGGAGGAAATACCGGATGGGGGAATGTTAGCGTGCAGGAACTGGGAAAGTGGGAAGCATGGAAGATGGGCAAATCCTGCGGGGCTACGGAGTTGCAGGAAGTCTGATAATGGCGTCCGAATTCCAGGAGAAATGTCAACTGATTCTTTCTCGATTCCGGCCCGTTATCCTTGTTTCCTCCGTGAAGCACGTCAAAAGTTGTCACGTCAAGTTGTCACTCTTCCAGCTGCATTTTGGCCACTCTATGAAAGCCACCGGCGTTTGACAGTTGATGTTGTGAACTCTATGCTCCCTTCACCATTCCTCTCCACAGTTCAACTCTTAGAAGCCGGAGGAGGCTGGCAGCAAAGAGACACTCTCTGCTGCTCGCTTCTGCCTGTCGTTCATTGGAGTTCTAGACTTCACACTGTTCTCAGTTGTTGAAATCCCCCTTTAGAATGCTGGGCCTGGATCACGCGATTCCTGCCACCAATACATACCAATATTATCTGGCTTTTTCGATGGAATAGAGCAGCCTGTGAGCACCAGCCAATTGCCATTAGCTAGGCAATAGAAATTTTCGCTCCACAGGTTGAACTTGGGGTCTGGTTCGAGATTGAGCCCTCATCGTTATGTACTTAACCGCCCAATAGGCGCTCAACTTGTTTCCCTTCTCCCAGAGTTTTCGGATTTTGGCGTATTATGTTAGTTGGCGTCTGTCAAATACGTCCCCAGTCCACCCGAATCATCGATAGTGGTACGGATAATGGTGGGCCAATGGCTCTTCCTGGCTCCTGTCGATTTCCGAGAGAGGAGTCCACCGTTCATGTAGCAACACGGCGCCACGCGCAATGATGTCCGCCAGCCATGAGTTCTGACTTCTAAGTTCTGACCTGTGATAATTATTTGTAAATTCTAATTCAGTTCGTTTGTTCGCACGGTCATTGGTCATCCACGTTCTCAGCCCCTCGCTTATGGAGGACAAGCAACGCCTTCTTTCCTGAAACTAAAGCTGAAGAAAAAGGAAAAAGGAATCGATGTCTAAACATGTCCTACTATGTATTGCGACGATGAGTTGTCGTCTTTTGAAGCAAGCTCTAATGCCACGAATGGAGAAAGGACAAGTCTCAGGGAACGGCATATATCATCCTCTGGTGTATCAATGGGTTGCCCAGTCTCTTGTTCTTACAGTCGAATCAATAGGATGCTCCCTGTAATTAATTGAACAGCTGGCCAGCGTCGTCAAGCTGGACTGTTGAAGTGCACAGAGAGCTGTAATAAAAGGTATTCCTAAGTCTAGTGGCAGACATCTCCAACCTGCGTGTGTTGGACATGGAATCCTCCTACGCCACACTGGATTTCGGATAATCTCGAAGTAGGCATAACTAATTGACATTCGAGTTTAACTACAATATTCCGCACTTATTCTAAAGCTCGATCTTTGCTGATCACTAGGTCTTAGACGTAGAACTTAGAAGTATGGCTGAAGCTTAAATGTTGAAATGCTCTGTAGTGCTGACTGGCGTCGATCAAAGGAAGAGAGAATCCGTGCACGTCACACTTCGATCGCGCTTGTCACAACGTCATATCAGACATCAAACATCAGACCTTCACCCAACTCTTCTGGTTTCAATTGAACAATAAGTATCTAGGTAGTGGTGAAACCAGAGATTCTGCCACAATGGATTCGAATAAATCTAAGATTCTGTCTACCGAACCACTGGTGAGTCGTACCCACACTTCCGCTTCAAGTGACTTCGGTACATTTTCTGCACCTTGCGGCCTACGGGGAGATCTAATATAGAATCTAACAATATATAATATAGGACGCCTCCGAAGCTCGTTGGACTGGTCTTATTAAGTATGATGCCTCGTAGCTTTTGAGATACAACTGATGAATGGTTACCTCAAGCCCCCTGGCCCTTGCCCCTACCCTGCCTGTATCACCCCCTTCTCAAGATCCCCAACGCGCCCCTTCTCCAAAATTCGTCTATTAATCATCCACCAGAACAACGTACATCGATCCCAATGGCGTCAAACGAACCTGGGAACATGCCCGTCGTCCCACCCGTCCGGCCGGCTCCAAGATCGACGGGGTCGGGATCGTAGCCATCCTGCGCAACCGGCCAGGCCAAGGATCAGACGAACCGACCATTTTGTTGCAGAAACAATTCCGGCCTCCGACAACGAGGATCTGTATCGAGCACCCTGCAGGTCTTATTGATCCGAACGAGACGCCCGAGGAGTGTGCGTTGAGAGAGCTGAAGGAGGAGACGGGATATGTCGGGGAGGTGATTGGTGATGGGGCGGGCTTTGTGATGTTCAATGGTATGTGGTTCCAGTTTATCCATCCCTACAACACTCCTCCAGATTCAGTCCAACACTTTCTTTCATCATCTCGAGATGGGGCATTGACAATCACCCATGCCCACCAGACCCGGGATTCTGCGATACAAACCTTCAGATGGTGCATATCCAAGTGGATATGTCTCTGCCTACAAACCAGAACCCTACGCCGCAGTTGGAGGATAATGAATTCATCGAATGCTTCGAAGTACCGCTAAAGGACTTGTACACGGAATGTCTGAGGCTGGAGAAGGAAGGGTATGGAATCGATGCGCGAGTGGGAACGATGGCGGAAGGGCTGGAATTGGCAAGAAGATGGGCGGTGTTCAAATGAGAGACGTCTGCCCTGTGGGACATAGATCCAGGGGTAGGTATGGATGATTTAGGTGCGATAGTGATGCTGCTCGGAATGATACAGTGTATCCTTATTCATGCGCAGGTATTAGCAGTGAGCGTGCCTAAACTAGTAGTTGGGGGGAGTGTACTCCAACAACACAAAGAACTTGAATGAAAATCATGAGCATAAGCATTGTGTAATGGTATGCGCCATGGTACGGTACGAATACCAGACACAAAGCAACATTGGACAATTGTGATCGCTCATATATTCAGCTCCATACAAGTCAATTCCATGGACCGCCAAGTGCTACGGAAAGCTACATGTATGCCAATGACCAGGAACGACAGACTGGAGCGTTGTTTACAAGTATTCCCTTCAGGGGGAATGGAGATCGTTCAACAATCACCAATCGTGCAAAACCAACAACGGTACTGTCGTGCGATCTCGTGCCTGGCATCGCCAATCGTAACAGCAGACCGGCACCACGCCAACCGCAAAACAAACGTGGGCGTCATCGACAAGGAATTCGAGGATGCAATCTGTCCTGACAACCAGCATTCTTGAACGGCATTCGAGGATTGTGTTTTCAAAACGAAAGCAAGAAAGAAAAGGGGGTGGGTATTTGCGTGGGCAACGATCCCCCCTATCGCTCCCCGAGAAGAATCGAAGACGCATCAAGAACGAGAAAAGTATGCTCGTGCCTCGTCCGATGGAGCCAAGATGCCCAATCGCTTGAGGTGAGCAGCCGTTGAAAAGTCATCTCTGAGTTCGTTTCACTCCATGCCAGTACCAAAACCAAAAAAACATTCATCAGCAGCTAGCCACACCGCCTGTCTATTGTCGAATGTTCGCAAATGCAACATATCCGAAACCCGTCAAATGCTGCAAAATAGTGCTGAGTAGTGCACCCCCAAGGCGGAATGCAGTGGATGGGACATGCGCACTACTCTTTCCTTCTCTTATCCCGCCGTCCATCTCCGCCCGCGTCGTCGTCGTCGCTCGTAGATGCTCGCTTCCGGGTCAATGCTTTCTCGTTCCCTTTCTTGACTTGAATGTTGCAGCCTTGCAATTTCAGTGCCCTCGTCAAAGCGCTACTTGGACGCATGCCAGGGAAATCCTTGGCCGTATAGACCGTGAACACGTCACTCAGCACTTCGGTAATGATCGGGGTGGATCCGCCAACATGTAGGTCGGTCGGATCTATCCGCATCAACACGAATCGGAGACGGTAGTGCCCATGGGTTCGGCAAGATAAGTCCGGGAAGCAGAAAAAGCAGCCTTCGATGTCGTGCTCATCCTTGGCGACGCAGGGACTGGCGACAAGTTGCCCCATGAGCCTTCGGGTCGTTCGACGATCGGGCTGTATCAGGGCCGTTTCTTCAGACGTTCCGTCGGCGTTATAGAGGGTGCAATGGACGACGTTGAGAGAGTATCGGAGTTCGTCCAGATTGTCGCTTCCCGTTTGCGTATCTGTGACATGAAGCTGGACGATTGGCGGAGGATCGATCACTCTCCTGTCTCGTTCACCGAACCCGCAGGCACGCGCTGCGACCGGCTGTTGCCGGACTCGCAGTTCATATTTCAGTGGTCTCCTGGTTGAAATCAGTCCTTGATATTTCTCTTTCCTCTCCCCATAAACTTACTCCTTTCCCGTAGATGATGGCGGCGGGGGCACCATGGAGACCATTTTGGGAGCCGTCGTGACCGGTTCTGGATACCCAGGGGGGGCATACGCTGAACCTGTGGAACCGCGATGCGAGCCCACTGATCCACGGTAGGTCGTCGAACTAGAAGGGAAATTGGAGGTCCCTTGAGGCGAGGGGAAAGATGCAAAGGGATGTCTTTGGGACTCCACAGGAGATGCGAAGACGGATTCGGCTGTTGAAGGGCGTGAATCATCCAGATGGAACTTCTCAGTTAGGCGACTTGGGGGAGGACGGGTGTCCACAGCGGATCTTGGAGGGGATCTTTTCGGTTCATATTGGGGCGAGTACGCAGGATCTGACCTCGGGGGAGTGAATGGATGCGGTGATAGCAGCTTCTCAAGCGGGGCAGCTGAACCAGAGTGCGAACGAGGATGATGATACCGAGCGGGGGCAGTGTGATGCGGCGGTCCGGGGATAGGACTCGGAACTTGACCCGATAGCGAAGGTGGTGGAGGGGGAGGTCTGGAATGGATGGATGGTAGATGCTGGACAGTCGGGCTATACTGAAAGTCGGATCGAGAAGGTGGCGGAGGGGGGATGGTCAAAGGAGGGAGTTGGATCGGCTGTGGAAGCCGTCGTTGCGAATAATCCAAGAATGCTGGAGGAGGGAACTGGGGAGCGCTCTGAGTTTCGGTCATGGTGGGCATCGGCGATGTTGTGTGCTGCGCATGTATAGGCGGAAGAGAGGGAGGTTTTGACATGCGTGACGAATTTAACGAAACTCAGTTCCGGATGTCTTGGGGAAATACCACATCCGGAAATCCAGTCTGCAGCAAACCGATGTCAGAAGGGGCGGGAGAATAAGACGAAGGGAAAAAGGGCCGTTCTAAGAGTGAATCGTGTCTGGGAACAAAGCCAGCAATACTCGATTTTCCCATATACGGCGGACATGGAAGGACTCTTGTGCAAGCGCTGAAGGCTGCGAACCAGCCCTTCTATCAATGGTGTATCTGGATCGACGGACTGAGGGATCGTCAGACCTAGAGCCGGCTGTCACCTAATCGCTAACGGCGTCCGTACAGGCGCCGACCTTCGATGGAACGAAGGGTACTTTCCAGGATTGAGGTCAACTATCCCCGGGCATGTTGTCATGAAGCAACCGAGGCTTGTCGTATGTAGCTGTTAGGTGAGGAAACAAGGCTGATCCTAGATGAACCCTTTCGACAGGGTCTGATTCCAATGACGGTGGCTGTCCACAACGTTAAGGCTGGGCAGCTATGGGAGTTGGCAGGGCTAGGATCCAACGGCGATTGGGGAGATAGAAATCGGATGTTGATAGATCGTGAGTTGATGGGCATCGATGTTGAAAGAGGGCGTGTGGCAGACCCTTACTCGGCGCCCGCTGTCAAGGATATGCTCACTTACGTGCTTATGAATTGTTTTGGGGGAAATGGCCCGTCATCTGCGGGGCACAAATGCGAGGACTGGTTCCCCAAGTATGAGCAGGGACATCTTGTGTCGCCGTGTCGCGACGGTTTTCATCATGGGGGATGGTCAGCGAAGCGAAGCGTCCCACGATCCGCCCGGGAATGGGTGTCCCCGGTGGGAACCCGTCTTCTAGGCTCAGAGTCGGGGACGTCAATCGCACGGCTGGTCCAATCTTTACCCTGCACCCATTGCGCGGGCTATCGTTGTTCTGAATGTCTGCAGTAGAGTAGATTGGTATGAGGTGGAGTGAAATCGGAGCGTGCATGCAACGTGAATGCAAGTTCCAAAAGCCGTCAATAAGAACGCATGCGCGTCTTCGCTAGCAAATCTGCAAATGGCGTAAGGTGGCAACCCGGGACAATGAATCATGCAGATACTGTGGATGTGACAGAACACTCTGCTTTGCTCCACATGTGAGATGCATCTTTCAACAAAAACAGAAAAGTCCGGCATGGCCTTCAACGTCCACACGATGGACTTCCAGGCTACACGGTCCTGGTTCCAGACTCCGCACCCGCAAGAGTATCCCTTCGACATTGGAGTCCAAAACGCTATCAAAACCTTGCGTAACAGATGCTTGAATGATTCCAAAGTGTCATGGTTGGGATGAGGGACAGCATGGATCAGGAATGTGACACTTTTGCATCGCGGGCGGAAACACGTCAGGTCAGAGACGTACACCAGGCAGTTATCGACCACAAAATCCCTGCCGCGCCATGCCTGAAGACATCGGAACAGACGTGTATACAGAACCTTCTACCGGGCACCCGGATGACCAGCGTGTGTTGCCCTAAAACCGCTCGCAAGCCACAATGTCGGGGGACAGTCTCCGCTGCGGAGCACAGGTGGATATCAGTGCAATCAAGACCAGTCGAGATAGGTTGTGTAACACCGTTAGAAGCAAAATGCCTGCTAGAACTCATCGAAGTCTCAGCTTGTTCGGACAGGCGCTGCATGAAATACCAGGAACAGTCCAACAACGTGCTACAGCCGCCGTTTGGTCCACTGTCGCAGTTGAACAGAGATCGAAAGTGAGGCTCTGAGTGATATGCTGGCCTGATCTAGGTGATAAATCGTTGCTGAGAGGCCAATCTGGAATTCGAATGCTGTATTGACCAATTGCCTTGATTGCACAGAGATCCTGTCACCGAAATGTAAGATCTATGTGCCTGGGTCACTTCGTGACAGGCATCACGGACTTCGCTTTGATCCTCAAGCCTTTAAGCTGAGACTTGCATGCATCGTTCAGTTTGTGTTGAGCCGCCCCGGTAAAGCTATGACTCCATATCGAAACATTAGGTGCGAAACCGGTCTTGTGTCTCGATCCTGTTCTATATCATCAATCAAATATGTATGATCATACTTCCGTACTCCGTACAGCCAACATGAACGTGATGATGGCTGCATATGGACCTTTTCCCGGTGGCTGGGGCCGGACACTTGCCCTCAGGTGGAATGGTGGATCGTCGCCCGGAGGCGTCGAATCCAAGCATGCCGGCGATTAACTCGATGAAATAGGGCCACCGAAGCCAAAGGAATACTAACTGAACCCAGACAGTATCGTAATCCTAGCTTGTATTATTGGAAAGTATTTGAAGATTGACACATTTGCTGGTAGGAATTCTGCAAAGGAATATCTTTGGATCGAAAGGAAATTGTAGTAAAAAGATATGCCAACAAAGCATTGGGGTGAAAGATTACACACATCAATACCGGTAGGATACACAATATACCCTACTTTAGAAGCAAAACTCATGTAGTTATATCAGTGGAAAGTTTCCGTCAAGCGCCTCTTCAGTCACCTCCTGTTTAGGCAGTGGGAAACCTCTAAAAAGGGACATGTAACAAAAGCTCTTTCCAGCATCTGCATCCGTTATAGGCTGTTCATTTATCAGAATCGCAGAGATTCACCAACGAGATGATATGTCCACAACCCAGCGATCCATTCCTGATGTTGTGGGGGATAGATTTCATATTTTCAACCAGCATTGAAGCCCAGGCCTCTCGTATTCCAGCCACCCACATCATCACAAGCCACCACTTAGGCACTCACCTCTCTTCATCTGATGGCTGTTATTCTTGAATTCCTCCTCTCACGCACATGGAATACATAACACCTGTCAAGTGCTTGAGCTCGAAATTGCAGCTCGGCATTAATCTTTGAGGATTCCACGGAATATGAATGGCTGAGCTGTTCCTTGAAGCATCTGATTTTATGGAACCTGTTCCACAGATAATATGAGACGAAACGAGTCGTGTTCATCCTGTCCTGATTTCTGAACTCAAAACACCCGGAAGACATATGATGAACTACGAAGAGTCAGATTACCCAGTGTGTTGGGTATTCACAAAATCAACAGCCCTGGATGGATTAATTCCCTTGTCTTCGGGCTGTGATCAGGCTGTCGCTGTGCGTTTGCTTCGAACAGCGATGCATCTTCGACTGATAGGACAAGGGCATGATGATTGGACATGCATGATCCTTTCAGAAGCGACTGCCATATACCGGGTTTGTCTTCTGACGAGAGAGCATGGGATGGCAATGAACTCAGATGAAACCACCCATGCTCGTCTGTACATCGTCCCTGGAACCGGAAATTAACAACCACTCATTGGTATATTCGGAATGTAGCGATCTTCGAGAAGGATGTCCACCATCAGAATCAGTCCTGCCCTTGCCTATATTAACAAAAGATTAATGTTTTGACGGTGAAGGGACGTCTAGCCTTGACATATTCGTACTCGTCTCACGATTCCGGCTCCGGAGCTCCGAGACCTTCAGGTACGTTTTGATTGCCCCGAGCCATGACGTACCTGCAACACCTGTTGCCTTGAAAGCCGAAAGATTCTGGAAGCCCTGAAGTTCGGACATATTACAGGGTTTGGTATATTGCCATGGACCCTGTCCTGGTCCAAGTCACTCTTCATTTCCAACACAGATTTGCTCCGAAGGCCGTTTTACGGGCACCGGACTGGCCTGATCAGTCCTCATACGTGGACCTGGATACGTACAACCAAGGCAGAATCACCGGACCAGGAAAATGAACTCCGCGCCGATCAAATGGCGTCTTGGATGTGGTATTCTACAACCTCAGAAGTGTGTACCGTGCTTCACAATTTTTCCGGAGGTTCATATCTTGCCGAGCAGCGTTCAAGTCCTAGTTTGACGGTCTATATCGAATTTTCCTATCTTCAAACCCCGATACGCCGACAGTCTAAAGAGATTCCAGATGGTACATGGAATTAATGCACTTTATCTGAGATGTAACCGCAGCTTCAAGTTCTCTATCAAGGCTATGCTTGACTCCTCTTTCGATCGATATCAAATATCCCGGTTCCTTCCGCCGAATTCCTGAATCAGCCCATCATTGCGATTAGAAAAGACCATGTGAACAGCACTGTCCGGTTTCCGTTCATCCCGCTTGGTAGCACCAGGGGACTTCGTAACCAATGAAGGCTTCCGGAGAGAATCATTCGGCGGTCCCCCGGATTGCGATTATTCATTGCAGTACCAGTTCAATATTAAAGCTACCTATCTGTCCCTTCCAATCTCGGGTTTCTGCTGGTGACGGTACCGCTGAACTGGTTCCCATATTTCCAACCCCAGCCTCATTCATCAAACCTCAAATCTGCGGTTTGAGGTCGCCGAATTGTGCGTGGGGTAGCCCGATGAGAAGCCTGGGATTTCTCTGGAGCTTGATCTCCGTGGCGTAAAGATACGGTCGATCTCCAGCAGGATATCCATATCAACCTTTCATCTGCACGGGCCTCGGTGAATTTCACCTGCCTTTATACAGACTCACTTTTTCGTCCAATACTTTGATATGGAAATCTGCCCATTTTGAACGCGCCGGAGCCGCTGGAAATTATCAGCGAGAGCGCAGGGAACCTGTATCAATCAAGGAAGGCAGCAATTGAAAGCGTATCTCAATCTTGCCAAGTATTACTGTGCGGCCTCTAATGACCTCGGCCGCGAAACCCTTCGGTAGTTGACTATGCCCAAGTACAGGTATGTTGCGCGTCTACGGTGGTATATTGCGCCATGAATTCAAGATGTCGTCTCTGTAGGCCTTCTTCAAATCGTATATGGCTTACATGCAACTAAACTCGATGAGGCAGGATATATGATTATCATGGCTCTCTCGCTACGATCGGGCCGAAGAAGGGAAGACTAAGTCGTACAGATCACTGGATCTTAACGGGATGAACTAGCGTTGAGTATCGAGCCAAACTTCGGATTACACTCGAATGCAATAGTGGCCTCCAACGAATATTAAATGATGGTTCCTATGTCCTCCCTGTGGGCTCCTAAACTGCGTTGGACATCATCAGGTTTCTTTCCATATCGCTCCCAGCGGGACCATCCTTCTGAGATTCTCAATGGCCTTGTAACCCTGGCAACTCCTCGTTGTTGCCCTCGAGATATTCAGGCCGAGTGGGAGGACTGGTTATGCAGTCGGTCACAACCGCTGCCCTACCGGAGATCCCCTGTTCGACATGTCGATACTTTCCACCAGTAGCTTCCTGAGCTTCTATAGTTCGGATTGCACTATTCCCTACCAACTCCCCTCTTTGTCTGCAGAAAGACGAGCTACAGCAAGCGTATTGGCAGTCCTTGGACACAAAACTCTCGATATCTGCCCTGCCCACCGAATGCCTGCATGAACCACCCCTTCACAAACCCCTCATCTAGTTTCTGTAACCCCTCATGCCTCTACAGTGTGTTGTCCTCCTTTTGTGAACCAGGAAACTCTCATTTATCCACTCACAAATCTTTGCATCTCTCCCTGTCCGACTAGGGATGATGACTGATATCCAGGGAATCCTCCTTTCCCCTACAAGGAGGGTGTCAACCCCGCATCATGGCTCATTGTCGGGGCTGCATGGCTTTCCCTCATTTATTCTTCGCAAGCGAGAGTGCTTCAAAGTCGGGGGTTGGCGGCCTGTCGTTGCTGTCGACAACGCCGACTAGGGGGAACTCTAGGTCCATAATAGTGTTGCCCCACACGGATAACGTGTTAGGGATCTTTGAAGATGCCAGCATGTCGGTGTGACTGATAGGTAAGGTATAATTAGGAATGCCGGTTTTACCCACCATTTAGTGTTAACTCTGACATGAGCACTTTGCTTGTGTTTGCCCTGCGGACTTCCGGCATCTTCTGATGTGCTGATGACATGGAACGTCCCCGCCTATCAAACTGTTGCCGAACATACCGGTATCAGTAAGCGATGGCTTCCTTTCACTGGATATAGGATCCTATCTACAGCCGGAATGGAGTTATCCCCCACTCCCCCCGAGAACATGCCCCATAGATTGCGCAGGGAACATAGACTGCCGATGGACATTTCCTAAATTATATCACACGGAAGTATACGTACTAAACAGGTTAACCTTACCGACATTCGAAATGGCCTAGCTTTCACATGAATGTCCTCCATCCTCAGCATACCAAAGGTCGTGTGCATAAACTGCGGACCATGCTGCAGTGAAGATGTGCTCAGTGTGTGTCGGACGTCTACCCCACCCATTTCTCCCGCTGGAGGTTGGTGTATGTTCGAACCTGTTCTAGCTGCCTCTATTAGTTTGTTAATTCTCAAGATGTCACTGTTATCATTTGAGCAACGGGTATTTGCAGAAATGGAGTGATGACCTTTAGTCAACGGAAGACTGAGTGATCGGACTGAGATGCATGCGAAAACGGTGGTCTTTAGCTTTGCGTCAGTGGAGGTTATTGAACTCCAGTTTAGACTGAACAATGCTAATACAACTAAAAGGGACGCGTCCAAACTGAGAAGCCAATCCCCTCGCTGAGACGCCTTGAACCAAACGCCTTGTCAACAGCATACCAAACTCGAAGTGCTTGTCGCCAACACAAATCTCCGAGTAAACAGTGAATGACTGAAACTGAACACCTACCTCACCTAACTTGGATTTCTTAGCCCATTTTCCATGATCGACAAATTCCTCAAAACAAAACATTTTGACAAGCGGGATTAGATCTGTGAAAGAGGTCGAGATAAGCTGGGCAAGATTCCTGAAAAAAGAAAGACTTTGGGTTCGCGCCTCATTGTCCACAATAACCTCAAAAAAGAGATCCTGCCTGTTGGCCGATAAGTTCTTTCATACGCCTAAACAGTGGATGTTGTTCGTCATTGTTTCCCTTGTAAAAGGCAATCCACACTCTCTTGTACGCTTTGAGAGGAGCTTGGAATGTAGGTATGTGCAAGTAATGATGCAATAACGGCATTGCATTTTCCTGCCCAAGGCGGGTACCTCCTTTGATATGCACATAATTCAGTGCTCTCAGCGTTGAATTGTTGGACTGTATCCCTAAATAAGTATTTATTTTCAAAGTTATTCGCGATATTGGGAAAGCTTTAATTTCCATTGTGGATTCCCCTATTCCGGCAGTCAACCCTAGTTATGAAAAAAAGCCAGGGGTATTTTAATCAAACATTACCTTTCTCCCGCGGCATAAACGTCTCCGGAATAACTGATTGGCTTACTCTTTATTAGAAGTATAGTCCTTATGTTGAAAGTAGTGCCGCTGTTTACGCGATCTACCAATAGTGTTCTAGCTATAAGGCAGAAACAGCTTTTTATACTTCACCAGATATGCGTCAAGGCCATCTACATTGCCCTTGGTATTGACAATGACATTAGCGGATCCAATCAGACATATAATCTTTTATCTTGACCCGAGCTTGAGGGCTCACAGAGTCAGATATGAAGAACACATTACCGGAGCTGTCCCGCTTCCAACCTAACTCTGATACACACTCTCAACATTACAGGTCTCCGGCACCATGATTTCTTTGTTTCCACTCTTTCTCATATCATTATCAGCGTGGGGTTCGTCAGTAAATGCACAAGCGAAAAATGTGAGACATTCATACTGAGGGAGAGTTAATAGCATCTGATTTTGGAGAACAGTATCCTGGAGCCGCTGGTTGGCCAACCTCCGCAGCATGGCAAGAGTTGGGTCAAGCAACCGGTGGCCGACTGTCCAAATGTCCGGCCACGGAGTGCACTTCGTCTCAAGGAGCCTATGTGCTTGCCGCAAAGACAGCCCAAGATGTCAGCGCTGGGATGAAGTTCGCAACGGCGAATAAAGTCCGCGTCTCTGTGAAAGGCACGGGGCATGACTTCATGTCAAGGTATAAGCTTGTTCCTGACAAACAGCGCCTACTTTTCTAACAGTCAGAACAGAAATGGAGGCTCAGGGTCCCTTTTGATATACACACGAACTATGAAAGGATATCAAATTGTCCCTGAGTGGGTGGCTACCGGGGCTCCGAATGGCACTGCACCTCAAGCAGCGGTCGGCATAGCAGGAGGGACGGCTTTTGAGGAGGTTTATCCTTTTGTTGAACGGGAACGTCTGATGATCGTTCATGGTGCAACGGCAGTAAGAATTCTCGCCCTGGAAAGACAGGACATTACTGAATAAACGGGATAGTCAGTCGGAGCAGCCGGTGGATGGATCCAAGGCGGTGGCCATGGTCCTCTGTCAAATCAGTATGGCATGGGTTGTGATAACGCCCTGGAATTCGAAATCGTCGTCCCCAGCGGAGCCATTCTCATTGCGAACGACTACCAGAATCAGGACCTCTTCTTCGCACTCCGCGGCGGTGGTGGCGGCACATTTGGCATCGTTACTCGACTGATCACGAGAGCGTACCCGCTTCCCACCATGAACGGAATCCAGATATCAGTTCGTGGACGGGGTTATCTCGATGCAATGGCATACCTCTTCGCCATGACGCCAAATATGACCGACTTCGGTCTCTCAGGCTACCCTACCATGAGCGGATCATCCTACTCGTCCAGGTTACGTGCACCCGGCAAAACCGCTCAGGAGATCTCTGAATTCTTCAATCCAATTGCGGAGAGAATGCGCCAACTCGGCGTCACTGTTTCGTTGGACCAGGTCGTCGATAGAGGTACCACCTCCAAGCGGGAATTGTTCAAAGAAGCCGCGGAATCGGAGAAGCTCAAGGCGAGGCAGCTCGGCGGTTTGATGACCTCAAGGTTGTTGGCTCGCGATGCGTTAAATGAGGGCAATATCCCAGCCATTCGAAAGATGCTCTCCTCCGTGACCGGCGGCCTGTCTAGCGTCCTTCCATATCCCAATGCTGGAGGTAGAGTCGCGCAGAACCGTGATCTGGACACCGGACTGAACCCTGCGTGGCGCGATGCGGTTATGCACATGATTGTGATGGGCATCGGGGGCTCCCCTGTATCAGCTATGGATCCTCTGAGTGCTAATCATGGGGCGTATCTCAACGAAGCTTCTCCGAGTGAGCGGGATTGGAAAACAACGTTCTTCGGTGGTGGTGAACATTACGCGCGTCTGCTGGAAGTGAAGAAGAAGTACGATCCAACGAATACCCTCTGGTGCACACCTTGCGTGGGCGGCGATCTGCTGGTGGAGCGTAGCGGACGACTTTATGATGCGTAGCTCATCTGGCTAGCTGGTCCAGAACCTGATGTGTGCGTATTCTGAATGTAACTTCGCATTTGTTCGTATCCATGCCGTTTGAAACAAGCGTTCTTTTGCAATTCCCTCGTACCAACTGACCCGACACGCGATTGTACGGAAGTAGTATGGTTTTCTGGGTGGCTTGAATGATGACCGGATCACGCCTTAGCGTGAACGCCCATTAACACCTGTGACCTGATAGGCTAACCGGGACGGAACATGAGTATGGCTACCGTCTCACCATCTCACGGACAATCGGACCGGACCGTGTGCTAGCTACCACTCCGATTCGAAGCCTCAAAGGTATATAACTGATAACTCCACGCCAGCCTCGCTCCCTTTCCTGGATGGTACGTACTTTTCCCACCATTTCACACTCGATATGATCAATGACGTCGTGGCCGCTTGTGGATCTGTCCCTTCCTCTAGAAAGTGGTCGAGCGAATGGAAAAGTAGTGTTTCGTGTGGCTCTGCATGTCGACGTGTAAAAGACGGCCTCAATCCCCTTGGCGGGGCGACGTTCCCCCCAGTTGACAGCGACGTGAAGCTGTCCTGTCCTTCGATTGGGCCATGATATACTCACCGGACGGAGGACGAGGACTTCGACCTGGTGGTATAGTTGCTGCCTGCCCACCTGAGGCCGTGTTATCCTCCGGTGTCAGAGGCCGCTCGCTGGTGCTGTTGCTACCACACTGATTCAGGTAATTACTGGTATCCCCATGGTGCGCCTGAGTGCACGCAATGGCATTCCTTTAATTCGAGCCGTCCTTTCTGTTGCGCTGTTGCGTGTGTCCTTGCTATTGTCTTCTATTAGTGCTCGACCTCTGCGTACGGTGCCGATCAAGTACCTTGAACAACCACGACAATGTCGTCCGCTCACCGTGAGTTCTCCGAATCACCTTCCAATAACTGCTCGTTCTTCCTCCCCCGATTTTGAGTGTGTGCTAACTGCTTCACCTTGGATACAGCGCCCAACTCCAGTCCCAGTCCGCGTTTTAGTACTGGCCCTTCGCAGGAAGCCCGTTCTTCTAGATTTAAACAGACGAGTACGCCGCGGCGTATCCGCACTGAGCACCAAGCCGAGTCCGGTCACGATAATCCCGATCGAAAGTCCCAAAGGATGGAATCCAGTCGTGCGCACCGTGGTCGCTCTTCCACAGCGGCTTCTTCCATCCCGGATTTAGCATCTCATCCCGAACCATACCACCCGATCAGTGTGTCCTTCACCGATTCTACCCATGCCCAACCACCATCACCCCCCAACCACCATGGCCGACATCCACCAGCACAAACATTGAAGTCGGGGTCGTCCAGAGCCAATACCAGAAGGGTTCTCGGAGATGAAGTTTTCAGCGCGATAGATGAGAATGGCGAGAACGCCGAGAGAAGTACTAAGGCCACAAGCCTCACGAGCGGAAAGAGAAGGGTTCAAGCAACCGTGGAGGACCTCGGCGATGACCCCAATATGAGCGGAGCGCTCCCGGATGACCCGGCGGATTTGATGGCCCAGAGCATTGAAAATCTGGCCCACGTGGGTGGTGCTGTTGGGGGGGATGAAGGGACAGATCCCGACCGTGAGGAGATGTTCCATGACCTTAAACAAGTCGAGGCCGGCGAAGAACCAGACGATGTAGATACGACACGGAACGGCACTCGCGGTGGTCGTCCCGCGACACCGAATAACGCTCGCGATGGTCGTCACAGGATACCGGAGGAGCGTATCCGAGGCGAGGGCCCCAGAAAACGTCATCGAGGTCGGCCCGGTGATCGAACAGCGTCGGCCCGGCGTGATCATCCGCATGCCTCGACTCGACCGCACAAACCTCGATATTCATGGCAAGGTGTTTGGAACTTCCTTTCTAGTGACAAAGCTGGCACTGGTGATACCAGACCCGCGGCATCAAATGCAGGGAATGGTCCCCGAAGCGTGCCCCCTGGCCAGACGCCTCGGGAACCCGTCAGCTCGACTCGTGGAGGGCGAGGGTTCATGCCGACTCAGCACGACAATCGAGAGGCAGAAACTTCGGATCGTGAACGTCGCAAGTCGAAAGAGAAACCTTCAGCTGATAGGCCCCGAGGCCGGACAAGACGGAGCAAGAAACTCCCCGTCGTCATTACCGGCAAAGACCAGCATGGTGCCAATGAAAAGGGTGCGGGACAGCCTATTGAAGGTTAGTTGTTTTATTCGCTCCTCGCATACATACCCTTCTTCTTTATGGTCTAGGAGTTTTGACAAGTGCTAACTAATCTGGCACAATAGATCCCGCTCCGACAACTCCGACATCGACCCCTCAACCGCCCCTTCCCGTCCACTGTGTCGTGTTGATGTTAGGCATAATCTCGTTGGCCTCGATCTGGACCTTCGCGGTGGCGCTTCTCACGTTGTCGATGGAAGCGTCCGGGTTACTGAGTTTCTTTCTCTCTACTGATTTTCGCTGCGGAGTCTTTTCCGCGATTTTCACTTTGCTTGTCGTCAGGATCTCTAATCCGGGTCAACCCCTTTTCCGCGCTTTGGTTGAGATGATGAAGCGGGCCTGTCTTGAATTGATTCAGGGACACGAACATATGAATCCAATTGTCCCCAAGCCAGACTGAATATGAGTGAATTGTTTTGATTGGGTTCAGAAATTGTTGATCCGCGGATATTTGGGTTGTCGAGGCCACGAGATTTGGCCTTTCTTGTATCGTTACTAGGATGAAGAGTCTTCTGCATGATGATTAGAGTGTATCCATTGATGACATGTTTCACCCTGTTTCTCCTACTCAGATATCCGTCCATGTATCACGCCACCGATGAGCATATACGGAAATAGGAAAGTCTCGTCCGACACGAAGGGATGATTGCCAGCTATATGGTGTAAGCATTAGCAACATGGCAGCTCCGATCGGCTATCAGCGCCATCAATTCAGACAAGGTCTGGATCCATCGCGTTTGCTCGATTTTGTACAGTACTGAGTCAATATAAGCCGAAAGGATTTGCCACCGCTAGATATTATTGGGCTCGTGAGCGGAGTGAGATGGAAGAGAGGCAGCTGGAACCTTAATTAGTTAGCAGCAGGTTACGCGATGGATACCTACCTATATCCAATTCGTATTTATTGATCCATAATCAGATATGATCGTTAGCACAATTCAAGAGACGATGGCTCATTGTGAGACATTTGATATTCTCAGCTTGGATTGATCAGGTCGGCATCATTGTGAAATGTCAATTCCACTCTGTTATTGGCTCTCTCGACTAACGATTCAGTTGCCCGATTTTCGTTGACGCTGGAGTCGTTTTGAATTTTGATCAATCATCGGTCTGGTGTGCCTCGTGCACAATTTTCAGCCCTGCTGAGGATCATTCCAAATGTCCTCCAGCATCGCATATTCGTCGTGATTCGCGGCGATCGCATGCATATCATCGCTAGCCTGTGGCGGCTCAGGATGCCCCACCAGGACGCCAGCTGCCTAGCTGATGGCATGATAGCAGCCCTACGGCCTCGCTATGGGAGTGGCTGGCGAGAGGTGAGTATCCGAGTAAGTACGTAATTGAGAGTTCGTAGAAATACGTCCGTATCTTGCGAGCATGGACGGACTTTCAACGGCTTCATCCCCACTCTATACGATTCAGCCGGCATGAAAGAGCTGGAATTTCCATTGGCGTGCCAGAACCATCCTGAAATTCCGGATCCTTTGCCCTTGCAGACTTTAGACGCAGCAAGCTGTACTGCTATAGCCATGCAGAGCGACGTTGCAATGTCCGAAATACCGGTAGCGGGTCGAGGGCGGCGGCAAAGGAGCTGCAGGGCTAGCCCTTGAAAGGTCGATTCTTTCCAACGTACGGAGTAAGACTGTAGAACTATAGAACATGTCCAAAGTGGCAAGTCTAAACAGAATAAATCCTTTGACGACCGTTCAGATACGCTCTATGGCTGCCACACCCGATAGTGTCTTCTCTTGTGCTTCTCCAATCTGTTCTATGTTGCCGCCAACTCCATCGATCATCGTGGCACCTCCCCTTTTGCCAACCTAGCAACCGAGCACGTCGCCTGCGTCGTGGGATTCGGTTATTCCGCATCGTCGCTAACTGCAGAACCTCCATGAAATTCGGACTAATTGGACGGCCCCAACAGAAAGCCCCTTTCATCTTTGCCTCTGTGGAACGGAGAGGGGAATGTTCCTGCGCCTCCTTCACCCTGGTCACCACCAATCCACGACCATGGCGCCGCCAGGTAGGGAGGATTCGGCGCCATCTGCAATCTGCATCCTCGCTGAGAGCTGGCTAATCTACGGACGTAAATGACCGCACTTTCTGAAGTCAAACGATGGATCCGCACTCCGCATTAAGTTTGAGGTTGTCGTGAGTGAGCTCCACTTGGTGGTAGACGGACGCCAGCCGGGTCCACGGATCGGGTGGCTGGCAAGCGTCTCGCTGATGCGGGACTGCATCCTCACAAGGCTGGCCAGTAAATACCGCCAGTTTGAGGATGTCAGGGAGGGGACTGACCCAATACAGCCCAGTGCCCAATAAAGTATTCCATTTGTCCTGATCTAGCAAGTTTGGATACGATATCCGGATTGCGGATTGCCCTTTCTTGGTAATAGCAAGGTACTCTTGAAGATGACCGCTGCGTTAAATACCGCCGCTCGTCGGATCCATTTAGTGCTGACCCTGAAGCGAACTCCCCCTCAATGTTTACCGCTTGCTTTATTCTCTATTTCTTTTAAGTTGCTGCTGTTCTTTTAAAAGAGAAGTTCATCGTCTGCACTGTTAATTCATTCATCAAATTCGGTTCTTCGTTCCACGTTTTATCGTCACTGGATAGGAGCTGGGCATTTCTAAAACTATACAACCAGCTCTATCAGGCCCACCAACTGTTAAGGTTAGTCCAAGTCCACATGGTCTAAAACAATTGCTTATATATTCTATTAGCCACTGGAATTCTACGTCGATTGGTTCAGAATCCCAGTCTGACTCGTCTCGATTTTCTAAATTATCATCAAAGCCTGGTCTAACTCCGTTCGGAAGGGGGGGATATCGTCCCTTGTGTCGTTACAATCCACCACGGCACGGCTCGATTGCATCTCCCGATTCCCTGGTCTAGGTCCCTGGAGAACAGAGTCTAGGAGAAGTCTTATTTTAATCTTCGAGTCCGTCCAATGGACTCGAATCACCTACGAGACAACCTCGTCCGCTTAGTCACATCCCGGCCCGTGATCCATTGCCTCATGCCATAGCCGGAGACCCTCGATCCATTCTATTGCCTTTCTCCTACGCCACCATCAGGCGCCAAGGCTCAAGACCCAAACGGGGTTGTGTTAGAGCCTTAGGGGCGCGTCGTAGGACCGATCATCACCTTGGGCTCCTATAACGCTGGGGTATCTACGAGGCAGCACGTGGAGGCATATCGGTTACCCAAGCCGCGGACATAAGTGTCCCTCAATCCGCATCATTAGTGGGTTGGTGCTATTGTTCGGACATCCCGTCATTCACACCGCAAGTCACCAGCCATGCCTCCGGACCGGTCTTCCTTCAAAGCCTTGAACACCCCTCAGGAATCAGTGCCGCAATGGATGGGCTCGTTCGACCTGTCGGCAGCTCCAAACACCGATTTATGGCGGAAACCGCCCTGCCGGGACACCTCCACCGCACCGATTCTGTACACGTCGCTTCGGCACCGTTTCACATCTGCTGAGGTGACGGTGAGCGCTGACCTGGAGTTCGAGTGGGATCAGGCAGGATTAGTGATCTTCGCCGGGGCGCCTCCGGGACGGGAAGAGCGACCCGGAGGGGTGGAAACGGTAATCGTACCTTCGATCCCGGCTACAGAGCGCGATGTGTCATCCTTAGTATCTGCTATTTCCATTGACTCGGATTCTCCGTCCCCACTGTCAACCAGTGGGACTCCACCACCGAGGACACCTGACTCGATGAACTCAGCGACTCTTCAGATAGATCAACTTGTTGATCACGTCCAAGCACCCCCTCCGTACCCTCACGCTGTCCCCGCATCAAAATGGATCAAACTCTCTCTGGAACTCTCCTCCAATGCTCCTCACGCGACCGCTGTCGTCGCCACCCCCGATGGCGCCGACTGGTCTGCCACCACGCTCCCCGGCCAAGGACGATTTGAAAACGGCCCGGCATTTCCTGACAGTACGCGACCGGCCATGTCCGCGACGCCCGCGGTGCCACTACAGCCCTTGACGTCCTTAATGCCAGTATCTTCACCCGTACCAACTCTCGGCCTCCCAGTCCGACATCCAGAGCCATCTCGACGTTCCCATCGCCAGCGCCGCAGAACCGAGCGTCGTAGACACGACGACGGTTACGAGACCTCCGCCCCGCCGCTTTCCGGCCTGACTCCCGATCTCTCCCTCCCCCCCCCCTACCTCCCCCACCTACCACTCGGAGCCATATCACCCACCAACTTCGCCCCCGGACCAATTTCCTCCCCCCCTTACGCTCCCCCATACATCCACATCCCCCGCCCCACGCACCCCGCTGCCCTCCGCCTCAAAATGGAGCGCCTCGGCGACGCGCTCTGGCTCTGGTACCAGCCGCTCCCCGCACCGTCCACGCCATATTGCGATTCCGACCCATCGAATGCGCCCAGTGCGGGCCCGCGCCCTGGCGAGTGGGTGAAGCTGCGGGAGGTGACCTGGTTTTTCTTCGGGGTGGAAGATAAGGTGATTCGGGTGGGGGTGTATGCGAGTCGGCCGGCGAGCGTGGCAGAGCGGATGGGTGGATCGGGTTTGTTTGAGGAGGAGAGGGAGGAAAGAGATGGGGGGGGGATGTTGAAGGTGAGGTTTGATGGGTTGGAGATTTTCTGAAGGGGGGATGAGGAGTTAATGGGGAGACGGATCTTTTGGTGCGAAGATGATCGCCTGGTGTTGTGGTGGGATGGGCACTCTGGTGTCGTTATGAAGTAGATGTCATTGACCGTATTTTCTAGCGATTCTTGGGCTCGTCGTCTACATTTATAGCTTGATGAGTATGTACAGTGTGATGTAGCACGTTTCCTACTATCAATTCAGCATAAGGATATAGTGAGGAGACCACTTGGGCAGACAAATTCACTGAAATGTTTTGGCGAAACTACATTATCGATGCTAGGTAGATAGAGGACATCCAAACAAATAAGCCAGCTCCCCGTGAAGGGACAATGTAACTCTTCCTGACCCAGATTCCGTCCCGCGCTATGTCGTCCTTCTTATCTTCGCCCAACATCTCCGAGCCCACCTTAAGAAAGCCGTAAATCATTCCAGTCATCATGATACCCCCGAGCCCAACAAGCCTCATCGCCCCCGTTTCTCCCATAACCTCAAGAAATCCACCTTCTCTTTCGCGCCAAGCCCAACCCTCTTGACCCTCCCCAACCGCGCTAGATCCTCCCCTACCCGCTCCAGGAAGCGTTCCTGGTCTTTGGACAGCCCGCTTTGCCCGACCAGTAGCCGCTCGCCCGAGTCGCCATTGACTTGCGGCACCACATCACCCTTCATTGGCTTCGCTTGGGCGCTAGACCGACGTGCCGGCGACGTCTCTTCCGCGACGTCTACCCAGCTGGACGATAGGCCTCGTGGAGAAACGGCGGCCCGCATGTCGGCGGGATCGATGGCCGCGCCGATGCGGACGCGTATACAGTGCGTGGGGCGACTGCAAAGCCGCCAGAGCCAGGCAATGCCGGATCGAATTCCGGGCAGAGGAGACGTGATGTCGGGAGGGGTGTACCGCAGGCTTACGGGGAATACCTTCGTTCCCGCCGGTGCCGTCGTTAGAGATGGAGAGAGAGCAAGGATGCCTCGGCCGTTCGATGTGGTGCATTCTGGTAAGACTACAATGATTCGGTCGGGGTGCTTGGCGCGGAGCTGTGCCAGGGTCATGAGGGCGGCTGCATCTTTGTCGGACGGTAAGAGACGTGGAGAGAGGAAGGCGCGGAGTATGGAGGATAGGAGAGACACGGGCCGAACAAGGGGTGTGTTCGGGTAGGACACCGTGAAGATCGGATCGAAGATGGCAGCAAGATATAAGGAGTCAATCGGGGAGGTGAACGAGGACGCGATGATGGTTCCGGGGTGAGGAAGTCGGCTCAAATGTTGTTTTGCTAGCGATCTGCAAACGATGTCAGTGGTGGTTAATTAAGATAAGAGCCATTTACCGCGAATCTAGATGTCATCGCTAAGTTGAGAGGGTGGGATGTTGCACGATCGAGTGGGATATCTGTGTTCCATGAAGCGGATACATGCAACTCTACGGCCTACTCCGACGACAATAGACCTTATCAAAACATATGGCAGGCGGAACGATGTATTGTAAAGGGCGGAAAGACTTGTGGAATCCAGACTTACCCTCGTTTGACCCCATCGATCTGCAAATCAACCCACCATATGCCCGGGATCCCCAATATCAACCATAGAGCGGCCTTCTTCCCAAGCGAGCGTATCGGCAGCCACCCAAAAAAGAGATAATAGGACAGTGCGACGGTCAGGAGTAAGGGTATGCGTATGGTGAACAGGAATATGTGCAACGGTAACGCAAGTGCCGCAGTACTCGTGGTGACGGGGAAGAATGGAGCGATTCCAGATCCTGTGGTGCAGATACCAAGGTTAGTACTACTATCACAAAGCTTGTTCACTGTCTGCTGGACAGAAGATGAAATAAGGCATCGAATACCTCTATCCCGATATTGGGAGAACTTCTCCATGGTGAGTCGCTTCCCTAGTGGTCCATTGGTCAAACACAGAGGCGATACAAGCTAAAGTTTGGATGAAGACTGTGAAGATATCGAGGGACTGTGGATGAAGCCACGAAGGCACACGGTCTCTGAAAAATGCAAAGCAGGCCTTGCCGCCGTAGGTTCCACCGGAAAGAAAGAGCGAAGGTCTATGAATATCCTGGATACAGGAAGAGGAGAGGAGGAATCGCTCAAATGTCCTGGATTGCAAAAACAAGGGCCGGAGTGACGGAGGTTGCACGGGAAAATGTTGGTGCCTGATTGGTGCCTTAACGATGCCTGGCCTGACATGTGAAATGTGGCTGAGGATAGATCGTGGCTGAAGATGATTCACGTGACTGGCACAGACCCTGGTTACGAACCCCTGCAATGTTTACACCTCCAGTAAACAGAACATCGGATTGACTCCGGATTCTGGAATAACCGTTGGTATTACATCTCACTCCTAACATTCGGTTTGTCGCAACCTGTGTTTCTTTGCATCCGATCTTGTATCTATCCATTCCTTCAATGCATTGATGATATAAAGTTCCGCATATTCCGAATCCGCCCGATATGGCCTCAGAGGAGAATGTTGTATGTCTTTCCCCGGGCGCAACTTGAGTCCAGCTAACGGGTTCTTCCCATAGTCGACAATGTCGCGGATTCGTCCTCCCAGCAGAATACCTCCTCCGGGAGCCTCAAGTTCGCTGCACGAGATATCTGAGTCGGAGAATAATATTCGAGCTGCATCCTCTATGCCTCCACCGACGACAAACCTGAAACACCGGCCAATGGGTTGTATGTTCTTGCACTATATTATAGGCCCCCTTGAAGGACAGACATCTCACAAATACACAACCACAGTACCGGAGCCCGATGCTAAGCAGAGAAGAACCCTCGTCGCCCGCGCTGGAGAGATATCACGCCCGAACCTCCCGATGACTACACCCGGTCGCTCTCTGATCAGCCAAACCCGCCCTCCGCAAACTGCCGCTCGTGCTGGTCCCTCCTCTTCATCAGGCCTATCTCGAATGGCCCCTCCAAGCGGTAGGGGAGCCGCCCACAACTTGTCGCAAAGTGTTGGAGCACATTCGCGGTCAGCATCCGTCCAAGGCCACCACCGACCTACGCACTCGAAGCTTCACGCGAGGAACCAGTCGCATCATCTTGGAGCCGGCCGTCCCATGAGCTCGGCAGAATCCCATCCGGCCGCGGAATATCAGGTTCCGCAACGCAAGGGTACGAATCCTGTCTCAGTTACGTTCAACAACTTGGAGAATATTAGTTTTCGCAAGCCCCGCTCAAATTTTTCTCAACCCCGTCACGTCAGCGATTCCACTTCAAGCACTGTTTCCGAGTCGCGTTCTACTTCAACTCAAAGTCAATCAAGCAATCGAGCGCCTTCTCTCAACATGTATCAACAACGCCTTCTATCGTACAGGAGCCAGCCAGTGATACGTCAACCGACCAGTCAAGCTCCACCAGACCAGGACCACTCCACATTGCCATCCGAGGTAGGGACGTCTAACCAGGGTTCACCACATATAGCTCGATGTACTTCCCGGCAGGTCTCGTTAACTTCAGCTTTCGATGGATTGACCCTGGAGGAGCGGGATCGAAGGAAACCGGCCCCGCAGAGGAGAGAATTGACTGGTAAAGCTGCCGCGCAACTAAACCAACCTGAACAGCCAAACTCGCCGCTCAAATCATCCATCCCAATCATGACACCCCAGACATCGCAAAGGCAAATGAGTCCAGGACGCCCTTCAACTCCACTTTCCACACGTCAAAGTCAATCTTCGCTGTCTCAATTCCGTTCTCAATCCCGCGTCGCAAAGCACAAAGCGTCTTCTACCCGTCTCAACTCCAATAGGCCCCTGCAATCTCCATCTCCTTCGAAAAGGCCGGAATTTCTCAGACCAGATTCTAACGTGACTTCTTTCTCTCTTGCAGAATGGGATTTCGAGCGCAAGTTCGAAGACCTCGAGACCATGTTCATGAAGGTCAACACCATGAAAGATCAGATGGAGAGTTCAGCACAGGCCCAGGTCGCGACCAAAGAGGTCATCGAATTGCAGAAAGGACGCAGTAAGTTGTGGATATCGCGATTTGCCAAGGTACCGTTGGCTATGACTGGCAGGGCTAATACATTGATAATCTAGTTTCCGAGCTTACAGCTCATTTAAACGAAGTAAAGACAGACAATTCAACATTAACCGCGAGCTTAAGAGAGGCACAAGGGCAAATATCCTCCCTAAGTCTCGAAATGGAAACCCTAAATCGGCGCCACACCATGGAGCAGGACGACCTAACCCGAATTCACAAGAAAGAAACGGCGGAGCTTTCTGACCACCATCTAAAGGAATTGGCCCGTCTAAGGGATGAAAGCGGCGATCAGGCGGATCAGACTCGCAAGTCCATGGAGCGACAGCTTGAAGCTCTGGAAAGGGATCTTGATGCTGCGCGGCGACAGGCTGAGCAAGATCTGGAGAGACAGCGGAAGTCTGGAAGAGATGCCGTGGAAGAGATCGACGCGAAATGGGAGAAAGAAATGGACCACGCACGGAGAGAATGGCGACAACGAGAAAACGAGTGGTCGACCCAACGAGAGCGACTAGGCAAAGGGCATGACGAAGACCTTGCTCGCCAGGAAACCGAGAAGTCGCTCCTCCGAGCGCAAGTCTCTCAACTCGAACTCGCACTTGACAACGAGCGACGGTCTATGGAACAGCTTCGATCCCGGCTTGTCCACGAACAGGATGCCCGCGAGGCCCTTGAATCTGCCCAATGCTCCCAGCGAGCGAAGATCGATTTCCTCGAATCGAACTCGCAGGCGCAAAGTCATGCCTTCACCGACATGCAGCGTCGTATGGACGAAGCCTTAGAACAAGCGGCGGAATGCGAAGAGAAGCTACGGAAGGAAGAGGCAGTGCGACGCAAGCTCCATAACCTCGTGCAAGAGCTGAAAGGCAATATTCGCGTCTTCTGTAGGGTACGCCCAGCTCTTGAAAACCATGGCGTTGAGGATTCGGCGGCCAAACTCGGCTTCCCGGACGTTGAGGCCGAAGGAAAGGAACTGACGGTGCTGGGGCCCGAGACTAAATCAGCTTTGGGCAACGTCACGGCATCTACGCATGCATTCTCCTTCGACAAAGTGTTCGGACCTGTGGCATCGAATTCCGACGTCTTCGACGAGATTGCTCAGCTAGTCCAGTCCGCACTTGACGGCTACAACGTCTGCATCTTCTGCTACGGCCAGACCGGCTCCGGCAAGACGTTCACCATGTCCTCCCCCGGCGACGGGATGATCCCCCGCGCTGTCGCGCAGATCTGGGAGGAGAAAGAGCGCCTCGCCTCCAAGGGCTGGACCTACGAGCTGACCGGCCAATTCGTCGAAGTCTACAACGAGACACTCAACGATCTCCTCGGCAACCCGGAAGACCTCGACAAGAAGAAGCTGGAAATCCGCCACGATGCCGCGCGGTCCCGAACCACCGTCGAGAACGCCAACGAGGAGCCGCTGGACTCGCCCGACCGCGTCCACGAGATGCTGGCGTCTGCGGTCAAGAACCGCAGCGTCGCGGCGACTAAATCGAATGAGCGGAGTAGTCGCAGCCATTCGGTGTTCATGCTGCGGTTGAAGGGGGTGAACTCGCAGACCGGGGAGCGGTGCGAGGGGGTGTTGAATCTCGTGGATCTAGCCGGGAGCGAGCGTGTAAAGAACTCCGGGGTCGAGGGGGCGAGGTTGAAAGAGACGCAGAATATCAATCGCAGTTTGAGCTGCTTGGGCGATGTCATCGCCGCGCTTGGGAGTCAGGGGAGTGGGAAGGATGGGAAGGAAGCTTTCATTCCGTACCGGAATAGCAAGGTATGTCTATCCCGTTTTGTGCGGCCCAGCGCGACTTTGAAGCTAATGACGGTTCTAGTTGACTTACCTACTGCAATACTCACTCGGAGGCAACTCCAAAACGCTCATGTTTGTGATGGTGAGCCCGATGCAAGACCATCTAGGCGAAACCCTCACCAGCCTGAAATTCGCTACCAAGGTTAGTACGCCTCTCGTCTAAAGTTACCACCCGTTAACCATGTCCTAGGTACATAACACCCACATTGGTACCGCAAGAAAGCAGAGCAAGATAAAAGATTGAGAAGCGTTGGGAACTTTTGTTCGTGTACACTATGACGGTATGGGCGTTGAATGTGAATTTCCGGGTTGGGGGTGGGACATTGTGACGCGGTTTGTCTTTCAACCGCCTGGTGGCACGGAAGGAAGTGTCGTTGTGCTAGGCCCCTTCGACCCAATGAGTTTGGTCGTTCTACGTGTAATGACATTGGAAATGTGTCTTGCGAAAATGCACGATAGATTCCCATCGAGGTTGTCAATTTGATTTATCTCATTCGATGCACAACTGAAGTCGCATGCCACTGTAACACATTATGAGCGAAACACAAGAACAGCAAACCGATTATTCGTCGCAGTTTCTCAGAGGACTTTCTGAAGTTCAGAGCAACGCAGCAGCGAAGAAAGCAAGTAGGCCAAATGTAGAAGCACCGGCGACATTAACTGCGGCCGCGGCACCCGTGAACTGCGGAGGCTTTCCCGTGGCAGTCGGAAGATGGGCCGAAGGCGTTACCGTCGCATTGTTCCCCCCACCGCCCCCCGACGTGCCGTTCGTAACCGGCGGCACGAGCGTGCAGTTGCTGACCCCCAACGAGGAGTTCAGACCGATCGTGAACAAGCCGGACCCGCTCGCGGCGCTCACCAGGACACTGAGCGGGCCGTCGTTGACGAGGTCAAGCGTGAGCGCCGCCACGCCGGCCGCGTTGATGCTGCCTGTTGTGAGCTCGGTTCCGGAGGCGTCGCGGATGCTGCCGTCGAGGGTCTGCTTTTCCAGGGCGGTGATGGTGATGTTGATCTTTTCGCCGGCGGTGCCGGTGTAGGTGAATGTGTTCGGGCCGTTCGAGTTGGAGCTGGCGGCGATGGAAAGGCCGGAGATGAGGATTGAGGAGACGTCGGTGCCGCCGTCGCTCGTGGTTAGTCCGTTGGCGAGAACGGTGCTGATGAACGCTTGTTGGGCGGAGTCGGTATCGACGGTTCGGAAGATCCCACCGGTGTTCAAAATGGCGCTGAGGACCTCGGGGTATGAGGGGGAGGAGCCGCTTGGAGAGAGAAATCCGAACGAGACCTTGATGGATGCATTCCCGGCTCTTTGAATCTCCGTGACGAGCTCGTCAGCGGAAGAGTCTTCACCGTCCGTCAAGACAATGATACCAGTGCGATCAGCAGTAGAACCAGAGTTCTGCTTTGTCAACTCGTCGTAAGCTGCCTTGACACCCTCGGCAATATAGGTGCCACCGCTAGAGTCAATACTACTAAAGCTTGGTCCGGCCCCGGCAGGGTCACCGAGGCCGTAGATGACAGTAGCACTATAGTCGAAGTCCACAACTGTGACGAGATCTGGCTGCTTTCCACCGGTCGCCCCGGCAGCAGTCACCAAGGCACTATTCAAGGTTCTACCAGCAACGACGCGAAGGTCATTTGGGTCGGTATCGAGGTTAGACCCCGACGAGTCAATCACGATACCGATCTTCCGACCTCCATTACCTAAGTTGATTTGGAGGCCTTGGCATGCATCGTTGGGGGAAGTTTGCCGTGCTTGTAGGCTGTTGGAATGGTAGGAAGGGGATGCAAAAGCAGACGAGAACAGCAAAGCTGGAACGATGAAGCGAGAGAATTGTGTCCTGAGCCTAGCGTTAGCACCATATGATACAGAAAATGGTCGTAGGGTCTCACATTTTATATAGCTAAACAGACGTTCGTCACTGTAGTGAACTGTAGCGAATGATGAAACAGAAGGCAACAGAAACCCAAGGGAGTACTGGAAGGAATGAGCTGGACTTTCTAAGATTCCAAACTGTATAGAAAGGAGAGGGTAACCCTCTAGATATACGGTCTGGAGGTTGCAGGTCCTCAATGATTACCCGACTTTGTTGTCAACCTCTCTACTGCCAGGGTCGGGCTGTGTAACATCACGATACCTGAAGAGTGTTTCCGCTCATTTCAGGCCAGCGCCAACAGTATCCAGCAGTATCGCCTAAACAGCTTTGTTTAACTCCCGGAGCGCCGCCCTGCCCTACGTCTGAAGCGAGCAGTCTAGACGGCGAACAGCTGGCACCAAATCATCACCGTTAGGTCGGCCAAGTATCAGTTTAGGCACCCAATAGGGCAAAAAAAGGGACAGACTGGACAAGGAGAGAAACGTCTGCAAGGATACCTGCTGTTCGGACTTGGTGTGCAGAACAGAAAGAAGAGGCTGAATCGGTATTTTAGGAAAATGAAGCAGAAGCTGGGAAATGCCACGAGACGGAAGATGCCGTTCATGAAGTTGAGTCCAGTCTCATCCAGTCGCAAACGGCGAACTGCATGGCGGTCTCGGCCTTTTATTGCTTTGGCTGCAGGTTGCCTTGCTCATCGCAGACATTGGTCGAGGAGTGTTGCACAGTTGGATGGTTTTGACGAGAGCTGAGGAAACGCCATCAAACCGCATGCCCTATCAATGTCACAGCCCTGCCTTGTGTTGGCTAGGAAAACCTACCACCATGAAATGCATATGACCCGGCGACAATTACCATGACAGTGATGTCTGGACTCTGGCGTGGCTGAGATTGAGTGTACGGACGTTGGAGTTGAATGTGAACAGTCCTCCCAGAGTACGGGGACAGCAACATCTTTCCTGGAGCCCAGACATGATAACAATCCCTGATTCCAAAATACATTTCCTTCCCCTATAACTGCAACAACAGTTCATTGCAGCGTCCAGGTTCAGAGGACTTGATTAGGGACATCGTGATGATGAACCTCCAGAGGGCAGAGGGAGTCAAAGTTGAGCATTTGGTCAGACAGCTGAAAGTGGGTTCGGTTCAGTGCACTGCAAATGCCAGTCGTGCAAGTCTGCCAACACATTCGTGTTGACGCGTATCGCAAGAAAACAATGATGATGGGATTTGAAACGTGCATTGTTTAATTCCCATCATGGACATGATCCTGATTCTTGTTTTCATTTCATCTACCCTTGGATTAGACTCAGTTCCCTGTCACGTCACTAATCACTTTCGAAGTGTCGCCTCTCGAGATGGTCTCTAAGCCAGCTGTTTCACAGCCCCTATATGAAAGCATCACACAGCCAGTCGTCCTCCATCGATTGGCAGATTGACGCCGGTTATGAACGAGGCCTCATCGCTTGCCAAAAATACCGCAGCAGCAGCAATATCGGCAGGTTCCGACATCCTCCTGAGCGGAACGCTTTGAGCGAAACGAGCTCGCTCCTCAGGCGTGTCTGGGACCCCCGAAAACATCTCCAGCAGTCCTGTCGCGCCACGGAGGGGGCAGAGTGAATTGATCCTGACGCCCATCGGCCCGTACTCTGCTGCAAGGCCCTGAGTGATCTAAGACACGTTCAGCTTCTCATCTCTAAGGAATGGTTCTCATCGGACGTTTACCGTGTTTACGAAGCCTTTGGTGCCTCCATAGAAGACCTGTCCAGGCCTGACTCTTGTACCAGCAACCGAGGACGTGTTGAGGAACACTCCTTGCTTTCGTTCGACGAAGTATGGCATGACTACGGCTACGCTTTGGTAGATGCTCTTGATGTTGACGTTGATAATCTTGTCAAACTCTTCTTCAGTCACCTCGATGCTTGGCTTCTTCTTATACGTGGTACCGGCATTATTCACCACGATGTCCAGCTTTCCAAATTTTTCTTTGGCGAACTCAAGTGCTTCTTTCCATGATTGCTGGCTGACGCAGTCGAACTCGATAAACACTGCTCTTCCTTGGCCTTCTGAACTCGTCTGTTCGATTTCGGCCTCGACTCGCCTTCCGTTTTCAACTGCGATGTCGGCGATGAGCACATGGGCGCCTTCGTTCGCAAAAGCCTTCGCTATCGCTTCTCCGAACCCTGAACCACCGCCTGTCACGATTGCAACTTTTCCATTTAGTCGACCCATCTTGAATTCTTTTCTCAGCCGTAAAACGTCAAGAGGCCACAGCATTCATGATCCGGGAAATATGTTGTCGTGCGGGGAAGTATATCGCTGCCATGATTGGACGCCGAGGAGTTTCTTCTTGCCTCTCCAAGCTGATTCGATACGAATTTAGCATGAGATTAGCTATGGGATTAGCTGATGACCAAGGGTCATTAACCGCTTCTATTCATTTGCCTTTTGCATATGACTACCCTGCTTTTACATGTAACTTACCGGCGTCTAAATGCCGATAGTAATTGCCTTCAGTTCTGTATATTCCTCCAAGCAATGAGCGCCGCCTTCCCTCCCAACACCGCTCTGTTTGATACCACCGAACGGCATCTCCACGGCACTAACTAGACCCACACTCACTCCAACCATTCCTGTTTCCAGTGCCTCTGCAACGCGCCAAATACGGCTGAAATCAGAGGTATAGAAGTACGACGCTAGACCGGTCGAAGTGCTGTTGGCGTACCTTACGGCCTCCTCTTCCTTCGCAAAAGGAACTAGAATTGCAAGAGGGCCGAATGTTTCCTCATTCGAGAATGCGAGGGATGCAAGGTTGTCCATTCCGGATGGTAAGCTCAGTATGGTCGGCGAAACAAAGTTTGGCCCCCTTGGGCTCTCGTCCGAGAGAAGAACTTTCGCGCCATGTTTCACGGCATCATCCCAGTGCTGCTGGACTTTTGCGAGTCCTTTGCCCGAGTACAATGGACCGTAATTCGTCTTTGGATCCCACACGGAGCCCGAAGTCAAGGCCTCCGGAACTCGTTTCGCCAACCTCTCTGCAAACTCTTGGAAAATCGTCTCGTGCACCAGAATTCGGTTCGCACACACGCAGGTTTGGCCCGACGACCGGAACTTACTGGCAATCAGCCCGTCGACCGCCTGTCCAAGTTTCGCATCTTCAAAGACGATGAACGGCGCGTTCCCGCCTAGCTCCATACTTGTCCGCTTCATCCTTTTCGCGCACTCTCCATTCAAGAACCGGCCAACCGCCGTGCTTCCTGTAAAACTCAGATGCCGCACTTTCGGATTCTCGCATAGTTCCGCTCCAATTTCCGGCGTTCTTTCCGGGCTCACGGTGACAACGTTAAACACACCGGGTGGATATCCTGCCCTTTCCGCCAGTTTCGCAAGAGCGATCGCGCAAAGTGGCGTTTCTGGCGCGGGCTTGCAGACAACAGTGTTCCCCACCGCGATCGCAGCGCCGGCTTTTCGAGCGATCATGGCGATCGGCGAATTCCAAGGGGTGATTGCTGCGACGACGCCCTGCGGCTGGCGAATTGTAATGATCCGGTTGTCAGGTCGCGCGGCAGGTATCGTTTCTCCGCCCACCTGTTCAATCAGGCCGTCGAACCAGTCGAGGTAGTCAGTCCCGTACTTGACGGTCCCCAGGGATTCGGTAAACGGCTTTCCTAGCTCCAGTGTACAGATGGCTGCAAGATCCTCCTTGTTGGCCTTGATAAGGTCGGCCCATTTTCGCAGTAGCGCCCGTCTCTCGCGGGCGGGTTTCCGGCGATACTCGAGAAATGATTCATGGGCTACGCCAATTGCTTCTTGTATTTCCCGGCGGCTGAGATCGGGTACGTGACAGATTGTCTGATCATCTTCAGGGTCTACCTCCCATCATCAGAATCTGCCATCCTTCACGAATGAATTATTCTTACCAAGGACTGCGAAAGACTTCCCTGTACTGGACTCAACCCATTTGCTGCCAATGAAGCATTTGTTGTCTAGCAAGCTCGGATCTTTGAGCTAGAGACTGTAAGCCCATACCACAGTTGCTAGGAAAGAAAGACTGACCTGATACGGGATGGTCTTAAGTAGTACGCTCATGTTTTCCCCGACTTTCGATGATCCGCGAATTCGTGTTGAAGCTATCTGCCGATGCGACGGAGAGCTTCACACCCTTGCCTATATATCTATTCCGAACCCCGCAGCCTCGGTTTTGTCAATTCATGATTGGACTTCCTGTCCCTTGAATATGATGCTAGTGAGCTATTACCGTCTCCACTCAAACTAGTCCTTCATCTCTATTCATCTTCTTCCTATTTTGTTAATAGTTAGCATCCCGTAAAGTGAATCGCGGATTGAAAGCACCAGTCTGGTTAGCGTTCCTGGATGAGATTCAAAATAGCGCCGTATTGTTGAAGATATATCAGGAAGGTCACTGTGGATATGGTACTCTTCATTATTGGCCCTACTACGCAGTTTTCCGCAACTTAACTTTCGAAATCCAAGCTTCACCTACCAAGAACGATTCCGTTGAATACTTGATATACCCCCCTGCCCGACGCAGCGCTCGTTATTGTCTCTAGCAAACCATGAGTCTACCGAAAGTTACTCAAGTCCGCCGCCTTGATGCAGGCTCTATGCACCTCCCCTCTCACCTGTTCATCTCTGAAGCCCCGCCATCGGGTGAGAACGAGCGTCTCAGCCCCTCCATGGCCTGGCTCATAACGCATCCTTCGCAAGGCCACATTCTCTTCGACCTTGGCCTTAACAAAGATACGTCAACCTACCCTCCGGCAGTTCAACATCGCCTGAAGACCGTCATTTCCACAGATGTGTCATTAGACGTCTTCGATAGCCTCAAAGCCAAAGGCGTCGAGCCTGAGGATATCAAGTGGATCATTCTGAGTCATCTGCATTATGACCATACGGGTGTCCCGAAACGGTTCAAGAACGCGAAGGTACTCGTTGGCCCGGGTGCATTGAGCCTTCTTACTGGAGACACGGCATATCCCAAGGACCCAGAGAGCATTTATGATTCAGATTTATTCCTCCCTGGCCAAGCAACCGAGCTCCCGGCTCCCGAAAGCAATCCGCTTGACGAATCCGGCCAACCGTTCTGGGAACGCGTCGGCCCATTCCCGGAAGCTCATAAACTATTCGCGGAGAACTGGATCTACATCGTCAACTCGCCCGGGCATCTAGCAGGCCACATCAATCTTTTCGTGCGGGCGAGCAGTAACAAGTGGGTGTTTCTCGCCGGCGACACATGCCACGATGTGACGATCCTCGATGGAACCTCAGATGTAGCGTTCTACCCCGACCCGTCTGGGAAAGGGATGAAGTGTGCGCATCAGGATAATGAGGAAGCGGAAGTTCACTTGAAAAGAGTCAGGAAGTTCAGAGATATGGGCGTAGAAGTCATATTGTCTCATGACTGGAGATGGATGGATCAGAACGCGGATAGGTTCCAGTGACTGGAGGAAGAGTCTGCCACGGCTATCCCTTCTTCCGTATCGCATTCTGCGGGTTCTCCGTTTCTTGCGAACTGAAGTCATTGAAACCTGAATTGATAAATGAGACGAAAGTCAAATACGCATATATTTACTAGACCGCCATACTGGTCACATATCGAGAATGTGCTGTTTTGCCCAACTTCTACCATTTATGGACCACCTTGAGAATGCTATTCTGAGTTTCTGACGGTATCGTAGATGGTATTGTTGAAGCAATCCCATGACCTCGGCTGTGCCAGCCCTTGTGACATCATATGGTAGTTAAGCGGGCTTGATTTTTACGGTACCTGGATTTGCTTTGAACATTCGATCATTTTGATCGCTTTTAAATATTTTCTTAAAAATGCAACCTATCGTACCTCCGCATTCTTCCATACTGTCGAAATCCGCGGCTATTACTTAGTCACTGCACCTTGTAGATTACATAAGATTACATAAGCCTGGGTGTATATACCCGTCAAGGTAAACTATGTACATAGCTACTTCTGACCGAATTGTTTCCGTGATTGACTGACACGCCAAAACGATCAACACATACCCCGTCATCAAGCGTTACGAGCGAAGTACCTTCAAGTAGAAGCAATTATGACATCCTTTCCCTCCGTCAATCTTCGAACGGCTCTGCTAGTCGCCCCTCTCATCTCCACATCCTGCTCGCTCTGGTTCGCCGCCGACCAACATTTCTTCCTGCAAATCTTCACGCGCCCGGAGTGCCGCGAGCGCAGCAACGTCTTACTCCCGGATTACTTCCGAGCCTTCTTCTCCGCTGGTCTCCCGCGGGTTGTCGGCTTACTAGGCATCACGACGTGGGCCTCAGTCGGGAGTATCTGGCAGGCACGGCCGCTGCTAGAGAGCCACGGATCGTTGAAGTGGTATATGGCGACGGCGGCACTGGCTGTCGGCCACCTGGTGTTTGTGCCAGCGGTGGCGCCGAGGATCCAGGGGATTGCGGAAGGTGGATTTGAGAGGGGGCATGGTGGCGGGCAGAAGTCGAACGTGGATCTGTTGCGGGAATGGTTGAGGATCAATATGGTTAGAACACTGACAACAGATCTGGGTGCTTGGCTGTGTTGTCTGATGGCCGTGTCAAAGACTCTCGGTTGATAGGGAATGCGGGCTAGATCAACATGACACTATGCCCGTATTCAGTCGAAAGTGCTAGCCCTGGCAATTCGATGATAGTTATCTGGTCTAGCTACACTCCGGAAGTTATTTGAAGGTGATAATATTAAGGACGAGAAGCATGCAAAGGGAAGGAAAGGTTTAGTTACATGACTAACTAACTTACTTCAAAATATCGATAGTTAGCCTGCTACATCAGACGATAGGGACTAAGTGGTACAGTACAGTATCAGTGTTCTGCTCCGCTATTCTAGCCCCACCTAACAACAGCTACGATGTCGTGCATCATATCGAGTCAAGCTCGAGAGTCTTCACCACATCAATGCTGACATGACAGAATCCCCAATGGCGGTTCGATGCCCTTCGAAACATGATTCTTTAGATAGCGGGGAGATCGGTTTAATTCCTTGTCAAGACTCCGGTAATAATAATCGATCAATGGGAGAACCTGGCATTGCGACCCCGCGTTTTGAGGGTATATGTAGGACCTCGGGGGCGGGGAACGGGTATGGAGATACGCAGGTCAGTAAAACAGTGCCGGAAATCGCTATGCGAGTTAAACGTTGGATATAACTCTTCCTCGATGAGAAATTTTGTTTAGAATATTCCATATACTCTGGCGACACCCCCGAATAAGGAACTCTCGAATCCAGCCGGGAAAGGGTCATAATCGACATATCCAACATCCAGACTCTAGAGCCATAGCTACGATTGTCCACTATGGCAGATACTACCGGCAGCAATGGGGCAACGAAATCCTACGATATCCCCAAAACATGCAAAGCGGGAGTAGTGAATGACATGGGACCCAACTTCTACGTGACGGTCGAAGAAGTTCCAGTTCCTGAGATCGGTATACCCTCTTCCCTCTCTCCACACTTGTCATAGCAGAGTCTAAAGTTCGCAGCGTCCGACGAAATTCTCCTCAAGATCAACTGCACTGGACTTTGTTACTCCGACATCCACTATATGCTCAACGACTTAGGCACTGAGTTCCCGAACATGGGTGACTTCGGAGTCCGCTCGCCAGGCCACGAGGGAGCAGGTGTAGTAGTCAAGGTTGGAGCAAACGTGTCCAACTATAAGGTTGGGGATCGCGCGGGTATGAAACCATTGATGGACTGTTGTGGGAGCTGTGAGCTGTGTTGGGGAGATATGTAAGGATCAACGATCAACCAACTCTATTCGTTTCATCTGCTGAATCGAACAACAGGGAAACGCACTGCCCGAAAGGCGTCCATGCAGGGTTGATGCGACCAGGTAAGATGCCATCAACTGAGTCCTTAAATACTTGTGAAGTGCAACGGGAACACGAAGAACGGACTTAGAGCAGGTACAAACCTTACTGACGCAACTCTCACTAGGTACCTACCAAGAATATATTGCGTGCCCCGCCAAATATCTCTCTCCCATCCCCGACGGCGTCTCTGACATAGTCGCCGGACCCATCATGTGCAGCGGCTCAACAATGTACCGCTCGCTCACCCGCTCCCCCCTTAAGCCCGGTAACTGGGCGTGTTTCCCCGGCGGCGGTGGCGGCGTGGGGATCCAAGGCGTGCAGCTTGCGAAAGCGATGGGCTTCCGGCCCATTGTCGTCGATACCGGCGCGGAGAAGAAAGACCTCGCCCTTCAAATGGGCGCGGAGCATTTCGTAGATTTCAAGGAAGTCGGGGATGCGGCGGCGGAGGTGGTGAAGCTAACGGATGGACTCGGCGCCCATGGGGTATTTGTAACTGCCCCGTTGGCGTATCAAAACGCGATCCCGATGACAGGAACGCGGCCCGGTGCGGCGGTGATGTGTATCGGCATTCCTCCAGCTCCGGCAGCAGATCTTGGGGCCAACCCTCTAAAGTACATTTTGCAAGGCCTGACCATCAAAGGGACAGTAATCGGGGGCATGGAGGACACACACCAAGCGCTTCTCTTCGCCCAACGTGGTCTCCTTCAGCAGATCTGTGAAGTGTTGCCGATCTCGCGCATGCCAGAGGGCGTGGAGAAGCTAAGGAAAGGACAAGTTGCGGGACGCATTGTGATTGACTTCAACGCATAGGATCAAGGGCAGCTGTAATCGGTTGGGAGATATATAGACACATCGTATGCAAGTCACCCGGACAATTCAGTCGAGCAGACGGAACTCTACTAGCCAATGACAGATATTGGAAAAACTGACGGAAGAAAAAAGACCGATGGTCCACAGGCGAATAGAATATGTAAAAGCCTAAACAATGCCGCGAATGTTCTGATATGACTGAAGGATTGCTGTCACCTACTGTCTGTGCGCCGGACATGGCATTGCGAATTTGCGATGGATGTTCGGACTTCGGGATATAAATGTTGGCAAAGCCGGGATGTATTCGCCGAAATGCCCATTTGGGCCATTTAAATGGTTCTTAGCCACATCCAATCCACCTAGAGCCGATGGCTAACTAGGTTTGTTAATTTCTCTGGTGATCGCGCGTCGGTTCCTAGTACATACGTATGTATTCTAAACCTGCCTCCGCGAATGGATTTTCCCTGCTCCCTGGCAGAAACTCCTGGCTCTAGATCTCACTATCATGCAAACGCGAACCGGTAGGTGAGTACCGTAGCGACTATCAGATCATGTTAGCACTACTCCAAACACTTGGCTATGTTACACCCAATATCACGGCAATCTGTGCCCCAAGGATGAAAAATGCGTCTCTGGATTATCATCGCCCGAGTTCCGACATCAGATCTTAGTGAGTAAACTGACAGACTAAGTTGGACAGCAACTTATATCAGCTAGAGTCACTGAGATATTTTGGCAGCTGAGCTCTTGGGGGTTCCAGCAGCTTCATCAAGCGCCGAGTTCGTTCCATCCCCACACTTGCTCCAGCAATCGTCATCCTCCATCTCACCCTTCACGTGTGATATGCAGCACTTCGAGTTTCGCATCGTAATTCTTCAAATATTTTCTCGGCGCGGAAACACTGGACCATCCGGACGATTTGGATCTTGTGAAAGAGGGGGGATACATTGGTGATTTGTCCACATCGAAATTCCGCTGTTTCGGAACGTCGGAAACGAAACTTGATATCAGCTCCCCGCCTATCAGAAATTCAGCGCATGTCGAAACGAACAGCTTAGCGAAGGAGAATTCCTTTCGCCGGTTCTCCTCACGCTCTTCCGACAGGCTTGCGCCTCGTGATCTCGATCCTTGCTGTCATTCACTTGATTGTTGAATGCAGATGGAGGTTGGAGATGCATTAGTTCGATGAGTGGACCCCGATGTGATGAATTGTGATCAAGCGCCCTTGCGCATTGGCCAGTCGGCTACTGTGCCTGAAAAAGCCGAACTTTCAACATCAAACCTTCGAAACTGCTGCGCTGAACATGTGTCTCCGTGTTCTAGTTTCCGACAGTTGGTTTCTAAGTACCGCTACATCCGGGGTTTCTCATTGAGTCGCCAGGGAAAGGAGTCAAGATAGGTGCGTTATGCATGCCGCCCTGTTCGTGTCATTCCTCTGGTAGTGAATGGTGTGATTCGGTGTATACTGCCAGTCAACGCATTGCTTTCGGCTCACTCCAAGGAGAGTGCAGGAGAGTCCATGTCTACCTTTGTCCGCCAATCGTAGCGATATGGCCATGAAGCTGATGGCAGTGAATGGCCAGCCTCTTGGTGATGATATTCAGTGCCGGGACTTTGATATCCGGTTCCCCCAGATCCCGTCTGGACCGGATATCTGGGTTTTGACATGCGCTTACCTCTTCAGAGCGGAGTTGTTGTTTGGGGGAACATAAATTCCCGTTCTTGCCCATTGTTTGGCCTCTAGCTGAAATCATTCCTTGAAACACATTATCGTCACTCCTTATAGCATTGCTTGGATAACGCTGAATCAAGATGCGTTCCTTAGGATTAGTATTGCTGGCCGCCAGCTCAGTCATGGAAATGGCGCGTGCAAAAGATGTCTTTGCCCATTTCATGGTATGTTCATTGTAGCTACTTTAGAGAGAACGCTTCTGACCATGTGAAGGTGCAAAACTCCTACTCCTACTCCCAGGCGGAATGGGAAACAGAAATATCCAAAGCAAAAGAGACCGGAATTGATGGCTTTGGTAAGATCAAGTGAATGTATCACACTGAACTTACGTTGATTAGTCCATAGCTCTGAACTGGATCCCTCCGTATTGTCAATCTCCCAATCTATCGTGGCAAATGGACCGCATAGCCGATGCTTTCGCTGCCGCGGAAGAACTTGGCTTCAAGCTTTTCCACTCCTTCGATATGGCGTATTACCCGGGCGGGCCTGGGTGCTCGGGAACGGGATGGACGGCAGAACTCATTGCTGACCAACTCAACACCAACAAGGACTCTTCAGCAATGTATAAATGGAACGGCGCGATTCTCGTCTCAACGTATGCAGGAACCAATTACGGAAATGATCTCTTCCGAGGCGTAAAGGACCAGGCTAGATCTCGAGGGTTCGAGGTCAGCATTGCACCTGCCCTTACCGATTTCGCTCAGGACGCCCAACGCATCGCCCCAGATCAATGTGCGCGTAATTTAATTAACCAGTTTCCTGAGATTGATGGCTTCTTCAATTGGCAAGCCTGGCCACTCGATGTCCCAAGCAACTTGACTGCACAGGCAGACGTCGAGTTTAAGGAAGCATTGAAATCCACAGGGCGTACTGGGCCATATATCATGGGTTAGTCTCCGTCTTGCATCGGTGATAGTAACGACTCTAATCAAATCGCAGCTGTCGCACCCTGGCAGTTCAAGGATCTCGGCGGCGACTCGTGGGTCCAGAACTCCGACACTCTGTTTAAATACAGATGGGAAGATGCCATTGATACCGTGAACCCCGATATAATCGAGATCCTCACCTGGAACGACTACGCCGAGTCATCCTATATTGCCGATTTGCCTCCCAAGTCCGAAGACGGTCCAGGTTCTGTCCAGCTCTTCGACCAAGGCAACTATGTCTACGGAATGTCCCATGCCGCGTGGCGCACCATGACCTCCTATTACATCCAGTGGTACAAGACCGGCTCCCGGCCAACCGTCACCTCTGACCACGCCGTTCTGTGGTATCGTCCGTACCCGAAGTCCGCGCAAAGTTCCAGCGGCAACGGCAGTTCCAGCGTCCGAAATAGCGCCGGTCCGCAAGACGCGGTCTTCATCTGGGCCTTGGTATCCAAGCCGTCCACCATCTCGACCTCCGTTGGCGCGAACTACGGAATCCTCTTCGACGTCCATGAAGCGTCGGTTCCGACAATGTATCGCGTCGATTTTCCGCGGGACTTTGTCGTCGATATCCATCCCATGACGGCGGTGCTGCGGGATGGGACCACGGTACAGGCTGCCGACGGGAAAACGCCCATCACTAAAAACCCGACATGGACAAACATGAATGCCGCCGTTGTCGGAGCCGGACCTCTCGTGCTAACTTTTGGCTCCTCTTCGGGTACCAGGCGTGCCATTCCATGGACCGCTTGATCCTCCTGGCTAGTGATTCATATCCTTATCGGGCCTTCGATCATAGATAAGGGTGAGAAACATGAACAAGCCAGTTTGGACTCAAAGAATAGGGACTGGGGATCATGATATGACTGAAATGAGGTATGACTTGGAAAGTCCATTTGAATTGGGTCTATGATATGAACTATGCATTCGAACTTTCGCTGTATATAGAATCGAACTGAATCATCACGACTCTGTACATAGCAAGGATAGAACATACACGCTGGATCGTTCTTCAGTGTCTTAGACCTGTTCTAGGAACCCCATTACGGGATCGAACCAAATAGCAAGTGGGGAATCGGCTTGAATCAATTGTTAAGAGAGAAAACACCCCTGCTTTGAAAAAGATCTGTCGACGTTGAGAGGGACGATGTCGTCGATTCATAGGACACCTGGAGAAACAACATGAAGGCGTAAGTATGGGCATAAGGGGTATATTGACATGATGAACCCGCGAGAATAGATCGCTGCTCTATGAAGATATCGATGTGCTGAACTTCGTTCCGGTATAGATGGCTTAAGGGAGGAAGATCGGACAGTTTGGCCAACCGGCGATGTGGAAGAAGTCATTGGCGGTCTAGACGGATCCCTCCTCGCTCACATAGGCATAGTAGTACGATCGAGAGAGCTTAATCAAATAATAGGACAAGATGATGAATGAGTTAGTTGGATCTCTCCATTTGTGTATTAATATGACTAAAAACTATACGCTCTAGCATAGAGAGCCGAATAACGTGGGACAATACACACTATCATCCTATTGTAAGGATTCCATAGTAGATTTAACATACAGTATGATTCCCTTCCGAACGCCTTGCAAATGCGGATAACCAATCCTTAACTTGTAAATTTCGTCCTCAGAACGCATCAGATCCAACTCGACCTCTAATCTCCCAGAACTGCGCCCACCGCTCTGCACACACATCGGCAACCCAACAGCCAGCGAAATGAACAGCAATATCGCCTACTTGCCAGCCCATGTCCCCATCGCCCTCGGAATAGCCATTGATCGTTCGCTGCTGGATCAAGCCAATGTTTTTGCGGATGACGGCATGGTTCTTAACAAGATGTAACTACCACGATGGTTAGTAAAATGCGTATAAGATAACCTAGAGAACAGCGAGTGTATCAACGGGTCCAGCACTCACCAAAGCATCCTGCTCCTTTCCCACCCAGTCCTGCTCCCTCAACAACGGATCCCCCCACATATCCAACAACATCTTACTCCACGCGCTCCTCCGAATCAAAAAGCTTCCCGCATTCAACCCATTCTGATCCTGACTGATCAAAAAATCCATTGTCTGCCAATCCGCCTCCGCGCGCGTCCTCGCCCCGGGGATCGCGCTCCAATTCCCGTATTGCACGAAGTCCGAATCGCTCTTATACGCCCGCCGCAGTGCCGCCTCCGACAGCACCACGTCCTGCATCGTTCGATTCGGCGTCATGATGATGGCGTCCAAGTCCAGCCACCACACCCACTCGACCGCGGGGTTCTTCGCGAACGTCTCCGCGATGGCGGGGAGCTTCGCCCACACGGCGTGCGCGCCGCCGAGGTCGAAGCCGGAGATGTTGACAAACTGGTACACGTAGCCGTGGTGGGCGCAGTATTCGCGGCGGTTGGCGGCCGTCTGCTCGACGATGTTGGGGATGCCGCCGTTGTGGCCCTTGCCGTCGGTGGCGGTCAGGAGGGCAATTTGGCTGGGTTGGGGCCCGGAGGGGTCGAAGGTGACGGGGGCGGAGGGGACGGTGAAGTTGGGTTTGAAGATGTTGGGGTGGGGTACGGTATCGGAGGGAGAAGGGGCCTCGGGGGTCTCGGAGGTTTCGGAGGACGTCGAGGGTGCGGATGGGACTTCGATGGTGGAAGTAGATTCGGGGGCGGTCGTTGACGTGCTTTGATGGTCGTGGACGTTGGTCGCCCACGGGGGATTTGCGACGTTTATCGCAGGCTCACCGTTGGACGAAGATGACGCGGATTCGGCACTACTTGGTTCTCCATATCCGTATTCCGATTCCGGGTCAATCTTCTCCTTCTCGCTCTGGCCAGGAAGGGGGTTTGTCGACGCGGCCGATTCCGCCGAAGGGGGTGGCTGCCCAAATGATGCCCAGTCGCCTGCACTCCATGATCCGACCGACCACGTTGTCGGGCTGTCCGAGCCGCTCGTGCGGAGGAGTTGGAAACTGACGATGAATATCAGGATGACCACCGCAACGGCGGCATAACTGCGGAAAGGGTTCTGTTAGTGAGTGTCCACCTTCGGCAACTCAAGGCGTGGTATATTGATCGTCTCGTTTTGTGGGGTATATAGGATCGCAACTTACTTGCGTGCCAGTCGCGACGGCATTTGTTCCGACCTAGGGTCACCGGAAGCTTATAAGGGTGAATGATCCGAAAGATTCGCGATATCGAAGACGTGAGTATATCGCACCCAAGTGCATAATTCCCGAGCTAGATGTCAAACACAGATGTCAAGCTGTCAAACAGGAAGAACTAAGAAGAGTAACTCCAGAAAGAAAATCTTCGATGCGATGCGATCCCTTGCATCACGTATCGCCTGGTAGCACCAGAGATAAAAGGAGTGACTTTATCGTCCCGTCCCTACTGCAAACCTAGATCTATTACGGAGTAGCCTCGCTGAAATTACCCGGCGTGCCGGGAAATGTTTCTCGCCAGTCGCCACTGATCCTAGCCCGGCAATCAAGCCGGTTTATTTGTGGCGCTATCAGCCCAGTCAGCTATCCAACACGATGCCCATTAGCCTTAAACGTGAAAGCTTTCTACGTTGTCGCGCTGTAATAAGATTGATTCCCGGGTTCAAGTAATATGCCCTTTCTTCTTGAGATAGGGTTTGGATTGTTGAACTCATTCAAGTTGAGGAGAGAGGACTGGTTACCCCATCAATGCGGTACCACCCGCCATGATGGACCCCTTGGATTAAGCAATCAGTCATCAGATTTATGGGGTCAGCCAGCCAGGTTCCTAGTCATATCACACTTCAGCTGGGAGGCGGGAACTAATATTTCCACCCCCGTTCTATGTATTATTAGCCCTATCCCTTGTACACGGGATTCTCGGGATATCAACTTCCTCCTCGCTTTATCTGAAACTTTGATCGCAATCTGATGCTTTATTGCTCTGACTACTGACATCATAACCGGTGAGATGAAAAGAGTATGAGAAAATTCAAGTTGCTGCCGTCGTCTCTTATGTCCCCTTCCGAGTTCTGAATGCACTTGTACGAGGGTACTATGTATCGTGTCACAGTCGTTCATCCGTCTTGGTCTGCTTCAATGACGTGGTTTCTTGATGCTCTGCCTGCCGTCTTCTACGAATGCTCTCGAGTTTTCCTATCATGTCACAGTTATTGATTCAGATTCATCGTACTTTGTCCTTTCAACAGGTCGTATGCTTCCCAGAGATCCATCTTGGAATCTGTATCAGTGTGCAATGAAGGCATCTGAAGCAGACAGGTCGATTTTGGGATAACAGTTCCGTCTTGAGAAGATTTCATATTAGTTGCGTAGCTCGAATCATCAGAAATGGCTCGCTGTGGTGACACGGTGAAGCAATGGCATCGCCTTCGGATGCTGGGTCGGTGGTACTGAGATGCAGGCGTCCCATCACCGGAGGTATGCGGCGACATTGTGAGAAACTTCATATCTGTATTAGCCCGCTGAAAGACCAATTCTTGACTCTTCACTTTACTTGACGAACTTCGGGGCATGGCTGGATATGTTACACGTAATCCGAACAATTTCCTTCCTGATGAACTCCCTCGACCTGCCCTTCCCACACTCAGGTGCGCCGGCATCCGGTAGAACCGTAAGAAGAGTATGGGCTTAGAAAAGGCGGTACCGTTCCTCGCCTATGACCATTTTAAGGAAACGCTCATGGCGCGTATGGAAGAGTTGCGGTTCATCGTGAATGGCGAGTCGGATGCTCATGATGAAGACGATGAGTCCCCCTCCACTGTGGCGATCTTAGCGGACCATGCGGTGAGTATGAGCAGCGAGGACGAGAATGGATTCATAAAGGAAAGAAAGGGACGCAGATACATCGGGCAAAGTTGGCGAGAATTCGCGGTTGATGAAATATTCCTATAAGGAGCTTCGAGGGTGTATGCAGGTGCAGGGGCGCTTGGCTGCACATGTGTTCAGGACGTTCAGGGACAAGTGGAGGGGGCTTCGGAGGGCGTGGGGAAGTAGTCAGCGAGGGAGTTTTGTAGTGGAAGGGTGGGAAATCAGGAGGGCGAGTTGGGAGGGGCGAAAAGTTGGGAATTTGGGAACAGCTCGGGACTTCAAAGGGGGAATGACCTAGCGATTGAGCATCACATACAATACTCTTTCAGCATCGCTGAACAATCCGAACAATAATAAGTAATGACTATTCATCCATTCATCCATCTCCTATTGAGGTCTAGGCCGTGACAATCGCTTGATTTTAACCGCACTGATGCAGACCGCACTTCCCATGAACTCCCACCCAACCGAAATGATGTCGCTAGCCCATATTTATATTCTATATGCAATCATCATAGAATCGTTCTCAGATTAGACAATATTCTCCGTCGAGTCTCCCCGCCCCGATACCGCCACCCCAATCGTCCTCTCCCCGGACCTCGCACTACTCTCACTCCGCCCATCCACCTCCACTTCCCGCCGCTGCTCCGTCCGGACTTGGATCCCCTGCAACGCGATATTGTCCTGGCTGTCGTCCACGCCGCCGACGATCTTGGTCGTGACGCAGGGGCCTTGCGAGCGCAGTTTCGTCAGTCCGTTCTCGTCGTGCCAGATCTGACCGTTCTCGCCGTGGATGCTGAGGCGTTGCGAACGGAGGTTTTGGGAGACGGCGGCCGGGGTGGTGGCGTCGCCATCGCCGACGCTGCGGTTTTTGCTGTATCCGCTCGTATTGCGTGTTGAGTCGATGGATGTGATCCAGTGGAGGACGATGGCGGTGAATAGGACTATCAAGAGTTAGAATCCATGGGAATTAGTGACTGCGGAGAGTTACCATCTGCATTGCATAGCATGAGGCAGATCCAACCCGGCTCTCCGTTCAACAGCATTAGGACTGTTAAATTGGCAACGCTGGATATCAGCGTTGCGCAACTGCCGATGAATGTACGGAGCGCCATGATGCGGAGAGAATGATTCGTATCATGTTTGTACGAATAAAGTCCTGTAAGGGTCGTCAGTCTAATTCAAGTAGGGGCATTAAACACTAAACCGTACTTCGAAGCGGGATAAGGAAAAGGATGGTAAGGTAGACCTATAGTCGAAGAATTAGCAATGGTAAGTATTTCTTGAGGGAGCGACTGACGTTGACAATCACATCGAATGTTATCAAAGGAATCATGGCCGCTTTTTTCATTCCAATGATGCATTGTCCACCGTCGTCGATATATGCAATCCGGCTGGTAGATGTTAGTATTGATCAATTGGGGATGGTTGTGAATTCTTACAATACGAAGTTTAGGACGATGATAATCAAGTAAGGACCTTCAAGCTGTCAGTACTCGCACTCTCCGAGCAGTCACTAGTCCTTACACATCATGCCAAAGAAGTTTATCTTCCATAGTCGGTCCTTCAGTCGAGGTTTCCGACTGCCTCGGATGATATACTTCGTCATTGTTAGTGAATGTCCATTAGTCTGGGTTCGATTATAGCTCACGGCTTTTTCGACGAGGAAGTAGTACACCATGACCTTTGTCGTGACATAGCAAATGAGGCCTGCCAGTGTCAGCCCGTCGTTTGAATGCTGAATGAGATGCCAATACATAGGATGATGGCTCCTTCACATATCTGAGGGGAAGTGTTTATCCCCAGACCTTTCGCCACCAGAGCCGTGAACACGACGAACGTATATGAATCAAGGTATATTAGGAACACCACTGCAGCACTGGGTTAGCGGACCATTGCTCTGGTCTCCGAGAGAAGGAGATCGCATACGCCAGCCGTTGATGGGTAATTTCTTCCATGATCGTATCGATTGGACTCGGCGAGCTGAACCGCGCTGTTAGATCGGAAATTCCTCAATGGTACGGTTCGATGCGATCTCCTCACTTAAACAGAATACCAACACTGAGAGGGTGGCCAAAGTCAGAAAGATAGTGACTATTTCTCCAGCTATAGGCACCAGAGCTGGCTCATATGTCCCAGCCGCCTGGCCCTTCATGATGACTTCCCACGCTTCCACCTAGTGACGCTAGAAACAATGACTGCAGTAGTGGACAGAAAAGCCGCAAAAATTTCGATCAACGACAAGTGAAGTCCAATGACAAGGCTTCTGTGGAACGACTTCGTCGAAGGGATGAGGTGTCCGGGAATGCAGAGCAGCGAATTATCTATACTATGGCCCAGGAGCGCAGAGACTTGGTTTTGTGTCTCTAAGGCATTGCACCGCGCAGCAGAACCCGTGCCACTCTCCAACTCGACCACCTGCACGAAGATATGGACGAGGCGCGAAGTCGTGTAATGCCCGGTTTCTGTCCATCGCAGCTCCGCACGCCAGCCGAGCCTGGGCCCGCGTCGTCCCCCATCCGCCCACATCGCACATCATCAAGCCACACCCTCCGAGATTGGAAGCTCCGTGCGAATGGGAGGTTGGGACGGGATCGTTCGACGATGCGAGTCCATTGGTCGCGGAAGCGTAGGTATCTACACCCGCCGACTCCAACAATCGCCCGCCTGCAGATGGTGGGCGACGGATGGCAGGACCACCCAATATTGGTGGCGGCACGCCACCTGATCAGACGAGGTCCTTGTCCGACGTGTGCGACCTATCCTACGTCAATTTCGCATTCTTCTATTGCGGCGAGATAAATGCGGTCAACATCTATTACGGGACGCGGTCGGCGCAAGGAGGGTCGATCCAGATCGGATGGACGCTGGGGCGTGTCGCGGTCCTTGCATTCCCGACACCAGGATCCAGAATTAGATGGAATCGGTTTCCAGGAGATCTTACCCTCCTCAGCCCTTTGCTTCTGCGGGAAGTTTGAAGGACGGTAGTCGGTAAGGGAGGGAACCCGCGGAGCAAGGGTTGCTATGGATCCTCTCGCTGACTTGCAGATTCTGTGCATCGAGGTGAAGTGTCACTTCGTATCGTCCCGGCGGCGGCCAATGGCCAGGATCGATCGCATTCCAGGCTGACGAGGGGCGTCATGATCCCAACCTCCAATTGCGAGCACTTCTGTTTTGGCAGGCAACTCTGCATCTATCCGTCTTTTAGGGTAATTTGTACAACCTCATCGCAGCGACGAGCCGGTTTTTCCTGTCCGCATTGGTGGCACCGAACACTCAAAATGCCAAACTTGCTGCTGTTTGTTAGCCTGGGTGCGGGATGATGGGGTATTCCTAATATTTAGCGTTGAAACCGGGATGGAAGTGGGGATTAGTGCGTACCGTCCGTCTAGGAGGAATCGTCTGGCCAGTGAATATGATGCATCTGTAAATATTATTACTCTGTAGCTTCTAGATGGTGTGATTGGATGCTTACTGTTATCTCGTGGCTGTCTTACTTTTTTGTCGGGTCTTAAAGCTCCGAGCATGAGTATCAAACTGTTACCCAGGCTGGGCCAGGCAGGTTGGTGTTGATCGACGGAGGCACAGACAGCTCAACGGCGTGAGGTCTAGGTCTGATCGGCAGCTCTGCAGGGGAGATAGTGGCTGGATGGGGAGGATATGGGAATTGTGCAAACTGGACTAATCGATAAACTAGAATTACCAGGTAGTCCTGTCTTGCAATACGGTACTTGTCCCTTTCGCCGGACATTATGATGTTCCTTCAGTTCCCAGTCTCCCCCTATCAGTATAGCGTCGTTTGCTTCATCTCCTCCTGCCTGAACAGATGCTCACCCCGTAGTCTGTCCTTGAACGAAGTCACCGAATCATCCAACCAGTCCTCTGCATTTTGAATTTCATATTTCTTGTACGTCCACGGGGCATTCTATCTTGATATCAAGGTCCACAAACAAATAGCGAATTTCCGAAAAGTAACACCGGGATGCACGCCATACGACCATGCGGAAGAAAAGAGGTCGAAATAAACTTCCAGCCATGCCATCCATAGACCATAACTCGTCACCACCTTGACTCCGAGACGTATCCAACGGGGATTTGACTTCCAACGAACATAACCAATGAGATCGAGAAAGAAAGGAAAATAGCGATGCACGACGAACGGCCGGTGCAAGGCAAGCAACGCATTGCTCCGTCGCTCATCTAAACACCCCCCTCCGCCCAGCCGGGGCCGACTTCACCCCCCTTGCCAAAAACGGACTCGGCATCTCATCCACCTCCGGATCCCACACCACCACATCACTCAACGCCGCACCCCTCTTCTCCCACTCCCCCTCCGCCACAGGCACAGGCGCCCCCCGCGCCTGCGACAACTCCACCAGTGTGCGGCCCTGAATGATATTATTCCGCATCGCCGCCTTCAGCATCTCGTCGTTCCCCTTCTTGCTCTTGAACCCGTGCGCCCCGTCGTTCTCTGTCAGCGGCTTGCGCGTCGGGGAGGTCACCACGCTGCGCGGACGGGCGCGGGAGGGGCTGACGGGTTGCGCGGTGCCGGGGCGGCGGGTGGGAGAGGCGGCGATGACGGGGACGGCGCTGACGGGGCGCTTGAGTTGGGAGGCGTTCACGAGTGTGGTCTCGCTGCTGTTCGAGCCGGAGCTGCTGCCGGACTTCGCGGCGTGGAGGTTGGGTGCGCTGCCGAGGCGGCCCTTGGTGAGGCCGGTGCGAGTGCGAGGTTGGATGGTGGGGCGGGAGGTGGCTTTGGGGAATTTGAAGGGGTCACCGAGTTTGGTGCGGGTTGGGGAGGGGAAGTCATCATTGTTGTCGAGGTCGAGGGGGAGGTCGACGTCCGAGTCATCGGAGGCTTCGAGGGTAGGGGAGGGGAGGGTGGTGGTGGTGTTCGTCCATTTCTCTCTCACGGCGTGGGCGGCGGCTTGAGCGAAGATGTTGCGAGGAGGGGGAAGGTTAGAGGCGTGGATGTTGTTGCTGTGGGCTTGGTTACGGCGAGGTGATAAACTGAGGCAGGCAATGGACATCGGGGATGGATCTGCCATGGTGACGTCCATTGGTGAGTCTTGCACTCTCGAAGTTGCGATCATCGTCTGCGCTCGGCCGAATGGAGTACGGGCAACTCGCTTTGCAGGTTTGATCAATTTATTCTTCTCCTGCAGGGGCGACTCGAATGGGAGGTTGATATCTGGCTGGACTCCTGGTTTCGGATCGCTCGAGATATCCATATTTGACGGCGGCGTTGACGATCGGCCGAATTGCGTTGCAGTGAATGGGTCGTGAGCCGTCTCTCCGGACAGACGTCGCACTTCGGCTTGCATTTGAGCGGTCCGCATCTCAATTTCAAACCGTGCCTTTTCTTGGACGGCGGTCTCGAATTGAGCCTGTAGGTCCTGGAGACGGAGCTGAGCCATCATCTCAATCTCGCGAGCGTGCTCTAACTTGCATCGAAGCTCACACTCATGTTTAGTCCGCATCTCCGCTTCTCGTCGAGCATTTTCTCTCTCAGACGCACCTGCGGCCTCTTGAACCGCAATTCTCTGATTTAGCTGCTCTTCTCGTTTCTGCAGCTCCGCGGCCCACTCCACGATTGCCTGCTCTTTCCTCATCAGCTTGATCCTCGGATGATTCAACAACTCCATGGTCGATGGACGATCATTGGGGTTTCTCTTCAAACACCGGAAGATGACTTCTTGCAGCTCGTCGCTATACTGCTGTGGTATCCGCCTGAAGTTGCATTTCTTGATCTTCTCGATCAGGTCCAACTGGGTCATGGCATTGAATGGGGGCTCGCGAGCGCAGAGCTCGTAGATGATGCAGCCGAGGGACCAGACGTCCGAGGATGCCTGGTAGTTCTCGCCACAGCAGATCTCAGGAGACATGTAGAACGGCGTGCCAACGTAGGTCTGGGCGAATTTCGCGTTTCCGAGGACTTTGGAGAGGCCGAAGTCGCCCAGCTTGACGGAATTGTTGTTGTCCAAGAATACTGTTAGTCGCGGTCAGTGAGTTGGACACAACACTTGTTAGCACAGTCGCTTACCATTCTCTGGTTTCAGATCCCGATGAAGAATCTTGGTCCCCTTTGTTGGATCTGCGTCCTTGGACAATCCCAGTGACCTCAGCTTCACATCGGGCGGCGATTCCCCCGAATGACAACGGTAGAGTGCGGTGACCAATTGGGACAAGATACTCCAGACAAAATCCTCGGATGCGAAGTCTCTCCTGGTCTTCAGGCGCTTGATATACTGGCCGAGATCGCCGTTGCCGCAGTACTCCATATAGATGTAAACGTCCAGAGTATTTTTGAGGTGCTCGCGTTCGTAATAGGCAACGATGTTGGGATGTCGGACGTCCTTGAGGATTTGCATCTCCGCTAGAAGCTGGCTCTTCTCCTTCTCGTTCATCTTGATGTAGCTGATTTCTTTCCGACATAGGATCTGCATCATTCATCAGTTGCGTCCCTCGATTGAGCATGCAATATTCGGATGGTGTAGACATACTAGGCCGTCCGACTTCCGCCTGACCTTCTGGATGACACCGAATGATCCATGGCCTACACATTGTAAGCATACATCCCATCCATCAGACGAGACGAGACAACGTACCGATCTTCTCCAGAACCTCATATTTCTCGCTATCTGCCATGATGAAGGGAAGTGACAATGCAAAAGGAGAATGTAATTGTTGAGGAGAATAATTCGTCTAAGACCAAAGCATGCTAAAAAGGCATGTTAGTTCGGATCGTGCTGAGATGTGGAATGAATGCAATGGTGAGGTACATGAGGGATAGGATGGACATGGCTGCATTCAATGTTTACTGTTTGCAGGGGTCTGTCGCCAGCGCAACAACAGGATGGCGGCCTTGGTGCCTAATTGCCTGATGTTTCAGTCTTGCAAGGATTACATCATCATCAGGGACCCTGGATGCCTGACTGCCCCACGTTTTGGCCTTAGAGATTCGACTTGATCACCCCACGACACTGAGCCAGACTACATGTATCGAGTTCCGTCTATATTTCTAGTTGAAAGTGACCACAAAGTCTTGAGTATAAAGTCTTGGGTGGAAATATCAATATAAATCCGAAATGTTCTTGAAGAAGCATGATTTCACAGCTGCTCTCCACAGAAAATGAGGATGTCTCTGCAGGGAAATTGAGAGACGACAATCCTCTCGACGAAAGCGAGAGTTTCCATGAATTATGTGAAGCATGTCGGAGAGGCGATCTGAAGATTTGCCAGGAGAAAATATTAGAGGGCGTGAATATCAATGGCAGAGACAGCTATGACTACACTCCGTTGATTCTGGTAAGCGAAATCGGCGGTTTTGGTTCCAATATCAAATACTAATATTGTGCTCCAAGGCGAGTCTTTGCGGCCATTACGAAGTGGCCCACTTGCTTCTTGAGTCTGGTGCGATTTGTGAGCGCGATACGCACCAGGGTGAGCGATGTCTCCACAATGCGCTGAACGACCGAATACGAAATCTCCTCCGTTCCTACCATTTCTCGAAATCCACCGATCCACTGCAACCGTTCGCCGCGCACGTCACCTCGCTCCTCTCACGCGACACCCCGCGTACGTCGGACATTACCCTGGTCTGCACGGATTGTACGTTCCGACTGCACAAGCTCGTGCTCGCCGCTCGGTCGCCTTACTTCGCCGAGACGTTCGCCGCGGCGCCGGAGACGGTCTCGTGGCGGCTGCCAAACACCATCCCGTCGCGGTCGCTGGAGATTGCGGTGCGGTATCTGTACTTTGGTGATGTGGCGGCGGACCTGGGCGATGGCGAGGAAGAGCAGAAAATCTTGACGGGGGTGGAGAAACTCAGCCAGCTATTTCAGACCGAGTCCCTCTTCGAGAGTATCATGGAACGAGATCTACGGTTCGTGCGGCAACGACGGACGGATGACCTGGCGCTGGGTCGCCAGCGGTTTGAAGTCTGGTTGAATGATAGTGTGCTAGCGAACAAGGTCGAGGTCGAGACGTCGAGGGCGAAAGACGTTCGGTGGGGTAGGAACAATAAAGTATTCGCAGATGTCCTGCTTCAGGCGGATGAGCTAGTGGAAGAGGAGGACAACGATTTAGAATCATATTCGGGTACAACCACTCCACGGATACGCAACACAGAGGGGTCGTTAAACGGCATCCCAGTCGGTCCGGTATCCCCATCAAAACGACCACGAAGATCCATATTGTACCCCGTTCACAAAGCCATGCTCATCCGCGCCGAATACTTCCTTATCATGTTCTCGTCCGGCTTCAAAGAAGCACAAGAGACGGAGCACCTGCAGATCATTTCGGTGGATTTTCCCCCTGACGTCCTGGAGATTGTGCTTGCGTTTTTGTACAGTGAAAAGGCCGACATCCCCCTGTCTCTCGCCGTCGACGTGCTGTGGGCCGCCGACCAGCTCTTCATCGACAAGCTGAAGAACAAGACGGCGGTGATCATCAGCACGTTGGGGAGCGGTGATGCGGTCACGGGGAAGGCGGAGAAACGTCGCCGTGCTGACGAGGATGATGGGGTCATAGATATTTACGAGGTTATTCGCGCGGGATGGGATACCCGCGTCCCTCAATTAGAAGAGTTTGGAGCTAGATATTTGGCGTATAGACTAGAGCGCCATATTGACACGGAGGAGTTTGCGGAAATGGTTCAGGACTCGGCGGCGAGGATCCAGTCGAGGCAGGAGACCGATACGGTTGAACTGATTGACGAGTAAGTCGGCTCCCGTTCGTGAATGATCAACGCTTACCTTGATAGTATTCGATTCTATCTCTCCGAACGATTCCGCCTACGATTCGAAGAGGCCGGCCTCGAGGAGATGATGGACGATTTAGAGGGATCGGCCGGGGATGCACAGGATGCTACAGAAGGGCAATTCCAAGAGGAACGTGGCATCGATTCCGCAGAGCGATACGCACCATCCGACGCTATTCCGCCGACGCGCGTTGCTGCTAATGGAGTGATCAAGTCGGACGCCCTTGATGGAACGGTGATCAGGACGCTTGACGGGAAAATCGCTGGTGACGAGTTCAGCCAGGAGGCGATGGACTACCGGATCCTGCTGACGAAGCTGGACCAACTACTAGAGAAGTTGGAGCTAGATGCTTGAATGTGAAATGTCCATACGAATACACTAATGCTTTCATGACCGCAGCCATCTTCGCTGCTTCCGATTCACGCGGATGCCTCCATCCAATTTTGCAATATACACATGTCGTGACAACCCTCTCAACATCACAACCTCCCCAACCTACTCCCTTACGACCCCACCGTCCTCTCCACAAACGCCCTCTCCATCGTCCCCACCTCCCTCCGAAACGCCTCCACCTCCTCCCAACAATTCAACGGCCGCCGATCATGCTCCCGCAAACACCGCACCACCGCCGCCTGCGCCGCCTCCACACTCGGATTCACCTCCTCCACCTTCTTCCGCCCAGCCAACTTCGTCCGCAGCGACGCGATCTCCTTTGCGACCACCTCCCGGCCGACGTCCGGCGCGTCGGAGGAGTCGGAGGCGGAGGCGGAGGAGAGCTGGGTGGAGAGCTGGGCAAGGTGGGCGGCGGAGTCAGCTTGGGCTTTTTCGAGCTCGGAGGCGAGGCGGGTTTGGATGTGGAGTTCGAGGGCTTGGTTGCGTATTGAGTCGGACTGTTTTGCGGATGAGCCGGTGGTTCGAAGTTTAGAGAGTAGAGGGCGAGGGGGGAGACTTACCTGGGGGCTTTTTTGGAGGGACTCGACTAGATCATGCGAGAAGCGGACGGGGGAATCGCTGATGAGACAGTGGTTAGCGGTGATGTCGGGACGGTGGGAGACGACTTACGCGGAGAAAACATGTTGGCTCGCATCCGAGGCGGGCTTGGAATTGCCTGCACCCATGCTGGTTATGCGGTGGGATCTGTGGACGAGCTCCGAGAAGATGAGATGGACACGGAGAGTTGTGACGTGCCAATTGCGGAAACTCCAGTGCCGTTGCGCGGTAATTCATGGACGAAGTCGGAAGAATCATGTCTGTCGTCTCCTTCGCCAAGGATCTCGAAAGCTACATATGTGCCTTATGGCCTCAGGTGTCATCAAATCCAATCTTCAGTTTCGCTCCCCCAAAACTCCGGCACAAACCCGACGACTCACTCTGCTCCGATCCCGACTCCAGACATATACTTCGACATCCTCCACCAATTCACCAATTCACCCCCTCTCCTCTCCCTCCCCCCAAAAAATACAATCTCCCTCCTTCGACCGAACCCCCCACGCCCATCACCATGCCTCCACGAATTCCCATGGGCCTCCGGTCCTCCATGACCACATCCCCCCTCCGCACCACCCTCCGCCAGCCATTGCTCCGCCGCCGAGTGCAGACCGACGCCGCGTCCCCGGCGCAAGAGCAGAGCGCGATCATGAAGTGGATGACTGGTCCGATTGGGCCGAAGACGGTGCATTTCTGGTGCGTAGCGGCGATATCAAATCAAAGAGGCATATAAGAATATCAAGCTAACGATGGATATAGGGCGCCGGTGATGAAGGTATGTGAACACCGGGATGGAAACACGCTCGTCTCGTTTTTGGGGGTGAGAGGTGAGGTGAACATGGCTGATTGAGTTATCACAGTGGGCGCTCGTCCTCGCCGGCGTCGCCGACTTCGCTCGACCGGCGGAGAACCTTTCCCTCACGCAGAACGCGGCGTTGATGGCGACCGGAGCGATCTGGACGCGCTGGTGTCTGATCATCAGGCCGAAGAACTACTTGTGCGTGCCCCTTCTTTCCCTGTCCGATTCCAGACAAAACCCTCTCGGGGGTGGGTTCACGGTGGAGTATACGACGGACTGACTGGTTATCTACAGCCTCGCGGCCGTCAATGCGTTCCTGTTCCTCGTCGGCACCACCCAGGTAACGCGGATCTTGATCTACGAGCAGTCGCAGAAGAAGAAGACGGGGATGGAGAAGGTGGAGGATGCGGTGAAGGAGGAGGCCGTGGCGATCAAAGAGGGGGTGTCGAGCTCGAAATAATGAGATCGTGCAGGCCAGAATGGCGGACTTTTGTGATTACCTATTTTGGGGGGGCAGAACCGTTGGATGATGTGTCGATACACTGTGTTGATACACCGACGCTCGTCCTTGGATTAGAAGGGGGAGTTTTAGGTGTCTAGGGCCAGAGACGGCGATTTTTGGAATGAATTCAAGCAACTGGATCAAGCAAATGCCCAGCGTTTTATAGACAGATTCGAGATTGCGTTTCCATCTATCGATATGGGTATTACACAGAGGCCCTTCACCCCTCGATCCAGCCCATATTCACAAACCAAAATATTACGCCCCATCAATGCCAACCAGAATGCACCATGACACCACCCGAAACCATCACCCTCCACCCACTCAATCATCCCCCTTAATCCCACAAAAATCTGTCCCAACCCACCAATCCACACTCGCCCAAAACTTCCAATACAAACTCGCATTCCCCCAATCGAACCCCCCGTCCTCCAACCGCGGCACCTCCCCCCCGATCAGATCCTTCCCCACCAACGAGCTCATAATCGGGAGTCGCTGCGCCAGTCGATACCACCGCGACCGCGCCGGCAACAGCGCCTCGGACGCCGGACGGAGGACCGCGCGCTTGGCACCCTCGATACGGGTTTTTGGCGCGGGTTTGGACTTCACGCGGCGGGAGTCGGCGGGGGGCGCCGGCGGGTCGGTGGAGGGTCGTGGTCGGGGGTCGGTCGGGCGCTCGCGGAGCTCGAAGGGCGCGTCGGTCATGAACACGTCGTCCATGGGCGAAGGGTGCGGGTTGAGGTCGACGCCGGTCGCGGTGCCAGAGGCGGCGGTGGATGAGGAGATGGTGTTGGAGGGGGAGATCTGGGTGATGAGGTGGGTGGTTTGCGGGGTGGCGGCGATGGGGAGGTCGGGGACGGTGGGGGGGTGGCCGCGGTAGAGCTCGGCGTGGATGCGGTAGCCGTGGATGGTGTGCGGGGAGTAGTGGCAGGCCCGCTCGGCGGCGTTGCGGGAGTTGAATGTGATTTTGATCCAAGTGTCGCCGCCGCGGTATTGGTTGCGTTTGCGCAGGGCGTCATTGGTTAGTTTGGGGAGCATCTGGGCGCGGCCGACGGTGAGGGAGAGGCTGTATTTCGAGTTCGGTGGGTGGCGGTCGTAGTCCTCGTAGATCATGCCGCTGGAGACGCGCTCGTAGAACTCGATCGCCGCGTATTGAAATTGTGGGGGGAAGCCATATAGAACGACCTCGGTGGGTTCTCCGTTCGTTGGTTGCGTCCTCTCGTGCTGATTCTGAGCCGTTGCACTTTCGACAACCCCAGGAGCTGCCACATTGGTGATCGGTGGTGCAGCCCGTCGATCTCGCGCGGCCATGGTCTGCGCCTTTTTCCGCTCCTTGTCTTTCAGGCTATTGAAGAGGTCGTCCTCGAACTTTTTGTTCTCCTCCTTGAACTTGTCTTCCTTGCTCTTCGCCGGAGTGGTCCGTCGAGTCGTGCTCCGAGCCTTGGACTGGACGGGCTTTCCGAAGGGTCCCCGCTCCTCGGGTATCCGTGGATGGACGCCGTCAGCACTGTATTGAAAGTAATCAGCTCTTGCTCCCTGGTCGGTCTGCCACAGGGCGTTGTAGAAGGGGAAGGAGTAAAGGATTTGGTTGAGGCGCCAATGGCCGGCTCGAGTCTGGTCGTCGGCCATGGCAGGGAGGGTGGAGTGCAGGAATCAGACTACGATAATGAAAGAAAGAGAACAGAGAGGGAAACTTCAAGGTGAAAGAGGAAAGTTTAACATACTCAGCGTACTCATATGCCCAGGGCAGTTTCCGACCGTTCGCATCTGTTGCGCGTTCTGACTCTGGGACAGCATGGACTTGCATGCCCCGGAAATGTGTTGCCATATTGGACAAATGAACAAGCAAATAACACTCTAAAATCCAATGGTGTTATTTCTTGGCGTCTTGATGGAGGATAGCGGTATGCGACAATGTGACGAAGTTGATATTGAAGTTGATATTGAAGATGGTGGTGGAGGACGCGGAATATCGAATTGTTTATTACCAGGCCAACCGCCCGCCACTAAGGAACTTTCACTAAGGAACTCTCATTCACGTGCATCTCCCGCCTTATGAGATATCTCGACCTCCTCCAAGTCTCCCTTTCACGTTACCAACTCCTCCAATGGATATCACCATGTCCTACACCGTTAAACTGGTGGTTTCTCCGACAATATGACTGGTACATTCACCAATGCGCCAGACGTCCCTCTCCACATGGCTCCGGAAGCCCCCAACCGTCTCCGAGCCTCCACCCACCAGCGCCCTCCCCCGAGTCCCTCAAGATGACCCCGCGATCCCTCTCGAACCACTTCCAAAGCCTGGAAACAGCGAGGAAGAGTCCGATAGCCTTAAAAATGAGGCCGGGGATATCCCCGACCGCCTGACGGGCTCACTGGTCCTGAAACCCAGCCAGCGACTCCCGGAGACTGCCTCTCTCGTCCCTCTCACCCGCGACCTCCTGCAGCAATATAAGCGACTGAACTCTCTTCTCCTCCCCATCCCCTACTCCAACACCACCTACGAAGAAACCATCACCGACCCCCTCATCAGCCGCCTCTCCTTCGCCGTCCTCTGGCACGACCCTCCCAAGTCCCGCAACACCTCCACTACCCCCTCCAAACCTCGCATGGTTGGCGCCATCCGCTGTAAACTCCTGCCCGGCAGCCCACCCTCCTCGACCCCCCAAACCCCCCAAGACCTCATCCTCTACATCTCCACCATCGGCGTCCTCTCCCCCTTCCGCCATCACGGCCTCGCCACGCACCTCCTCGACGCCGCGCTGCGCGCCGCGGTGGCGCTGCCGTCGTCCCTAGTAGAGAGGAAGCAGCGGGTGGCCGCGATCCGCGCCCATGTGTGGGAGGCGAACGAGGAGGGACTGGCGTGGTATGCGAAGCGGGGGTTTAAGGTCGTGGGGAGAGAGGAAGGGTATTATCAGCGGCTGAGGCCGAAGGGGGCGGTGGTGGTGCGGAGGGGAGTGGGCCCGGGAGATTTGGTGAGGGGGGTAGGGGGTAGGGAGAAGGTGGAGGGGAGGGAATGTGGATGTTAGGGGGGATATATCAGTGGGAATCCACTGCATGGGGTGATTTAGATGACATGGACGAAAAGGATGAATATCCAACCAGAATGGTTAAACCAAATAAGCATACAATGATAAGCGTTGCCGTTGTCTTAGTTCCTCATACCCGACTCTCATCATATCACATACCACCCTCACCTCAACTCTCCCCCAACCGTCCCGCCACCAAAGCAATCAACGCCGCCCCCACCCCACTCCCATCCTTCGCAATCCCAATCCGTATCCGCCTCTCCCCCTCCTCCCCCACCCCCTCCACCTCATCCAAAGCCGCTCGAATCTCCTCCACGAACCCAGGATAGAACTCCACCAAGCTCCCATCCACCCCAACGTCGATCTCGTCCGTTCCCTCCAACCGCCCCGACTTTAACACCACCCCCGCGATTGCCACCGCCGCCAACCGCGCCGCCCGCCGCCCCACCGCCGCCGCCACCGTCTTCACCGCCGCCGCGTCCCCGGCGCTCGGCGCATGGAGCCCATACTGATTCACGAGCGTCTGCCGAATCGACCCATGCCCCGCGCTATCGTCCGTCTGGCACACACTCAAAAAGTCCGACCCGACCCCCCACGTCTCGAGCAGCTTGCTCCCCTTGTAGATGCTCGTTGTGCTGGATAGCTCATTAGTGCCCGAGTGCGCGGAGGCGAATAGCGCCACCTCCGGGTCCGCGATCATCGCCACTAGTGCCCGGCGGAGGATCTCCCCGAGGAACATCCCCGAGACGCGCTTCTCGAACATTTGAATCCCCGGGTTCACCGACCCGGCGTCGAGTGCGCGGTCGTACGGCGTGTCGGGGAGGACAGTGAGCGCGTTGTCGAAGGAGCCCCACTCGGTGTTGACGATCATGAGCCCCGTCGACGGATCATAACCGGATGTGTCCTTCTTTGCCACGAGCTTCTTCACCGCGTCTAGTCGCTCGACGTACGCGCCGTTCGTCCCCGTGCCAAAGATCGACCCCAGCAACGTTGTCGTCTTCCCTGGCGCCGTGTACGACCGCGCCATCAACGTGCCCACCGTGTCGTTCACTAGCGCCGCCACCCGCACGGGGAGGTGCAGCGCGTCGATCTCGTCCTGCAGCAGCTTACACACATCCTTCCCAATCGCGTCGGGGATGTCGAAGCCTTTGGTCCAGCGGATGAGCGTGCCGCGGTTGATCCCACTCTGCTGCACGGGGAAGCTAAACGTGAACCCCAGGTTGAAGATCTCCTCGTTCTTGTAGCCGGGGGCGCCGGATGCAGATTTGCAGCTGCGGACGCCTTCGTAGTGCTCGCCGTGGTGTTCTTCGAGGAAGAGGCCGATCTGCTGGGCGAGGAAGGCGAAGAGGTCGTGTGCGGCGGGGGCGGTCATGAGGGATTGGGGGATGGGGATCTTGGATTGCGTGAGGGAGAAGGTGCTGTTGCCGTGGAGGCGGATCGAGCAGACGCGGAAGTTGGTGCCGCCGAGGTCGACGGCCATGTACAGGCCCTGTGGAGATCAGTAGATTCTTCGTGTAGGCTGACGGATGTTGATCATACCTTTTCAGTGCCATCGGGGACCGCAGTGACATATGTCGGGATCTGGCTCAGGCTCGTGCCATCTTTCTCCAATCCCTCCTCTGTAGAACCTATTAGCCCTGCCTATCTTCCCTCGGATTGTACTGAGCCACCCATAGTGGGTAGAACGGACACTAAGACTCACCCATTTCCTTCAGAAACTCCTTAACCCCTCGATTCACCTCCACCGCCGGGTACTCGAACTCCGCCGCCACCCGCTTCGCTGCCTCTGCCAACGACATATTCGCTTCTTCCGATCGTCTGTCACTTGCTTTGTAACTGCACGTATGCTCCGTCTCTCGATCTCCGGAATTCGGACACGATCCCTCGATATCAGAACTGTAGTCCCCAACAGGGATCGCTATCTCGCGTAATAACCCCACGCCTCTTTCCCTCTGGCAACGACTCCCGGATCCTCCGTCCGCCGACTCAAACTGCCGTGTCAGCACCTCCGCGTCCCGGGCTCTTTCTTCGCTGAACCTGAATAGCGGTAGGAGAAGATGCGCGGCTACTAAAAGAACAACGACGGCGATGGAGAGAAGCTGCCTGGGGTGTCCGAAAGGCAAAGACGCGCCGACCTGGAGTCGGAATTTCCTGCTCTTCGCGGTGCGGGGTTCTGCGGTCGTTGTGATCGTGGAGAGCGCGCTGCTTAGGTGGAGATTGTCGGTTGAAGGGATGAGAGGTTGTGGTTCGAGGCCGAGAGGTAGGGACGCCAGGGTTGACGCTGGAATTGCTCACGATCTTAGTGGAAGTAAGGTAGTATCGGAGGGAGGTGGAACGGAGGAATAAACTGAATTCAGCCTGAGGTGGGTGGAGGTTAGGTGGTAGTCGAGTGGAGCCAACTCTGAACTGCCAATTCCAGCGAGAATCAACACGAATACACTAGTAAATAGAATGGTCTGATCGGATTAATACGCCTATCTGCTATATTTCCCCGCAATTGAAAATAGCATAAGTTGGAATGACGCTGGGTTCTGCAGGTGGCCCACGGAAATTAGAGAGCTGCGACGGATGACGTCTGGGGGTTACTACGAGTCGCACTGGCTGATTGGAAGACACACATCCGTGGCGTTCAGATGGACCAACATAATGTATTACCTTACTGACCCTCTATACGGTGGTGCATAGGGACAGAAATCATCCGGATATCAGGCAGAGAGATACGGTACCGAACTTCAAGAGGTATTCCCCTAATATCAACGTCGACATCGAGTCCCAGAGCGACCAAGAACGCATCATACGCATGCCAGAAAAGAAAGAACTCATGCCATTACGCTCCCGTTGCCGTGATTGATACCGGTATATATATTTGTATGCATTTGCGTCGCCTTCCGTTCATTGTACACTCAACTCCTCCACTCCCTCTTCGTTTCTGGAGTCAACTGATGCCAGGCGCAATCCATCCATCATCGGCCCCATTTCAGGGATCGTCTATCCCCTCCTCCAATAAATGCCGCTTTTCCACGCATCTCTCGCAGACCATTTTCGCCGCGTGCGTGTGCCATCCTCGCAGAATCCCGTGTCTATGTATACGGTGTGTGAGAGAAGAAGAAGTGTGTGTGTGAGAAGGGTGATTTCCTCCCCATCCGATTCGCCAAAGATCCTCAGTTCCATACCGATCCGAGCAACACCACACCAGTACCAATAAATTAAACCGCACGCTCGGCCGGGACGAGGAGAGGCAAAAACATGGATTCGGAGGGGGCTGTGGGCTGAGATCGGTGCGGTTCTCGTTCGGTGGTGGTCGGTGAGATAGAAGAGTGAGGGAGCGTCAAAGACAAGGAACCACGACGGTGGAGAAACCAACGGACAGATACTCCGTAGCAATGTGTGTGAATCCTAAAATACATCTCGAAGGCAAGGAATCCCTCGGTGGGTGTCGGGAAACGTCGCCAGGTGTCGACGATCGGAGAATCGAGTGGGATGAGGGGATCATGGATTAGGGGATTGTGGATTAGGGGATTGTGGATTAGGGGATTGCCGTGGCATCGGTCCGCATCCAACTGCCTGGTGCCCTTCCTCAGAAAGCCCCAAAAGATGCGATCCACGCCTCGACGTTCGAAACCGTATGCGTGTCCGCGCATGTGATGTCTCGCGTCGACGCAACGAAAAGGGAGGGAGAGAAAAATCAACCGCATGCTTTCCACATAAGAGAAGGAGAAAAAAGTCTATAGTTGTTTTCATTAAAGCCGCGAAGGATGGTGGCGGTGGATCGTGTCCGCGATCCAGATCCGTGCAATGCGTCCCCGCCGCCGTTTCCGCAAAAAAGGAAAAGATCCCATTCGTTATGTAGGTGGTGTCATGACGCCGAGAAAGGAGAGAGCTGGATGAGTCGTGGGGTGGTGTGGTGTAGGGGGGTTGTGGATTAAGAATTAAAGAAGCCCGACATGCACTGTGCGGGGATGATCGGTCTGCATCAGCACATGATGCCAATCAGGGAGGCGTCCCAGGACCAAATTCCGAGTTAAATGAAGCCCGATAAAGAGAAATGCCGAAGAAGAAAACTTTTTTGATCGTCGTCGTCGGTGGATATCGTAAACGCAGCGCAGGGACGCGGCACCATTTCAAGGAACGGTCCAAAATATCCGTTCGCTCGATCCGCTTCCGGTCGCATGAAAACCCGCTCGAGAGACCCTCTCTGCGTGAGGAAATGGCTTCACCCTCTACTTCATCGGAACGGGCGGCGGCCTCGGGAGGTGCTTCCCGCCTTGATGGTGCGCCAAGCTGCTCGAGCTGCTATTGACCGACGCGTCGCCGCTGTCACCACTCTCCCCGCTACCGCTCGCACTGCCTGTCAGACTGCGCACTTGTGGGCCGTGCTTGGGAGGGTAAAGGGTCGTGCTCACCCCAGCTTGTTGTTCCACCTGATCCGGCGCCACCGCGTTGCCGTGGCCCGGTGGATGGCGCGGCACTGGTTGCTGCATGTTCGGGGGGGAGGGCCGCCCGCCGCGTGGGGCGCCGGGCATGCCGCCGTGAGGTGGGCCGCCGGTGTAGCCGTGGGGAGGAGAGGGACGCCCGCCGGGGCGGGGACCGAAGGAAGGGGGCGCGAGAGGGTTGCCGGGGGATTGGCTGGATCGCCGCATGCTGGAGTTGGGGTGCATCGGCGGTCGCGGCATGTGGTCGGGGTAATGGTATAGGCTCGGGGTGGTCATGGAGTTTGCTCGGGAGGATTGATGGTGCTGCATCCGGACGGAACGGTCGGTGTCGCCGTATCGGTTGCTGGAGATGCCGAGGAGGGAGCTGTCGAGGATCGCATCGCGCGGATTCGGCATCTGGTCCATGATCGTGGCACTGGTGCGGTTCTTGCCAAAGGGAGGCCGGAATCCCATCCGGGAGCCTCCTCGTTGGCGTGGATCCATACCTCTCATGTTTCCCTGGCTTGCGGACTTCCTGTTACGATTCGATGTGATACTCACCATATCCAAGTCCTGATTAGGATTCATCATCGGCCGCGTCGGCCCGTCGATAAAATCGTCGTCCTCTTCATCATCGTATATTGCGCCGTTTATGGAAGCCGGAGGTGGTGGTCTCCGCGGACCGGGTCGGTGTCTTCGCATGTTCATTTCCGCCTCACGAAGAGCTAACTCTCGTTGTCGCAGTGCCAATTCCCGCTCGCGGAGAACCATGTCATTCGGATGGTGTCCATTGGCCTCGCCATCAGGAAGTCCGCCTTCAGGGAGGTTGTCGTACATGACCACATGTGAAAACTCATCCAAATTGCTGTCCTCAAAAGAGGGCCGCCTTGAGAGTTGTGGACCGGGTCCGTAATTGCCATTTGACATACGTGGGCCAGGTCCGTATCCGTTCATCGGACCACCTCTTCGCATGCCTGGAGGACCGCTCATGGGAGGCCGGCCTCTTCCGCCTCGCATGGCACTCATCATGGCGGATGGTGGACCGCCGTTCATGTGTTGTGCACCGTGAGAGGAAATCCGAGGAGGGTGGATAGATCCGGGAGATCCAGGAGTCGCTGTGGCAGCAGGTCCAGCCGGAGGACCTTCCTTGTGTCTTGCTTGATTCTTGATGTTGAGGTCGTACATGACTCCATACAGCGTTTCAACCCGAGGAACCTTGACGTCGACTTCCTGGGCTAGCCTGATCGGAGCTCCAAGATACGTCTCCACTTCCATTGGTCGTCCGTCTTTGAAGTCCAGGTACATAATGCTGTTCTGGTTGGCCTCTATATTCTTCTGGGTCATTGTTTGGATGATTTCATGGCGGTAGCCGGCGGGAAACTGGCAACCTTTTGCTTCAGCAACGGCGATGAGTTCGTCGAGAACGCCTTCGATGATCGCTCGGACGCCGGGCTGTTCCATTAACTCGCCGTAATTGGTGTTTTCGAAGATGACGCTGGCCGGGTGGAAAGCGACGGGACTATGCCGTCATTAGCTACATTCAATCGATGCCCAGTGAGGGGACTGGGAAAGCTTACCCCATCATCGTCTCAAACTGTTGTTGTCGGATATTCGGTGACGTTTTACAGTTGACCTTCCCGGACGTGAGCGTCATAGCAATAGCCGCAGCCATGTCGGTCTGGATGGCCGCAGGGATCTTCGGGTTCCTGTTGGCTGCGCCAACCCAGAGGTCTGTAGCCGATTTGTGTTCGAATTCGGAAGGACCGAGTTGGACGATCTCGGCGGCGGATACTAGCGAAAGGACGACATTCATCGGGAACCGTTGTTCCAAGTATGTCTCGATGCCGAGTGCGTGTGTAGTATTGACGAGGATGCAGGTGTGTTGGACGGAAACGACGGGTGCGATAACTTCGGAGATGTCGTAGTGGTCGGGGAGGGCTTTCACGCAAAGGAGGACATAATCGAATTGTGATCCTCGTGCGGCGGCTTCGGCTGTGGACGATACCACTATAGAGCAGTTAGCATTGAATTGAGAGTTGTTGTGTCGCTGGCATCTTACCTGCATACGGTTTGAACCGTTCATTTCCGAACACCGGTGACCTGGCAATCAATTAGCGGTATAACATCGACGGTGGTGAGCCAGCACATACTTGAATGACACGCCATATTGTTGGACGGTTTCGTACTGGTTCTTCCAGACGAGAGTGACATCGCACATCTGGGTAGCTTGGAGACGCCATGATAGAAAGGCTGACAACGCATTCCCTCCCACTATACAAACTTTGATTAGCAGGTCTTCTTCCATCTTGCCAGGCCACGGTGAAGCGATCGAAGGGAAACGAAGGGAAACGAAGGACAACAAGGAAAACAGGAACGCCGAATTGATAGTGAATTGGGTGTCCTCGACTTTCTATTCTAATGCGCCATTTCCGGTCGGGACTAGGCAGAAGTTTCGAAGGTGTCGAGAGGTGAAAAGGGCCATGGAATGCGTCGAAAGTCTGTCAATCACTTACCGACGAGAACTCGCAGTTGCGGAGGCGTATTGGACGGAGCCATGCCAGGCGAGGACGTCTGACAATGACGCTCCGGCGAGCGTCGAGCAAAAAGGATTTGCGGTCCAAGTATTGGAAGATCTGGCGTTCAATGGTTGGCGATAGTGCCCCGGTTCGGCAGGGAGGTGTTGGCGTGCAGCAAGTCGGCGTCGTAGTGCGTGGTGAAAGACGTCGGCGTCAAGCCCAGTTGAATGTTGAGAGGTTCCGAAATTAAGGGTACTTGGGAACAGGTCGAGTGCAGGTGCAGCCGTTGGTTCAGGTGCAACGAAGGAACGGTTGTGGGTGCGACCGTGGATTGGATGGAACGAAAGTGAGGTTGGATGATCTTCAACGACGGGAACTTTTTTAGGCAGCACGATGGGTGAAAAGTCAACCTCTCAGTTGGCAAGAAATGAGAGTGATCCTGTGGTAGGACGACTGCGAGGGATGAGCAAGAGGAATAGCTCGAGAGAAAGTGAGTTGTCGTACGTAGAGGGGTGCGGAGGTTCGGCTTGTTCCTGGAGGAAGTGGAGAGCAAGCAGGCCCTGTATCTTGAAAGGTCCTGATTTCGGTTGGGGGCCCCAGGAACCAACGATCGCGATTGGATCGAAGGACGATAAGACGGGGTGGCGGAAGATGCAACAGGAGTAGTGTCTGGTGGTGTAATGGTTGCTGTTCTATACAAATTGCAGAGATGTGCAGAGAATCAGATGCAATGTAGTCACCACCAAAACTTGAATCCCATCGAAAAGATTCAAGTCCAGACGGTTTCCAGATGAATTAACTGGCTAGAGCTTCGTCGCAGGAGCCACGGGCCAAAAAAGGTGAATCAACGGGCCGGATGGAGAAAGCGGAAGGGGGTGAAAAGTTGCACTGTTCTCTGCTCCATTCAACCAATTCCAGGCTCAAGCACCAACCACCCGCCACCAGGCGCAGCGATCGCGATTTTGCCGATGCAAGTCAGCAGGCGACGCCCGTGTCGTTGGGTGGGAGGTGCAACAACCACTTGGTTATCACTTATCGTTTCTGTGATGGTCTAGAAAAATAGCGAATGGCCGGAAGAGGTGAATTCGATACCGGCAGCCGAAAAACGAGGGACGGACTGCGGTATGGCTGTTGGAGATTGGATTATTGGAGGTGAATGGGGATGGAAGCAGGCCCAGAACGAGAGGAAATGAATGAACCGAGACCGACCATCCGATCAGAAGATTAATATTGATTGCGATAGTCGGAAGGAGAAGTCCGTAATACACAACGGTGACCACTTTTTTTGTTTCGTGGTGGTTATCCCGCTCTTAAAAACAGCCGCAGCACCGCAAGGAACGCGAGGAGACTGGGCCAGGAAGCCACTCCTTGGCGTCTCGCTGCTTTCTGAATTCTGATCAGTGGTCACTGGTTTGATCCTGGTCTCCTGGAGTCCGCCGTTAGAGTGGAGAGGATTGGGATGGGAAAAGGTTGGGGTGAAACGGGAGAAAGGGCTTTCGTGGGCCGTGGGCGATGGTGGAGTTTACGTGGACCGAAGAACCCTGCGAACGGCTGCCCCCAAACACTGATTTCTGCCACTGACGTTGACCCTTGCGATATCCGATTATTGATGATGTATAGATCATCTAGCGGGAATGGGTTCGTGGCTGTGCGGTTACTGTCCCAACGTTAAGGCACGTTTGTACTAGGGCATTCGATGGTTTGGTGAACGGTGCGGATGAGACATGCAAAGACCAAATGCGTCGGAAAAGTGCCCACGGAGTTGATATGTGGTGGAGATCTCATGGAGGGAGGAATTTCGTATAATCTGCTCGTGACTGCGACTCCTTGAGGCTCGCGATACGGTTTTCGGATAATACGTTAAATCAGGACCGATATCAAACTCGAGATATCCAGTTGAGACAGATCGCAGTCTGATACTGCTCCTTCCTATGCTGGTCAGTCGCCAGGTCACTCTCGACTCGGGCTGGCAATGGAATATCCGGATATCCTCAATCTAGCTGATATCTCCATTCTTCCTACGTTTATATCTTCTACCACCACGACGATGGGAGAGCACTTGTGTCATAGCCTCAACAAGCCGGTCGATGCTGCGGGCAGCCGTGGCTTCGTGCTGTCTTCTCCCTTACACGGCATTCGAAGGAACTACTTTGCAACAATCCACAGACCCAGCGGATGCAGCGAGATAATTATACCATCCAAGCATTCTGGACGGAGTGGTCTAGACCCCGATAGTGAGATCCAAAGTGGTGGGAGTTGGAGACGGAGGATCAAGAGGAAGTGTTGTATACGAAACTTCTGGAAGGGTGACTGGAACAAGCTTCCTTGGAAGACTCTATACGGTCCGTTGACTTCTATGCTACTGCTCAAGTGCTCAACACACACGTAAACCATGCTCGTTGATATAGAGCCTCTGGTCAGGGGCTGCAAAGTGCAATATGAGCCAATATCCATCAATCATCACACCACATGTCCACTCCGCATCTCTGAAACAAACGCTTATACTTCCGTGTCGAAAATGGCTGATTTCCTATCACGTCTTCCGTATACCCAATGACAAAAAGAGAAAGGAACAATGATATCAACCTCTCCTTTCCCCCATCAATATCAAAATCGAACCTTTGAATTCTCCCAACCCCAGCACCACCACCCATCAGTGACGTGTTGGCGCCCGCGCAGTGGATCCTGCTCCGCCTCGCCTAACCACCGGGATCCCCCGTCCCACGGCATCCTCTCACCTCTGCTGCCCGACCCAATCATCGGGGCCAGGAATCCTCTCCTTCGTGCAGGCACAGGCACCACGAGCCGGGGGGGTTCCAACTTCCAAGGCGTCCACGAAATCCTGGCATGTCGCGTTCGCGACGAGCAGGGGAGTCGGTCGTTGCGGAGCGTTTCGAAACACATCAGAATCGGTGCCGAGAATAAAGGAGTTGTTGTAAATAATGCCGAGACGCTGGGCAGATGTTGCTTGACTCGGTTGCTACTTTCTCTGGATGTTTATCAGAATTCAGGGGGGATATGCGTCGCTTTTCTAACGCCGTGGCACGACGTTTCGATGGTTTAGGCATTGGGCGACGACTGCAAGTCTTCCGGCGAGCTGATTGCGTTCTTCGCACCGATTCCGCGTCGCCCTCCCAGGCTCCCACGAACACGTTCTTGCATGCTCCCATCCCGATCAGAAGGTGACTCCGGACTCGAGCATCTCCCCGTCCCGTCCTCCGCTCAACGGTGGGGGAGGACCCTCAAGCGCGTTCGCGTCGGTCACCAAAACATGCGGTGGGTTTGGATTTCACTCTTATTGGAACTGGCAACTTTTGGACGGAGAATTGGACGAGGTTCGCCGGAGTGCAATTTCCGTTGCGCAAGGTTCAAGAACCATGCAGACGGTGGTTGTTGTTGTGCGATCTTGAGACCACGCATCCGGGTCCGACAGGCAGGGAAAAATATTGCGGCATCGTGGATATTGTGCTACGGTGGTCGGACGAGGGGGTGGGCTTTTCGAGGTGGTGCTACGGGTAGTTGGGGAGGTGATTAACCTAAGTTACCTATCTCCAGTCTATCTCTAGTCTATCAAGGACCAAGGTACCGTATGGCGTGTGGTCGTACAGAAACAGGATTTGCTTGGTGGATCGGACTGGTGATTCTCAAGGATGGTCGGTTGGGCCGAGACTTTCTCCTATCTGGGTCCGGTGCTTTTTTCCAGGTTGAGTCCATTGCCATTCAAGTCTTCTCGGCCCTCTCTCCGTACCGAATGCAATGGTTCAACATTGAAAGCTGTTGCTCTAGAATATGCATAATTCGGACACTCGTCGGCCTGACAGGCCAGTCGTCCCATATCAATCGTTCGAGTTCTGCTGATCGACCTCGCGACGGTCCAGGCCCCTGATTCCCGACTCCACGAGATCCACCATAGTCCATAAGTTATTTACAGCAACGGCTCGAAAACCGCTCGCTTCATTTCATTAAGGGATCCAGGATGGAATCGCAAGATTGGCGCCATAAGCCGCCGTTAGATTAGCGGGCGGGATTGAGAGGAAGGGTGGAGATTGATGCCGTCATCAATGATTTGGTTCAGAAAACGACCCGGTTCCAATTCCGCGACCAATTGTCATTAGGCGACAAAGGTGTCAAGGTGTTAATTGTTGAGCTTATGTAAGTCAACGGCAAGACGCGTCCCTGGCCCAAATAAGTAATGACCCTATACCTGAGCCATCACATCACACATGTAGCACTCGATGGAGGTTCCAAAAAGCTGCACATCTTCACCCACAAGTCACAAACCATCTCAACGCCTAATACCATCCCGGACTTGATATTCGAATGAATCGCAAATAGGGCCTGCCCTATCAGGAACAGCCACATTATCAGAAAAGCTAACCATGGACCCCCTGTCACATCGCCATCCCAATCCCCATCGCGTTCGACACGCGATTCTTGATTATTGATTTCCAGAAACTGCACGAGCAGTCAAGCATGCTATCTGCTATGGGCTGTCAGCTGTGGGCTACGGCGATCCCAAAAACCAAACGACAGGCGATGGCGATCATAAAGAGCTGGTGAACCGTGAAAGGCGTCATGATCAGCGATGGCTGAGGAAACCTCCTGAGTCATGAAGTTCTGAAGACCTGAACCAATTTAGCACCCCTGGCGCCGCAGACATCCGGTTTGCATCTGAATGGGGCAATGGGCGAAGAACATTTCTCTCCCAGCGAATCAGCAATGATCCCTGCTGCAAAGCTGTATTTCCATATTTTTCCTCTTGTTTGCGTGAGCTAAGGCTGATCGCACGCCTGCCGACTGGTTGCCCGACCTGGGATTTCTGACTATTGGATATAGTTATGCATGCACGGCGGTGATCAGTTCTGCAACGTGGATTCGTGAGAGCGATGAGGCTGAGACGGACTGAAGCGAATTTGGGAAAAACACGGGCTCGTTCGAACTTTTCCATGCACTTGGCTATGCAGCATATAGATCGGCGCTGCACTAATCTAGATTCTGGAATATAGCTTGCCTATTTGGGCAATGGTGACGATCACTGGGTAATTATCACGATGCTCCGGTATACTATGTACAATCTTGTTTCGTCTTAGTCCTGATCGAGGCCGAACTGATTGACAATTGACACTAGGAAACATATCAACGCTTCCAGGTGGTCGACGGCTTGAAGAACCAGACGCCAGTCTTTCATCTACAATGAAGGAATATACCTAATCATTCTCCCGGAACGACAACATATGAAGACCACAGAGAACTATCTTTGATCCAGAATGAAGGAATATGCCGACACCAGACCTAAACACCTAGAACGACAACATATGAAGACCGCAGGGCGCAGAGGATATCTCCAACATTCCATCAAACAAAGACACATGCGGTCAGACTCTCTCCTGTAGCTGCACGGTTTGCTCCTCGACCCTGACGATTCGCCCCCCTTCTCGTCCGATTGACCTCCTCAACACTAATGATCCGAAGGCAATTGGTCATGATCAAGTTCCCAATCACCCTCAGATTATCGTTGCCCTCCGCAATGATCATGTACTGACCCGCGAGGATGGCATGGTCCTCCACCTGAATCTCATCGTTCCGATCCCCCTCCTCCACGAATTTGAGCGGACTGACGAAGTACCGGTTCGGATCGTTTTGCAGCCCGACTTCGATGACATTGTGCGCCAGCCACGCGCAGCTGATCACCTGGGACCGTCGCGCATGCATCTTCAGCGGCCCGTTGACGTACGGCTCGACTTCGTATTCGAACCAGACGTTCGATGCGACTTTGCCGTTGGCGCCTGGGTAGATGACTTGGGAGATGGGCTCGTCGGACAGTAAGTCAGAATCTTCGACATCCTTTCTTTTGGATTCTGCCTGGGTCAGGAAGCCTTGGATATTCCGCACCGCTCGCCAGAAGTCGTCTTCATACTGCCTTTCCAGAGAGATGATTCGTTTTTCAACGCGCACGGAATAGTAGTTCCTAATCCCGAGTATCTCCGAGTTCTTTCGTTGCATGAGTCTTGAAACCTGGTGTTTATTTATCTTGCGTCCATTCAGCTTGTAGGCGACGGCAAGCTTTATCCCGTTCAGCGTCGCAGTATGCCGTGTCAATCGTCCCGTGGTGGCCAAAGCCTGCAGGCCGGATGTGTCTTTGGGCGCGCGGCCCACGCCTCTGTATCTCACCAGGTTGGTGAGCCTCGAGGAGGTACTACGGCGGACAGAGACAATATGTCGGTTGAAATTTTCAACGAGGACGTTGGCAATATACAGTGCTTCGAACTCCTCCTCGTTGAGTGACTCGTCTCGTACTTCCATGGTCATGGTGCGACCGTTGTCTCCTGGCTCCCGAAGCGGATATTGTCCGGTTTGTAGGGAGGTGATCCTCTCGACGTCGGACGCGGCAACGATGTACGTGTCGCCGTTTGTCATGATCACAGTAAGCTCCGATTGTCCTTGCTCGGGATGAAGCTCGAGGGCGGGAATATCGTTCCCGGTCCGCAAATCACCGCTGAACTGGAGATTATTGAACACGAGGGACGTATTGAACCCCCCCTTGGGCCATTTCACGAGCCATGACGACTGTTGGCGGCCAAGGGTGGCGACGGTGCCCGGCAAGAAGTAGCCTCGCTTCAGCATCTGCTTCACAAAGAAATCCCAATACCAACTCTGGTATTCCGGTCTGGTGTCGGTGAGTGGGAACCCCTCAACTGCAGGGACGATCGCCGTCAGGAAGACCTGGGAATTTATCGATATCAGAGGCATAACCTTCAGGACTAGGAGTTCCAGACTGGGTCGGTCCGCCTTGAGCTTGTAAGTCTGTTCCAAAAACCGAGCGATCTTTTGAGTGTCGGTCTCGTTCAACAAGGAGATCAACAACACGATCATTTGCAGGAATCGAGGCCGGATGAATTTCTGCACCCGTGTATTGGTGTCTTCCGGATCCAACGAGTTGTAGTATGATGCGCTGAGAGACAATATCTCACGGATCCCCTCGCTCGTTGTCAGCGTTTGGAAGACCTGATCGTGATTGACTCCATAGCGAGTGTTCCTCGACGCAATGATCTGCTGCCGCGTCGAGGCTCGGAATAGGATCGGACTCCTATAAATCACTCGTCTCGCGTCCTCAATCATGCCGTCGAGCAGCTTTTCCGATTCTTCGAAATCCATCTCCGGGCCCCCCTTGTTGATCAAGTGCCGATAATTGGTCATCAACGCCATCAAGGACGTCCCATCGACCTCGATCAGGGTCGCCTCCATGTCGCATGGGTACCTTTGAGCGCGAAGATTGTTCACAATCTTGACGTGGTCCGAATCAATCGTCACGGCCTCGTAAGTCTTGCCTTCAATCTCTACCACGCCGGTCATGGTAGATCCGAGCCCATATGGGGAACGGTTCGATTGGAGTCGAGACCTGGCCTCGCCGGCATACTGTGAGACCCGATCCTTGAAGACAATGGACAGATCTTGCTTGATTTCAAAGTCCTGAAGCAGGCTGCCAGCGGTCATGACGCGCCACAACGGTGTGCGCTGATCCGGTTCTCCTGCCACCATGCCTACCTGTTCCAGGCGGTTGACCTGTGGCTTATCAGCTCCAGGAAGGAACGTCAATCGAACCGCGAGCACCGGGACACTCGGATATACTTTATCCAGTGGCCCTAGTCCTGTTGCGAAGGTCTTGCGAACGGCAGTATCGGCTTTGGCGAGGCTGGAGAGCATGTTCGTGGTTTCCGCTTGACTCAAGGCCTTGTTGCTAATCATGTTCCAGATGACTTCTTTCGTCTTGAGGGCGCCGACAGTGCGGTCTGCCCGAGCCGATACCACACCGGCGCTTTCATCAGACATACTTTCAGGCCGAACTTGAGGTTCCCAGGCGTCGAGACCGGGAATCTCAAGTCCACCGATTGATGTGTTATTCATGTCGTCGGTCATCTCGTCCATGCTAACTTCGGATTTTGTGTCTTCGTTCACTTCGAGGTCCGAGACTCGGTTGACTTCTAGGTCCGAGACTCGAGCGGATCGTTCGTCGAATATCTTTCCCAAAGTGTTTCGTTTCTATTCTGATCAGCCTTCTATCTGAATACTGATATTCTCCTGGACTAACTACCATCTCCACAGTTCAACGTCTTCTCTAAGGAGAAGTTACAGATTTGGGAAACAAATCAGTTTCAGGAGGTCCGAGATTTCCACTCTTTGATGACACTGTTTCCAACAAGGCTGGAGGTTTATCACATTCTCTGCGTGGTGGGGTGTCCGCATAAAGTAGTCCGCCGTCCTCACAGCCTTGCGAGTTCATAAATTTGCCATCATATCTTTAGGCCCCCGCCTTGTTTCTCATCGGTCATTCAATCACCCAACTATCATATCACCCATACGGCTGAATGCTTAAATGCAAGGCTCGGGGCTGTGTCGGCGAGGACTGGATGTGATACCGCATGCATTGGGGTGAGGTGGCTTCTAGAAAGGGTAAAGAGAGGCAGAAGGGCGAATGGGATATGTTGTCCAGTTGTCTTAACGCCATTGGGCTGACCTGCCGATATTTCCGTAGCCTTGCACCTATGTAGTATTGTCACAGTACCGTTGCTTTAGAATGGGGCGACATAGAGTATACGAGGGTTGAAGAAAGGGCGAGGGATTGATTCTTAGCCACAAGGTCGGATGGGGCTCTGAACCTAAAGCGGTTAGGTTTGGCGACGCTCATCACTGTCATTGGCGAATTCACCCAACATGGCTCAATACGAATGCACTTCGCCTTGTCTTCATATTGGGCGTATGCCGATCAGGTCGAATGAACTTGAAAATCCAGAGCCTTGTCCAGGCAGACGATTGAGGCAACAATTCAGCCACATTGAGGTTGTTGAGAAGTATAATAAATCCGTGATCATGGCCGGACGCTGGCCTTGCGGTCCACGAGGTCTCCGCTGCTTTCACTCGCACCATGGCGTTTCTTCACCATTGGAAATTGTTAAGTCTTCAAGTTTTTATTCTGAGCATTTTATTCAACCAAGTCAATGCTGATGGCGAGTGTTATTTTCCGGGAGGAGCATGGGCTCGCGACTATCTCCCGTGCGACCCTTATGCCCCGACCACAGCCTGCTGTCCGACAGGATACACCTGCTTCTCAAACCAGCTTTGCGTCGCGACACATCCGGACGTCATCAACTCCACATCGCCGGTCGGGACGTCTTTAAGACCCGGCTGTACCAATCCTGCGTGGGATGAGCTCATATGCGGCGACTTTTGCTTGAGTATGTCTCACCCCCCTTATCTTAAGGATATAGACTGACCGGGACAGATAATCCACGAGACGACAACCTCGGCGACATCGCAGCGTGTGGAAGCAATACTTTCTGCTGTGGTGCCGACGTTCGGAATGGGAATTGCAACTGCCGCGAAGGCAAAGGAGTCTTCTCCGTTCCAAGCGGAGATCCTGTGACCATCATCGGGTACGCGGAGTTGGAGCACACTACAACGGCCCTCGTCCCAGGGCCATCACCCACTTCCAAACACAATGTAACACCCCCCTCCTCCTCCCATTCGAGCTCTTCGCTTACAGCAATGCCCCAGTCTGCCTCTGCCACTTCCACATCGACACTGACGGCCGCTCCAGTCCCAGTGACGAGTAGCACTGGATTCAAGGCTGGATTAGGTGCCGGCATCCCAGTGCTCATCATCATCATATGCGTGATAATATACATCTGGTGGCACCACAAACACCGACCCAACCCCAAGGAAGAACTCGAGCTTTCGCGTACCAAACAATGGCAGCCCGCCGCAAACGGCGACATTAACGGTATCGGACCCTCCAGGTCAACCGTGACCCAAGGCGCCTACCCTCCCCCTCCCGGCGACATTGCCCCGGACTCCCAACCCTTCGAGGACCCCGTCCCGACCAACGAACCCGATCGCGCGCACACGACGACTCAGCTATCGACGCTGAACTTTCCGACGCCCGGCCCACATCTGAACATGAATAATCCGTACGCGCCGCCGCCGGTGGGCCATGGGCAGGAACGCACGCCGTCGCCGGTGGATAGCGAGGCGCCGACGCAGGTGTCGTGGCGGCAGGGGCGGAGGTCGGGGAACGATCTAAGGCCGGTGGAGGCGCCGGGCGCGGAAGCGAATCAGGGGAGTGTGTGGGTTATGGCGGGGAGTGGTAGGCCGAGGCAGCCGTCGTGAGTAGTTAGGTTCTTTGATATGGGCGGCGTTATCTGGTTGTTGGAAACTGCACCTCGAGCATTTGCGAACAGATATCCCATTGTCGATTTTTGTTGCAAGTTGAGCCATTCTATTTATATCCAAGCATATAGGTTACGATGAGAGGGTCCGGAAAAGACAACTATTCACTGTATCTGTCATGGTGTCCATTTGACAGTGATGGCGTCGTCGTGCCACTGAAACCCTAGTTCGACGGAAATGAAGCCTGGAACTATGATATCTATATCAACATAGAGCTATAACATGTACAGTTCTTCATTCATAAATCTAAGTCTTCTGTAAATGCCCAGGGCTCACTGAGACCACCTTCTCCGCTTCAGGGGCACCGGTGAATGTTCACCCCTCCCCTAGGTGAATTTCGAAATGCAATATATAAACCCTCCAAGATATTTATTATCAGCGACGAAAATGCCGGTGATGTGGTACACCAGTTAATAGAGCCAGCTGTATAACCAACCTACGTGCGAGTTTAAAAGGGCCTAACCAGCCTTTCAGATTTGCAGGTTGAGAATTCGATTCCGCCACCAGTCGTTAACTTTTTTTTGGATTGCCTTTAACCTTCAGTGCTCAAGTCATCAGGCATGTCTTCCCAACCGCGGATACAGATCATAAACACCAAATACCTCACTGAATTCTCTGACATGTTCCAGACCGCCACATTGTCCTACAGCGTCCTCACCAACCCCAAATCCCTCGAACTGAACTCTACCCATACCCTTATTTCTTCCCTCATGGATATCATTTAATTCTGCCTCCCCACACACCAAGAACTGAAACCCCTCCTCCACAACCCCATCCCAGAGTTGCATCCGTTGTCTACGCAGAGGTTGTTGATGCCTTCGCCGCTGACGCGGGGCCTTCACCGTAGCACCGACTTTGGATTTGCGGTCCGTGGAATTCAGCCAGCCGTCTTTGCTCAGTTGGAGGATCTTGTCCTCTATTAACCAGAACGGTGCCTTTGCTGCGATCTGCCGCGCGAGTCGGCCATGGTAGGCTTGGACGTTCACGAAGCAGTATACCACTCCTCCTACTATCCGTGCTGCTGTTGAGTAATACCCAACTTGCTCGTTCGTCCATGGTGAGAAGTTCGGTCCTCCGTCACCACCTAGAGGCGGGAGAGGTCATTTCTCTTGATCAGCTTAACCGATCTAATACCACGCCGCGACGATTCGCGTAGGTATATCGCCCAGTCTCTCCATCGGAATGCTCCTGTTCAGGACCACCATCGTCAGCTGCGGCCCTTATAAGCTCTTCCCTTCCGTCCACTCCCGCCGATCGCCCGGCATAGTCCATCTAACCCTGTGTTCAAGTGAATGAGAAGCGGACGGCAGCCAGGCACGCCAAGGTAATGGATGCTCAGTCTTAACGACCATCCGACCATCATTGTCGTTCGTCTGAACTCAGTGACTTGCGATGCTGCTGTGACTGGGGAGTTGTGAGATCCAACAGTTGAGTTGCTCTGGAGTCAAGGCGGGAAAAGTAGGGGACGGGAGCCAAGGCGCTAAGTTCCCAAACTTTGGGTCGGACCCAGCGCCCTGGACATATTGTGAAGGGGTGTATCTATGCGAATTGCGATCAGGGTAGACGACAGACGACGGACGGTAGACGGGCATGAGGCATCTATTCAAGCTTCAATGCTGTCCAGTCCCAGTGCATCAATGCCTTATATCGCTATGCTTGATAATCATGGGGACATGCTGGTAGGTACCCATCTGGGCCATCATACAGGTCAAACATAAACTCTCCCACTGAATTTTAGCGGACATGCACGGATCCTAGGCCATCGAATCCGCCTTGATCCATGCTCCTATCTTTATCGTACAAGTGCATCATATCCCCCATTTTAAAGCACCCCATTACTCCCTCATGCACGCTATAAACCCAACCCCTCCTTCCTCCCTCCCCTCTCACGGCTCTTCACTTCCCTTCCTCTTCTTCCTTCCCCCCCGCTTCTTTTTCCCGTCGCCCTCGCTGTCGTCCTTGGCGGTCGGAGGCGGCGCGTCGGGCACCTTGCTCACGATATCGGTGAGGAAGTCGAATTTCTCGTCGTGCAGGACGGCTTGCTTGAGGTGTTGGGCGGTGACGCGTTTGGAGGAGCGGGATTTGGCTTCGGTGGCGGAGTGGGTGACGAGGGCGATCATGAAGAGTTCAAGGGCTTTGGCTGGGGGGTATTAGTGACATGCGGGGATGGAACTGGTGATAGCGGAGAATCGGAATACGATCGGAATGGAATGGAAATCAAGAACTCACCCACAGCCGGCGGCACCACCTGGCTCACCTTCCCTACATCCTCATCCGCTTGCATAATCCGCTTAATCCTTGCCACCGGAAACTTCGTCTTCACCTCGATCCCCATCGCCGGACCGTCCCCCCTTCTCACCTCCCCCCCCTTGCTCACCGGCCGCTCCGCCTCCGCCTCCATCTCCCCCGTCTCCTCTTCTTCCTCGGGCGAGTACCCCTGCTGCTCCACGGCCTGCCCCACGACCTTCGGTCGCCGCACGCGCTTGCCGGCTGAGGACGCCATGTCGTGCGGAGGGTCTACCTGTGGTTGTTGATGTTGTTGTGGGTGAGGTGGATACGACACGCTTCCGGGGCGGCGCAGATACGGGTTCTCCTGCTGCGACGCGGTGGGGCTCTGCACGAGCGGCTGACCGTAGGCCGGAAAGTAACTCGGCTGGTGGGTGGAGATCAGGGCGGTAAGTTGTGGTTGTGGCTGGGAAGGGGAGTATTGGAGAGGGAGCGAGGGGGAAAAGGGGGTGGTCGGGGAGAGGGGGTTGATGTGCGAGACGGAGCCGCGGTAGCGTTGGTGTTGGGGATGGACGGCGGCGGTAGGGGTGTGAGGGATGGGAGCGGCCGAGAGGTCGGGGGATTCGGGGGCGTAGGTGCTGTCGTACTCGTCCATGCGTTGCGGGTGGTTGACGGGGTTGGGGGGTATGGTTGTTTCCAGTACGGTGGATGCGGTTGGAGATATCTTTGGAGATATAGGTGGGAGATGGATTGATTGGAGGGTCGAGAGGAATTGATCTTTTCTGGTTGGTTCCACTCTCAATCTTCAGGAATGAGGGTACACCCAATTGTTGTTTTCAGTACTGTGTGTGTCGTTGTTCCTTGGTGCGCTTCGAAATAATGTTGGAAAGCGCGTGAGTGTGGAAACGCATGAGAGACGCGCCTGTGGCTGAAGCTATTGTGGCTGATTTCAACTTTCAACGCGCAGTCACGTGCTTTAATCCAGCCTAGAACTTGAACACCGAAACACGAAAATCCACGGACAAACCTAGGGAAGGCATCGGTGCGGGGAGTTGGTCACTTTATGTTTCTTCCCACCCATCCGCCAAAGCTGTCGTCGCGTCCCCTTGTCCAATCATCGCCTTCAGCTCCCGTCCATTGCTGCCTCCACTTTGTTGCTCCCCTTGTTCGACGCGGTGAAAAATGCATCATGCTTCGTTCGCAAATGCGACCATGCGGTTTTTGGGCGGTTTTTGGGCGGCTTTGTTCTGGGATAAGCTATGGGTTGCCATGTGATGGCGGATCGATGGCAATGAGATCAGATATTGCATAGCGTAATGGTAGAGTGAAGTACGAGAGGCGCAATCATGCCTGGTTGACAAACGCGATTAAATTCCTAGGTACATTGATGCCAGCACTAACCAACATCTCAAGAGGAATTTTATGAAGAAGGATCATTCATCTCATTACACCAGGTCAGTCCATTTCTTGATGCACCTCTCCTACCATTGGGATTTGGGAATGACGAATACACCAACCGAAGAAGGGTTCTTGGTTGAACGCGTCTGGTGCAAGAACCCTCATTGTGGTTCCGGCACCAGCGCATGAAACCATCTCAAAGAACCCTTCCATGCCGACCTGTAAAGGAAAACCACTTGATCTAATCTGACCCATCAATATTCCAAGAGAGAATAAAGTTGTTGATACATGTCTGTCTATGCGGAGAGAAAGCCTGCGCTAACCGGGAATATTCTATCACGATAGGAACCATCTCAGGACTCACGTCCTCCCAACCCAACTATCATCATCCATCCGCCCCTCCCTCTTCCCCCCCTCCAC